CCGCGTGGAGACAGTCAAGCTGCCCAGCTACTATATACCCGGAGTGCCTTTTGAAGCTACAGTAAGCAATCACAATACAATGAATAAGCATTGATAATATAAATTAACTATATCTTATAGGCACGCATAGCGCGCAATGATGGCAGTCCCTTGAAAGATTTCAATCCTGAGATCACGGCTTATTTGACAAATGTCTATGGCAGCAGCGAAATGTATAATCGCACCACTTATACCCTGGATGGCAGAGGCGAGATCAAGATGAAGTTCACTGTGCCAGTGGGCGATCGCGATGAGTTCCATTCCATTATCGTGGACTATCTGGGCGTTATAAGCGATGTGGGCAAGGTGCCACGCAAGCAACTGCACAGCAAGAGCTATATCACAGCCAAGGTGCTCAATGATAAGTAAGCATGGGAAAGTAATTGGAGTCGAAGAATAATGTACTCATATAAACCTTTCTCTAGACCCATGGTCAATCAGGAAATTGCTGTAGCTGTGCGCTCCAACGAGCCCATGAAATATTTTATGTATCAAATTGTGGGACGTGGTGATATAATACTCACGCGCACTGTGGATGTGAGTGCAGAAAACGAGCTCAATTCAAAGACAATATTCTATACTCACTACTTCTCACACAGGTGGATGATAACACCTATCATACGATTAAGTTTCTGGCCTCCTTTGCCATGATGCCGCGTGCCAAGCTGTTCGTCTATATGATTGTCAATGGAGAGCTCGTATACGACGAGCAGAACATACAATTCGAGGAGAACTTGTTGAATGCTGTAAGTGGAGCTTTATTCACTATAATTTGCAAGCTAAATTCCTCTTTGACAGGTGCAAATCGAAGCGCCCTTCCGCGCACCACCTGGCCAGGATATAGACATTAGCATCAGCACTAAGCCCTACTCCTATGTGGGTCTCATGGTCGTCGATCAAAATGCAGCCGCCCTGCGCAGCGGTAAGTTCGAGTCCTTGAAATTCCTTCTCCACACATCTAGTCCAATCTCATATCATTCAGGTCACGATCTCACACACGAGCGTCTCATGGATGCGCTATATGCTTATGAGCTCAGCGATGTCAACACGCCCGTCGGCTCACCCGGCAAGGAATCTGGTGTCATAATCATGTCCAATACGGACTACATTGTGGATCGAGGTAAGCTTAACACTTAATAAGCTGCCCAAATTCAAATTGAAGTTCTTACAGAGGTGGAGACCACACCGGCGATAGGCAGGGACAGCTCCTCTACCGTAGAGGAGGATAAATTGACAGCGGTGCGTAAGACTGACATTGGACCCGCGCATAAGATAGAGGTAAACACCCTGCCGCCTGGCAAGGGCCGTTATGCCTTCTCGTACACACCCAAACCCTATTGGCATAATCCGCGTGTGCATGTCATGCGCGATCCGGCGGACACATGGCTGTTCCTCAATCTCTCCTCGAGCAGCGATGGTCGCAACACAATACATCGTCGCATACCTAGTGATATGACCTCTTGGCTTCTGACCGCTTTCACGCTGGATCCGGTCAATGGTCTGGGCCTTAATGCGCCCGTTAGTAAGCTAGAGGCTTACAAGGAGTTCTACATTGCCACCGATCTGCCGTACTCCATACGAAAAGGTGAGTCTGAAATTGGAGATTAAGAAATCTGAATCGTTTTACTATTCATATTTGCAACCCTTCCAGATGAACTGATTGCCTTGCCTTTCGTGGTGCACAATAACCGCGACAGTGATTTGAGTGTTGATGTCACTTTTTATAACACAGCGCAGGACTTTGACTTCCCCCAGCTGGACACGAACCAGACCAATAAGCCAAGTGCGTAATACAGTTATTTTCTCATATGAAATTTCGATTAAATTTCACATATTTCAATCAGAGCTGGAGCTCTATAGCCGTCGCACCATTCAAGTGCCCGGCAAGTCGGCACGTTCCATCTCTTTCATTGTAACGCCTCGACGCGTGGGTGCGCTGCCAGTTAAAGCTGTGGCGACCACATCACAGGCTGGCGACACCGTCGAACGGACTCTGCTGGTCGAGCATCCAGGTGCCACGGAGCGCGTGAATCGTGGCTTCCTCTTCGAGCTGAACTCCAATGCTCAGCGCAAGCAGAATGTCACCATCAAAGTGCCACGCAATGCGATACCTGATTCAACGAGCATTGAAGTCAGCGCAGTGGGCGATTTGGTGGGCAGCATCGTGGGCAATCTGCAGCAGCTCATCCAGCTGCCAACGGGCTGTGGCGAACAGACGATGGTCAACTTTGTGCCGAATCTAATGGTGTTACGTTATTTGGGCGTAAGTTGAAAAATATTTATGCATCAGAATTGTATATGCTGAAGATTCTTCTATATCATTCAGTCCATCAATCAAATCTTTATCCTAACGGTCACTCAATTCAAGCAAAAAGTTTGTCAACGATTCGATTTGTGTGTTAATATAGTTAACGAGTCAATCAGTCAATCAATCAGACAGCTAGTTAACCAGCTAATCAGTCAGTCAATCGTTCAATCGGTCATTCAATTTGTCTATTTATATGATCTGACCTGTCAATCATTCTGTTACTTAAGCAGTCAAACAGTTTGCTAATCAAGTATTCTGACAATCAATCATTTGTTCAAACAGTCAATCATCTTGAAATCCAAAAATTGCAATCAATCACTTTGGAAGGGTGTTTATCAATCACTCAGTCAATCAAACAAGCACTCAATCATTCAGACCTTCAATCAGACAGTCAGGCAAATCAACCTAAACACTCAATCACTATCAATTAGTGAGTCAATCATTCACTAAATTAATCGTTCACCAAGTCAATCAGGCCGTCTTAAAATCAATTAACAAGTTAACCAGTCATCCCATGAATCAATCAATCAATCCCCCTTCCAAACTCTATCAATCAATAAAGCCACCTTTGTTATCCTCTCCCAGCGTTTGCGTCAACTAACTCCCGAATTGGAGCTGAGTGCCACCAAGAACTTGGCCGTGGGCTATCAACGTCTGCTCTACTATCGCCATGAGAATGGAGCGTTCAGCGCCTTTGGCCTGTCCGCCAAGAAGAGTTCGACGTGGCTGACTGCCTATGTGGCCAGATCGTTGCGTCAGGCGGCGCCCTACATCCAAGTGGACGATCATGTGCTGCAGAGCGCTCTGGCCTATTTGGCCAGCGTGCAGTCGGGCAATGGCGGCTACGAAGAACACGGCGATATCTTTGAGCAGTTCGACGATGGGGGCATTAGTCTGACCGCCTTTGTGACGCTAGCCATGATGGAGAATGTGGTAGGTGGAATGAAGCAGAGACAGAAGACATTGAAAATTGAATTGAAATCGAATGGCTTTTAGGATCTGCATGCTGAGTATCGGAATAACATCAACAAGGCTCTGGACTTCATTACACGTGGTCTGGATGCCTCCAACAATCTGCATGCCATGGCACTGGGCACCTATGTGCTCTCTCGGGCCAATCATAATGCAAAGGCCGCCTTCCTGCAGCGTCTCGACTCGCTGGCCATGAACGCCGATGGTCGCAAATGGTGGAATAAGACGGCGCCAGCTGCGGAACAGCAGTCGCCCTGGTACAATGCCACGCGTAGCGTCAACATTGAGATCTCCGCCTATGGGGCGTTGGCTCTGCTCGAGAATAATCTGGTGGGCGATGCGTTGCCCGTATTGAATTGGCTAATGGATCAACGTAACATATTTGGTGGCTTCGTGGGCTCTCAGGACACGGTTGTGGGTCTGCAGGCCCTGCTCATGTTTGCCGAACGCTTCTCCAGCCAGGGCAACAATGTACAGTTGGGCTTCAACTATGGCGAAGGTGCTGAGACCATACTGAATGTCAATGCGGAGAACTCGCTCGCATTGCAGAGTGTGGAGGTAAGACGAAGTCAGTTGAAGTTGGCCAAAATTTAAACGTATTCCAAAACCGTTTCACAGCTGCCCAACAATATTAAGAACGTCAGCGTCTCAGCCACTGGCCGTGGCTTGGCGCTAGCTCAAGTCAGCTACAAATACAACACAAACGTGACCAGCGCCTGGCCAAGATTTGTGCTGGATCCCACTGTGAATCGTAACTCCCATGCGGACTACTTGCATTTGTCTGCCTGCGCCAGTTTTGTTTCGGTGCCGGGCGATGCGGAGCGCTCCAATATGGCTGTCATGGAGGTGCAGCTGCCCAGTGGCTTTGTCGTCGACACCGACACGCTGCCCACGCTGGAGTCCAGTGAACGCATCAAAAAGGTTGAAACACAACAGCGCAACACCAAGGTCATCATCTACTTTGACTATCTGGACAGGCGCGAGGTTTGCCCAACGTTGCACGCATACAAAACTGTGAAGGTCACCAAGCATCGGCCAGTGGCTGTTGTCATGTATGACTACTACGATAGCGGTAGGTACTCGAAACTCTAGCTGCAACTATAACTAATCCTGGCTGCCTTCACTCTCCTTCAGCTCGCCGTGCTCGTCAGTTCTACCGAGCTCCTAAGTCAAATATCTGCGATATCTGTGAGCATGCGAACTGTGGCAACATTTGCGAAAAGGCCGAAAAGCGAGAATCACGTCGGCCTGATGATTACACGGCCATAGCCGGACGCACTTCAGCTGGTCACAGCCAGAAAGCAATGTCCATGCTGCTGCTGGCACCGATCATACTCTCACAACTGCGCTGCTAGAAGGAGGAAGCGGGAGGCGAAGTAAACGGAAGCTTTAACAAATACCACTCATCTACTTAATAAGCTAGCCCTAGAACAAATGTGAACTAAAACCGATTAATCTTAACGATGCTAAAAGTTGCCAATAATAAAGAAAACCCGTTAACAGTTACTAAAATGATGAGAAAGTCTTTTTATTATATATAATCAGAAAGCGTAGTAACTATTAGGGATGTTTATGGCACAGAAAGAGGTTGGAACCAAGCATTCAAAAGTCATGTATATAGTGTAAAGATTAGGAAACGAATCCTTTAATGTCAAATTGTTTTATACATATCTAACAAAACTTGATCGTCAACATGTCTAGAGTATAGGCTGAACTGACATTAATTTGAATTGTTACAAAATATTCCTTTTTTTTTTTTATATTTCTTGACTAGTTTCAGAGATAATACCGTGAAAGACCAAAGTGTTCTTAGGTCTTATACAAAAATCATGTTCAAAACGTTAATTGCAAATTAAAAGTTTATTCGTGGAATGAAACGTACGGAAGCCTCGAAGACCCGGAAATCAAGAAAACAGAAAAGAATCAATCGCGATGCGAAACGCGGCTTTTGGAAATCAAAAACAGAGTTTGTACTCACTCTCATTGGCTATGCCATTGGCATTGGCAATGTTTGGCGCTTTCCCTACCTCTGTTACCGCAGCGGCGGAGGTAAGTATCCAGCATATATCCTACATTGGTGCAAATGCACTAGCATATGAATAAGTAGTAAGTGACTTATTCTCTATTACATAACATACTGTCTTTTGCAAGGCTTTCAGCTGATATATTTTCACATTCCTTGCTGAGAAATACAGCAATATAGCTTAAATAAAATAGCGTAAAGGGTATCTTCTAGTCGCTATTTACTCGACTCTCCAGCAATTGATGAGTGAACGTTTCAATGAGTTTTTATTGCTCAATTCACTCAATTGTGCCTCTCGCTCTGTGTCTCTGCGTCTCTGCTTAAGCTATAAATAGCGCATGCTTTGACGTCACGCACACAAACACAGCACATTTTGTGCTGGTGTGCACTGTGTACAGCGAGTGCAGTGTCTATATTAAGCTCACAGCAATTGCTGTAGCTTTCGAGTGAAAGCTGATGTGGCTTTTGTTGATACTTTGGAGGCGGCCAGCCAAGGCCTTCGATAGCTCAGTTGGTAGAGCGATGGACTGTAGAGTTTTCGAGGTTGATGTTGATGTATAGAACAAGGCTGGCTTCTAGACCGAAACAATACCAACCTATGGCCTAGATGTTGCAATCTTGCTCTTATTACCATCAGTTTGTGGAATCGATAAAAAACGAGATATGTTGAAATCCATAGGTCGCTGGTTCAAATCCGGCTCGAAGGATCTAACATTTTTGTCATTTTTTTTCATATTTTCTACTTATTTGTTAAATTTTTAATTGAATTAAAGTGAAAAGAGCGCAAGGTCAAGCCCAGTTTATCTTATAAATAACTGTTTATTCCAGGTGCATTTCTCGTACCATACCTTCTAATGGTTATTCTTTGCGGGATTCCACTATTTTATATGGAAGTGCTGATTGGCCAATTCTCAAGCACCGGCTGTACGAGCATCTTTCGATTGGTGCCGTTACTAAAGGGCACTGGCATTTGTATGATGATTGTTAACATGTATTGTCTCTGCTATTATTCTGTCATCATATCATATCCGGTGCGCATGCTGTATTACAGCTGTTGGAAGACCGTGCCTTGGGTAAGGTGTGATCATTCGTGGAACTCGCAGAACTGCACAAAGATTGAGGACGTAAGAACGAATATACTGAAAAAAGATTGTTTTATTATTGATCTTTTGCTTTCTATATAGATGATCGGTGATAAAAGCGTTACACCCGCTGATGAGTTCTTTCAGTAAGTCAAAATGGGGATTATCTATATATGGGGTATATTCATTTTCATTTTCATCTCGATTTTAGTCTTGAGGTATTGCGTATCTCGAGTGGCATTGCTGAGCTTGGTACCATTGTGTGGGAGCAGTTACTCTCCTTATTGATTACATGGATCATTATATTTTTGTGTGTGGTGCGAGGCATAAAATCGGTATGATTTCGATAATTTATCGATAACACTAAATACATGCAATAATGCTGAAATTAACAGGTTGGCAAGGTGGCTTACTTTACTGCACCGTTTCCTTATGTACTGCTAACAGTACTTTTTGTTCGTGGCGTAACCTTGCCCGGAGCAGCAAGTGGCATCAAGTTCTTCTTCTATCCGGAATGGCATCGGCTGCTCGACTTTAGAGTCTGGTCAGATGCAGCTATACAAATGTTCTTTGGCCTTGGGCCTGGTTGGGGCGGCATTATCAATATGGCAAGCTTTAATCGGTTTCACAACAATGCTAAATTCGATTCAATTTTGGTTGTGTCAGTCAATGTATTTACGAGCATATACGCTGGCGTTGTGGTATTTTCCGTGTTGGGCTTTTTATCCAGTGGGTACGCCATATGATTGCCACCGCTCAATTACTAATGGATGCTTCTTCTCAGATATGTCGGGTAAATCTGTGGCAACAGTCGCCACATCTGGTGCTGGCCTGGCGTTTGTCACATATCCCGAAGCAATTGCAAAGATGCCCCTGCCTCAAATATGGGCAGTTCTGTTTTTCATAATGCTCTTCCTCTTAGGCATTGACAGTGTGGTAAGTATGCAGCATGATGCGTGCATGAGATATATTAAAGATTTGCAGTCGCACGAGCAGCTTTAGTAGGTTCAGGGCTTAAAATATCCACTTGGTAGACAAAACTAAAATCTGTTATCTAATATAAGCTCTTTGACTTTTACTTTAGTTTGTTCAGCTGGAGGCCATCTCGTCATCGATCTTGGATGAAGTCAACGCCCTGCGCAAATACCCGTTGGTAGTGACGATACTCCTGTGTGTCTTTTTCTTCGGATGTTCGTCCATAATGTGCACCAACGTAAGTACTTAGTGGACATTGATCTAGGGATAAGCCCCAACTATTACTTATAGGGTGGCATGTATATATTACAATTATTCGATTGGTACTCGTCGGCTTTATCAATTATTGTTATATGCTTGGTGGAGATTATCATGATTATGTATATCTATGGCACGGACAATTTCTTAACAGACATGGAGTTTATGTTGGGCAAGCGGCCGAGTCTCTTTTGGAAAATTACTTGGACATATGTCACGCCAATTGTGCTAATCGTAAGAGCTCGTTTATTGCTTAATTGAACACAATAATTTCACATATTTCCATATTACCAGTTTATTTTGTTGACCAGTATATTATTTCTGAGAGAAATCACATACAATGGAATTAGCTATCCAAAGTGGGCCATTGCTCTGGGCTGGCTTAGTTTCGTATCCTCGATAATTTGGATACCGCTGTACATATTCTATATAATGATTCGAAAGCGGAAGACTTTGAACCAAAGCCTGCGAAGGCGATTGAGGCCACTGGATTGGACCCCAGCCGATCCACAGGATCGTGCAGAATACGAAGTCTTTAAAAGGCAACGAAATCCCGCCAACTTCATGTCTGATTCGGAGGCAGATTCCTCAATGGTCCCGAAGTAAACAATTTCCTTTTGTAACAGTATCAAAAATCAAACGTCTTTTTATTAAATTGGAAATAATATTCACAAATGCAATCAGTTTTTCGGCTGATCAATTCACTTCCTCGGTTACCTCATAGAGCTGATGTGTTATATCAGCATTGCCCACAACCTCCTCATATTGCTGGCGATCCTCCATTTCAGTGGGATACCAATCGTTGGGTCGACAGGCGCGTCGAAACCGATTACAAAACCTGCCCGTATTCTGGCACATTATTAGGACACCGTAGCCGGGAATGCAGAGAACTGATAGCAACACCACAGCCAGACTAATAATTACCATAACGTCTGAGCTAAATGCATGCTCAAATGATGAAATAAATATACCTACGAGCTAAAAGCAAATCATCATAATCATTATCGTAACGATCTGCTTTAAATAATATTCAGTTACTAACCAAGGAAATCAGTAAGAACAGCGGAGCTATAAAGCGCAATATGAATATCTTCCATGAGGCAAATGGCTGTCCCAGCATAAACTCGATGTCACGCTGGAAGCGCTGGCGTCCATAGACCCAAAGTATAGCCAGCAGCAGAATCAAATGCATGAGGCTGTGAGTCATGATTGCGTCCAAGGACAATGCCGAAAAGTACTCAACGGCATTCTAACAAGGAGTACGGCGTGGTAGCAATGAATAAATATATATTAGAATTAAATTCGCACGTAAAACTTGTATACTTACATTAGTGCAAAACAATAGCGATACGATGGACAGCACGCCCAATGTACCAAAGATAACTTCCTGTTTACGGTGTCGCAGCAGCTCAAATTCGTCGAAAAGGCTCGTAAATACAGAAAAAAGTTGCGTGATCTATAGGGGGAGAACAAAATTATATTAGTAAAACAAAAAGTAAAACAAAAACAGTGTAGTCAAAAATCAGATAACAGATAACGAGGCTCTAGTTATGAACTCTCTCCGACTAGTCAAATCATCAAATGGGCGCAAATAAATTTGTCAGTAAAATCAGTGCGATTTGTCTGAATTCTCACTTTTAGTTCGTTCAGCAAATAATTACATACCATCACAATTAATGAGCCCAGCAGCAACATGGTGTAGTACATGATAGTCCAAAGATTAGGCAACTCCATTGTGGACAGAACACTAGCGGTTGATAAGTACAATGCCCATTTCCCCTCCACAAATGTATTGAAATTATCGGAATGAAGTGCTAATAACATGTAAAATGGAGAATTATTAAACAGCAGTTGGTAATTGTTATACAAATGCTGAAACTAATACAATACTAATACTAATACTAATGCTAATGCTAATGCTAATGCTAATGCTAATGCTAATACTAATACTAATACTAATACTAATACTAATTCACATCATATTTGACACTCACTTTGAAAATAATGTTTGAGCATAAAGTTTACCATGCCAAACAGTATATACACGAGTGTCTGACCGAAGGCAATGATCCAACTGTAGTTCATGATGTTCGTCTTGAAGTTGTTGTGGCTAGACAAAGCTACGATGGTGCCCCAGCCAGAGCCAAAGGCTTGTAGTACTATAACTGTCATGCAAAGGCCTCCTTCGAACATGTGTTGCGCATGAGGCTTTGTATAGTGAGTGAGACCATCCAAGGCGCCGGGTAGAAATAAAAAGCGTATAATACATATCACCAGTAGCACCAAAGTGGAGACAACCATATAGCGAATCAATTTACCGAACTGAGAAGTCAAAAAGTCATGTAAGTGCCCAGAGATAAACTATATAATATTTACCTTCGCAGTTTCGGAAAATTTGTAGAAAATTAAAGTTATTATGGCCCAAATGGCAACTGAGTAGCCCACGATGTGCCAGGACAAATCATTACTTGGGGAAATATAATATGATTGAGTTTCTTTGTATGCCTCATAGTGATGTCTGTTGGATATGATTAATATTAATGTGAGCTGGGAGAGCTTTTCTAAGACTTACTGAAAGAAAATCGTGGATGGCACATGTATCATAGTAAATGAATATAATTCCGTTTCATTATCAATGGATAAAAGTGTATCCACAGCTTTTTCCGTCATATTACAGATCTTAAGGCGAAATAAAAATTGTTAAGACTTAGACTGCGATAAAGCTATTAAATGTTTTCTCATTTACAGTTGTGATATTGTTGTCCGGCACAAAATTCTCACAGCTCCAAGGTAAAGCAGGACGCAGGGAATGCACTATGAATATCAATGGGACTATAGCAAAGATGCTATAATACAACAGACTCGCCAGACTTAGTGCCAGACTCATATAGCCAATGCCTAGAGAAATAAATGTCTAAATGTCTAAAACAATCGAACTGAAGGATATGCTTATATTACCTTTGAAAAAGGGCGAAACACGAAAGGCAGAGATGAAACCGCTGCTGGAGAATTGACCCATAAAGGAGTGTATGACCATAATGGGCACCAGATATAGAGCCATATAGATATAGTAAGGTAATATGCCAAACACTAAAATAAATAGGAGAAATATGAATGACTATTTGTGAAATATAATGGAAATATTAGGTGTTTGATCTAATTGGATAATGCTTTCAGATTGGACCAAAACAAAATACTAGCTTTCCTAATTAAATATTTAAAAAAAAATAAATAGAATTAAGTTTATTTAAGTTTATACTATAGAAACTGAGCAGTCTGAGACTTATCAATAGAAACAAAAAAAAACACTTAATTTGATGCAGATCAAACGTATGTGTGTATATCATATACATAGTATATACCCATATATATAAAATAGCGCATCTATAAATTTTCATAATTTATCAGCTATCAAATTTCTTTTCCTTGGAAATATTTATTCGGCCAAGGCCAAAAATAACATATGCACATTTCATCTAAACTATATATGTAAACTAAAATATTATTTTTGTTATTTTTAAATAAGTGCGAAGTAAACTATTGTTATTGTTTTTGCTTTCAACGCCCCTTAAATTGAATAATATGCATACTATAGATATCAAATGGCATAGGCATAGGCATTGGTTAGATTTTGAGGCATTTGAAATATTTTTTTTAACTTAGCCTATATATCACACATTTGCTTACAGACGCAATTTACATATGCATAAATTTTCAATTAGCCTCTACTTTATCCCAACTGATTCTAAATATAGCCTTGAATCTTCACTCAAGACTTTGGCCATATAATTCTCAACTGATTATAGCTTAAAAAGAGCTGGAAGGCCGATAGTAAAGTTTGCTATAGATTAGAACGAAAGTTTCCCTAAGCCTGCTCAAGCTTGCTTCTATTAATTAGTAATTATCAATAACTGCACGACCTTAATTACAGAGTTGAATAAATATAAACAAATTATAACATTCCTCGGATTATGTACATCGAATTTCTTGATCTCACCTATGGCATGCCGCATTGATAAGCTTATCAGTCTCAACAATTTCAATTGCATTTTTCATTTTATTGAAAACTGACACATACTTACAGCCCATGTCGAAATAAAACCAATACGAAATAACAAATATATCCAATTTGAGTGCCAATCCAAAGCAGGCGTAAATGAAATCCGTTGGCTTTTCCCATTTGCCACGACTTAGGTCGGGTTTGAATGGCTTGCGGCCGCTCTCGTAGGAGGTTTCGTACACCATTTTACAGCTGATAGTAGTTATTGTCGAATATATATATATATATATACTTATGCACAAATATTTGCTTTATATATAGAAATTGAATCACAGCCTCCGATGCATCTCAACTATATAATGGTAAATAGAAAACAATTAGAGAGCGAAAAGAAAACAAAATTAATCTTTAAGCGAAATGCGATTAGCCCACGACGCAATGTCGCTGCGAATTTGAATTAATTTTGTCTATTTTGTTGTTATTTATTCTTTTATTATGTTTTTTTGTTTTTGGTTTTTCGCGCGCCCGCTTACTTTAAATTGACGTTCTAATTAGAAGAAACGATGCCGGCAGACTGAGTGCGAGGCCTGCGAGAGCATCCGTAGCATCCATCCATGCATTGGATAGATATTTTTTTTTCTATTTTGTTGTTTTTTTTTTTTCATTTTTCATTATCAACGCTGGTCGCTGTCTATGTATAAATACAGCAACAGTTTGCCAAGTTCTCAGCAGCAGCTGACACGTAACATATACATTGAGAGAAATGAAAATGGGCAGAGTAAAACATTTGATATTTGTATTGAAAACACATCGCGGCGACCGCAGCGCATGACATTGCACTTATTAGGAATACGTACAGATTTCCATATATATAATGTATATATGCACGCATAAACATATATTCTGTGTACGCTTTACGTGAATTTCAGCAAAGAAATACAAAATTGTTCCAATTGAAACTTTTTGCTCAAACTGAAAATTTGGATTTTAAACAATAAACAAACGCAACAAAAACAAAAAAGTAAACATACTCCAAATTTTGATTTGTTTATTTTCGAACTCATCTTTAATTGCAGTGTAAAAAGGCAACAGCCGTCTCTTCTCCATTTTTGTTTTTTATTTCCATTTTTTTCCTGTAAAGCCGATCATGTGCTTCACTTATTACTAATCTGGCGAAACAATCGCATTGAATATACATAGAAATATGTATATATATGTAATACATGCACATACATATATCAATTTATTGAATGCATTCCAAGCATACATATTTCTGCAATGCCAAAAAGTATGCAAGCAACACAAACAAATTACATAAAGACAAGTTGAGCTCTGAAATAACGACGATTTGATACCCCAGGCAAGCTGTTCTGAAGGCTTTCATTCAACACAATATGTAATACACTTTTAAATTACTATTGACCTAAGAATGTGTAAACTATTATTATCAACAGTGCAAGCCAATTGAACCGAACTAGTTCCAGCACGGAACTTAAACTTGTAGTAATGAACTTAAAGTTTTAGATTTTTTATAAGAGTCCTGGACTATTATTAGATTGTAAGCCAATTGAACTGAACTAGTTCCAACAAGGAACTTTAACTTCTAATAAAGAACTGAATACAATTTGAGAGCTGAAGTGTGAGTTCAGGATTATTATTATCAAGGATGCATAGCAATTGAACCGAACTAGTTCCAGCGCGAAGCTGGTCGATCAAACAATATTGAAGCAAAGCAGTTCCAACAAGCTACTAGTTCATGGAGATCTATTAACCTAATTATATATATATATATATATATTTAAAACATTTAAAACATTCATCAAATTGAATTCGAAAATAATATAACTTTAATTTAAAATTGTTTAAAAGCTCTTTGCTGTTTTATTCATACAGATATATGTATGTGTATATATATGCAACTACAAATATCACCAGTTTATTGTTCTCTATAACTAGATTTGGAAAATATCAGTACATTCAATAAAAAAGAAATAACTTGCGCTCGTCTAAAGTATTTCAGCTGTTCAATGCACACGATTGAGTTCAGTTCGACCTGAGTTGGAGGTCCATCGCTTAAGTACAGTATCAAAAAATGAGTAAGTTATTAGGCACTATGCAGTTTCTAGGCGGTATTGCCGTTATCAATGACAAGCATTTCGGAGGTGCCCATGATTTCCTCATAGAAGCGACGATTGTCCGCATTCACCGGATGCCAATCGTGGGGCGAAAAACATTGCCTCATCCGTTTGCGCCAGTTGCCATTGGTCTGGCAGAGTCGATAGACCATATAGCCCAGGGCAACCAGATAGATCAGACTCTGACTGATCCAAATCAAGGTGTCCTCGACACCGTTCGCTGACATCATATAGATAGTCTGCCACTGAAAATACCCAAAACTGCATTTCAATTGCAAATTATACAAAATGTCTCCAGAGCATACCAAGGCGACTCCGAGGAATACGGGCACCACAAAGCGTATGCAAGTGATTTTAAAATTTGAGATCGTTTTGCCCAGCATGAATTGCAGATCACATTGGAAACGCACGCGTCCATAGATCCAAGTAGCCATTACGATTAACAGAGCCGAGATAATAATCTGCGTAAACAGCGACATGTAGGACAAGGCGCTAACTTGACTGAAGCCCAACTATATGAGAGAGATATTGATAAGAACTGTATGCTTTCAGAAAGTAGTCTTAAACTTACGCGGGTACAGAAATAGATGGATATGAGCATCAGGCAAAGCACCAGGAGAATCGTAATGGATCTCTTTCTGGGTCGTAGCTGCTCGAACTCATCGAAGATGGCAGTTAAAACAGACATCATTTGGATGATCTGTAAGATAGATATAGATATAGATATGGATATGGATATAGATATAGATATAGATATAGATATAGATATAGATATAGATATAGATATAGATATAGATATAGATATCGCTATCGCTCTATCGATATCGCTCTCGCTATCGCTCTCGCTCTCGCTCTCGCTCTCGCTCTCGCTCTCGCTATCGCTCTCGCTCTCGCTCTCGCTCTCGCTCTCGCTCTCGCTCTCGCTCTCGCTCTCGCTCTCGCTCTCGCTCTCGCTCTCGCTCTCGCTCTAGATATAGATATAGATATAGATATAGATATAGATATAGATATAGATATAGATATAGATATAGATATAGATATAGATATAGATATAGATATAGATATAGATATAGATATAGATATAGATATAGATATAGATATAGATATAGATATAGATATAGATATAGATATAGATATAGATATAGATATAGATATAGATATAGATATAGATATAGATATAGATATAGCTATAGATATAGATATAGATATAGATATAGATATAGATATAGATATAGATATAGATATAGATATAGATATAGATATAGATATAGATATAGATATAGATATAGATATAGATATAGATATAGATATAGATATAGATATAGATATAGATATGATATAGATATAGATATAGATATAGATATAGATATAGATATAGAATAGATATAGATATAGATATAGATATAGATATAGATATAGATATAGATATAGATATAGATATAGATATAGATATAGATATAGATATAGATCTCGCTCTCGCTCTCGCTCTCGCTCTCGCTCTCGCTCTCGCTCTCGCTCTCGCTCTCGCTCTCGCTCTCGCTCTCGCTCTCGCTCTCGCTCTCGCTCTCGCTCTCGCTCTCGCTCTCGCTCTCGCTCTCGCTCTCGCTCTCGCTATCTCTCGCTCTAGATATATTACCAGTGCACTCAGTTCAGCTAGAAAGATGAGAGCAAAGAAAAGGAAAGACCAAAGTCGCGGCACTGTTGTAAAGCTTCCAAGGAGATACGCATGAGCCAAGTAAAGGAACTGTATCGTATGCTTTTTTTCCACATGCCACATGGCCACATGCACTAGAAGAGATATATAAAAGAAGATATAATATACTTATACTACAATTTTCAATAGACTCGAGCTCACATTCAAAGTGATCGTTGGCCACATGACCGCAGACCAAGGCCATCATCGTGATGAGCACATGGGTGATACACACCCAAATGCTGAGTCGTTCGGAATCGCTGCGAAAGCTATTGTAACTGCCGAGCGTTATGATGCTGCCCCAGCCAGGACCCAGCACCATGCTCGCTTGCAGTATAGCCGTGCCTATTGCTGACTGGATGGCCCCCCAGCTGGGTACAGTCGGGTGCAGATACTCCAGGAATGACTGCCAGTTAACCTGCTCGTGGAATACCAGATAACCGAAAACAGCCACAAAGAAGGAGAACATTAGAACCCCACCACAGCGCAGTGCTTTGCCTATCTGCAAGTTAGGATTTAGGATCAGCATTGGCTATAAGAAATTAACTTTTCTGCCACTACCAAAGAGACGTTGCTCAGCAGCAGCGCGAGCACAACACACCAGATGCCCATAATGGCTAGCAGCATAGGCCAGGATATGGTCCAAGAACTGGAATCTGATGTAATCGAGCCTATCACAGAGCTGCAAATTAAATATATAATACATGTAATCTGAAGTAAATACTTAAAATTAGAGAACTTACTGAAAGAATTCCACAATCGCATGTGGCTTTTGATCAAGCGCCTGTGAATATATAGTATTTATATATGATTAGTTATATTTATTATAAATAAATGTTACCCGATTTTGATCATTTAGGGTTTTTTATATACATTTAAAATCATCTTGCGAACTTAAGTTTCACTTAACTAAAGCTGGGGATATACCTCTTCAATCATATACGATAGAGAAGTAATATTATACTTGAATCGATCGGAAACTGAAAACAATAATTTGACTTCAACAAATTTTCCGTTAAGCTGAATTCATTATAAAAGTATGTCTACATTAACATTTACAATGTTAAGCAATATATTTATTATAATACAAATATATTTATAAAATACAAATACTTGGATCAGAGAAAATATTTCATTTTATTTGCTCAATCGCTCATCTATCGTTAGTTTAGCTAAGCAATTCCAACCGCAACTTATCAGCTATGATCACTTACATCCTCATTATATTCCCTGTGCGTGGAGCACTCGGGCGTGTTCCACGTATTATTGCAGCTCATCCAAGGCAAAACTTTGCGCAGCGAATTGACGGCATAGATGAATGGCACAGCCGCATTGATACTATAGTAAGTAAGTGTGCCCAGATTAAGCAATAAAATGGAATAACCAATGCCTGAAGTTAGATGCATAATAAGTCGAACATATATATAAAAGAAACAAAGCCTTTCTGAGCTATGCTACCTACCCTTGAATATGGGCGAGACTCGAAACGCCGAAATGGCGCCCGATGTGGAGAACTGTCCCAAAAAAGTTTGTATAAGAAATATGGGCAGTGAATAAAAACAAACTGACAGCAGATAGGCGCTTAGATAGTATTCTGAAAGATATAGAAAAACAATATAGTTAGACTGAGGGAATATCACTAATACTAATACTTATTATATAGAAAGCAAATTCCAATTAAAAGTAAACAAAGATGAGTCATTGAGGAAGGCGCACGACAAAAGTCGTAGATAAAAACAGACTTCAATAATGTTGTTACTCATACGCCCTGTTGCACACAGCGAAAATCTGTTTTCGAACGGCTTACAATGGTTACAATTATAATTTTAACTAATTTATTTACTATATATAAATTGCAGCCATTCAAATAGAAAGAATCTTAGCACAAACACAATCACAAATACGTCATGTTGTTCAAACTATTTTTAACGAATTTGCTCACGAGAGACAGAGTCATAATTTTCCTTTGGACTTAAGTACTAATAGTAAATGTAAATTCTGGCACTAAATTTAATTTATGAACTGCTAAACTGCACATAAAACTTTTGTTGTATTATTTATGGGCATTCGCATCAAATTGAATTAAATTACTCAATAAAACAAATGTTTATCCATTTATCTAATAAGCTTTAACGACTTAATGATGATTTCAAAAGCTGAAACTTTAATAATAAATAAATAATATTTTCAATCCGTTTCAATAATGGACCATTTTAAATACAAACTAACAGATTATATTTAAAATAATGCGCGAAAAATTATTAATTAAATTATTTGTTTATTTTAATGCATGGTTTCTACTGATAACCTCATCGTAAATTTAATTGAATTCCGTTGATAAGAATATAATGAACAGAAGCTGTCATTAAACCGACAGCAGAGACGTGAAGGTCAGCTAAATAATGGACTAATTAAACTATTATTCAGAACTGAAAGAGTGAGATCTTTACTTACTCCAACCGCCGAAGTAGAGACCCCAGACTGGGGCATCCGAGAATACCATTGTACTGAAGGCGTAACTTGAGCTGGCAAAGTAGAAATCTGCCGACTTGGCCCAGCGACCGCGCAGATTGTCGGGTCGAAAGGGTCGCTCCATGGTATCATAGGAGCTGGTATTCCGTATGGCCAGACTGTGCACTTGGCGGGCGCGAAAAACGCGACGCGTCGGCGATGTGCCTCTACCATTGCCATGCCCATTCCCAAACCCAGTTCCATGACCGTTGCCACTGGCATTCGGAGTTGTAGTCAGATTTGCATTTGGATTTTCATTCTCAGCGGTTGCATTGTCACAATCGGCCAGCAGCATGCAGTGGTTCAGCTGCTGCATGGCATCGCCGCAAATGCCCTTCATGCTGCTCGCGAGCTAATCAGGCACCTTGGCAGCGGCTACGTCATTGGCAATTGTCAATTGGCGATTGGCAATTTGGATTGTTTGGCTGGTCTATTTTATCTGAAGTGCACTAGAGAAAACGATTTAACTGCACTTGGTTCTTGCGCGCACGTAACTTAATGTTTTTTATGTTTCAAGTTCATTTCGTTTCGTTACTGCAAAGACACTTTTTTTTACTCGGCACCTAGTGACCCACTTAACGGCTTTTGGGTCAGCAGAAATTCGTACTCTGCCCGGCTCATAAATTCTCCGATGAGAATATTTCGAAGTTTCTGAAAAGTAATTTTAAAAGAGTTTACGGCCGTCGCATTTGCCAGCTAATTAAATGAAGCGCGTTTATTGTTTCGCCAGCTCCCCCTTGCTATAATCTCTCGCGCAATTTACCAGCACTGTGAACACCCAAACGACTGCGATGCTCGAAGGCAAATGATGCGATTTGTAGTTGCGGTTCCTCCTGCCGCCACTAAGTCAAGCTAAATAATTCGAACGAAAAAAAAATGGATTTAATTAAATATAAACATATGAGTCTGTATGTGTGCAAGTGTGCGTATACAATGAACACAGTGTGCTAAAGTCCATTGATACACAGCGAGCTGTGAAATACGAGTTGCAAAGATAACGTTATTTAATACGCAATTTGAATAAATCTTGAAATTTAAAAACGAAAAACTTTTTAATAAGAACAATAAATAATTATATTTCGCAATCAATTCAAAATGATGTTTCGACCACTGTGCAATGACATTGCTAGAACTTTTATTGTTGCATTCGCTTTCAGTATTTCCCCAACAATGTATGAGTGTATGCATGGCAATGTATGCGTGTATGTATGAGTAATAGTGACAAAAACGCAGCTACGCAGCTTTAATGCACACACACATACATGCAGAGTCTTATATATGTACGTAAATGTACACAATAAACGTAAATATACTATGGAATCTCAATCATTCTACATTGTTTGTAGCAACAAAGAATGAAAAATCTTTTCAAAAGGAAAAACGGAAAAAACTGCAAATCAATTTAGAAACAATACAAATAGCGCGTTTTTGAAATAATCGGATGGCAATCTCGGGGGCAATGGACGCCAGCGGGCAGAGCGCCAGCTGATTATAGCAGTGATTTTCAGCGGCACTCTCCCTTTTTCTCTTGTTTGCGCTCTACACACTTGACATTCGCTGCTCGCACACGAAATTCGCTATGCGACCGAATGAAATGGATAGCGTCAAGTCAGCGCACGTTACGCTCAGCTGAAATGCCTTTTTCAACAAGTTAATTTTGTAACAACAAATAGCAGGCAAATGAGCAGCGTACGCAGTCTAATGTGGGCGAGAGTGGGAGAGCGTAATATGAAGTGCTGCTTCGTATTGAATGTATAAGAAAGAGAGTGAATGAAAGAGAGAGAAGCAGGGAGAGAGCGCAAGTAAATATTTTTGTTTTTGTTTGTTTTTATTTTGGTGGTTGTTTTCGGATCGCTCGTTCACTCGCTCACATATCAGCTGTTTTTTGTTTTGAATGGCAATAAAGCATGTGTGCTTAAGGGAGTACAGTAGGAAGGGCAGGGGTGCGCCACACACGATGACGTCAATTAGCATAGAAATGATTGAATGCTCAATTTTATTGAACAAACTGTGAATTGTATTTGCGCAAACACAATTGCTGAACATGTGCCAATTGGCTAAATCAAATGCAAATGTTGTTGCTTTAATAAACAAAAGAAAAAGAAACACTGAAATTTCCCAAATGCGCAGACAACAAAGAAATAATGGCCAAGAATGTGAGCAAATATGTACTCAAGTGTATATAAAAATAAGGTATATAGTATATTATGCATCAAGAACCATCACGCACCAGCAAGAGCACACAAAAAGCTGTTTGCCAAGTCGTAGAATGTGAAGATTATCATAATATAGGCCCCCGGCTAATATTATCACAGTCCAATGCAATCGCCTCTAATCAAGTATCACACTTTCACACACAACCACAACAACAACAACAATCTCTGCACTTTACTGCTATTGCATTTGCTGGCCGGCGACAGATTGCAAAGTACGCGAACCGTTCGCGTCCCCGTTCATGTCCATCAGCAGCGTGAATCTGCCAAATCGATTGACGTTCCCAATTGACGCCGTTTCCCGACTTTCGTTTGCGACAAGCGTTGCCAGCGCGTCTTTGCCGACGACTAACGGGCCAGCCGATTTGCCAGGCCACACCAGGCCCAGAGTCAGCGCGATTTGGCCCAACAGCCAGAGAGTCGCCGTCGAACGAATCCAAATACCGAATCCGATTCCAACTCCGAGTCATTTCACCAGCCACGAACACTGGTTGCTCTTATTTCTATCGATGCATGTTGTTATTTTTCTTTCTTTCTTTCTTTTTGCCATTTATGTGATTTTTTTCTCTCTCTCACAGAGACTGTGTGATGGGAATTTACGACGAAAGAGCGTTAAGAGTTATGTTTCAATACCCTGTATAATTCATACAATAAATATTTATATATAATATATATATATATATATATATATATAAGAAGAGAAGTGTTTGGTTAAGGTTTAACTATTTTCTTCAGAAATAAATAAAAAATACTTTAAAAATAAATTTTAAAAAATGTAAAATTGAGATAGTGTTCAAGTTTAACATTAGAATAAGTTCTATGCTCTTAAAAATCAAATATTACAAAATTCCCAAAACCACTACTACGTATACTTAATATGCATTTACATAAAGGAAGTATACGCCCCGTACGCAAGTCACGTAAATAAGCGATCAGAGAAGAAACAAATCTTGTAACTTAAAGTCAGTTCAATGCATAGCTCTGCCAAGCTGTGGCTCACGCCTTATTACCACGTGCAGTAAGCCAACAACAAAATGCATTAACCCATTCGCTTATTCCACATTTGAACTGGAGATCACTCAGCTAGCAAAAAGGCTGTAGGAAATTTTCTAACCATTTTCAGGCATTCTACCCAATAAGGTGAGATGCAGTTTTGTGGCTGCTGACGATCGCATTTGCCACACTCGATGATTGTGCCAACAACACGATTGACTCTTGGCCGGGGGGCCAGTGCAATAAATCAATGCAGTGGCGCATTTTTCAATCGCCTCCGTCGCGCCGCCCCAAGCCCAGCCATTGAGCAGCAGCCAAATGCGGCAAACAACAGCGAAAACAAACGCGAAACTTTGTACACTCAGACAGTATACATATATATATTAAATATATATATATATATATATATTGTGTATATATGTTTATAAGCTATTCAAGCTGCGGATCTACTTTCAGGCAAATCACGCGTCATTCACAAGAGCGTCGAGTGTTCGCAGCAAACAGTTCAAATTTAATGTGAATACTTGTTCTGCCAAGGGGCTTGGGGACAGTGAAAGGGGGCAAGGAGTGGGCGAAGAGTTGTTGGGGTGTTAGACACTGCTGATGCAGTTACAGTGGGTACTGCAAATAAACAACACGCCCATGTACATAAAACTGTACGCAAGCGCTTGAACTTGGCAGTTAACTTGGCTATAATTGCGGGGCTTTCTTAGCATGGATATACTCATATATATGATACAGGTAGATATGTGTATGTAGGAAGAATATGAAAATACTGCATTTTCTGAGAAAATTTTATTTATAGAGCTGAAGAGCCGACAACTGCTACTTCTCTCTTCTGTCTCTTTCTCACTCGTTACTTGATCTTCAACAAATTGTAAATGACTAGTTCATTCAACCTTTAGCTTGAATAGTATTAATTATTTGATTCTACATATAGATATCACAATTTGCTTTATGCCTTCTCAAATTACTTCATTTACTGCTAAATGAGATAAGTTTTAAATTCAGATAATTGCAATAGAACTGTTTAAACGCGTAATTAGAGTCCAAGACCTTTGGCCAAAACAGCTGACTAACTAAATTGAATGACTATACAAATACCAAGACTAGAACCTCTAATCGAACCCATAAATGCAATCAATTTTGCGCTAGTTCAGTTGCTTGCAATCGCTTTCTATAAACCTTGAGCAAGTTTTGTAGGTAATATTAATCATTTAATTACTTCTAGGTACTATTGAAAATATATATTATTTACACATTTCTGAATAGTAAGCCTACATGTAAAAAAATCGATTTTAAGTCTTGGGGTGAATAACAAATCAAATTGTATAAAATATGTACCATGAGAGCTATTCACCTCCATATGACAAAACATTCAACTTCAGCGCTTTAAGCCAAAACCTTGTAACCACGGCCATGTTTTTGTAGTCGCTTTGTCCTCAGTAACTTTGAATTGTATGACAAATATATTTGCTATATAAAATCAACTAAAGTTTTCGGCATTTTTTTAAATCGATATTATCTCACTGCCTTTGGCAGCCCCATGGAATAAATATAGATATCGGCATTATATATGGCTTGCATATAAGATCGATAAGTATCGTGTTCAACTTTATATACAGCACATCTAATGCTTTCGGCATTCTTCTCAATTTTGCTTTATATAGCATATGTCAATGCTTTTTGTACCCTTATCAAATCGATAAATGTCGATATCAACTTGATATATGAAACTCTCATATAAAATCGATAAACATCGATATCAATATTATATACAGCATACCTCAGTGCTTTTAGCATCGATAAGTATCGATATCAATTTTTTAATATGCTCAATACTCAACTCACTTCCAAGATTCTTCCACATTTTTGGATTTTGGTGTCTCAAAACATTCTAAATAAAAATAAAAAACCGTAAAAAAATATATAAAAATAATCGATTACTTAAACTTTTTTACATAGATTTATTGTCTAGAAAGAAAGTCGTTTTATGGTATTTGTTACGAAAATGACTTTTGAATAAATAGAGCGAGAGAAAGTTGCGAGTGCGTTCGAAAGGGAAAATTTAGATGGCTGGTGCGAGTACCCTGTTTATAAGCATACAAATATTTACAACATTTATCATTAACGTATTCAAGTCCAGTACAAGTTCCAGGCAATTTCGCGGGCAGGTCGTTAGCAAGTATTCTCTAATTCTCTAGTAGCGCTTAGATGGTGCCAGGAGCGGGAGCAGCATTGATCGAGGCGACCGACTGAATGTGTCCGGCCAGAGGAGCTGTGTGCACGGCACCACGGGTCTGAGCGGTATAGACACCCTCGTGGGCAACGGGACCAACAACCACAGCAGGGGCATGGCCAGCCAGCAGAGCGGGACCGGGACCAGCAATCACAGCGGCACCATGAGCAGCGACGACTGGGCCAGGCGCAGAAATCACAGCAGGTCCTGCTGGTGGCCAGGAGCCGACGGAGACAGCGGCGGGCCAGTGGGCAGCAGGTGCGGCCCAAGGAGCGGCCAGCACGGGATTGGAGACGGCCGTATAGGAGAGACCATGACCAGCCAGCTGAGAGATCAACGGAATCACCGAAGACTGAACGCCCATGGACAGGGCCAGGGTGACGACGACAGCGATGGCGAACTGCAGGTGAAACAATATGTCAGGCGAGTCCTCGAAAGGATTAAGATCCTGCCAATACTCACTTTCATTTTGCTAATAGATTTTTTGCTTGGTTGCGCTCGGCTTGAACTCTTGTTCTGAACTGATCTATTGGCAGAACCTGTGGCCAGTTTTATAGCCAAGCAAACGAGCTTGCGAGCCCCAGAGCCGTAACAATGGTCAGCAAAAGTTCAGCCAAGTGAGAGTTCAACAACAACGACAACGACAACGACAACTCAGCGACAATATATAGTATATATCTTTTGCATACATGTGATTACAGCTAATGACATGCCACATGCAGGCGTTCACATGTTTCACACTAAATACTCGAGACTCTATCGAGTCTGATCGATCATAGCCAAACGGTCTTGGCCATGTTCATAAGTGCATTTCAGCCAAGCGAGACCCAACCCACTTTTCAGCTGCAGTTCCGGTTAATCTATTTTCACTCGCGTCAGCATTTATTTATTACAATTTTTTCATTTTTTTTTTTCATTTATAATTACTTAATTGTTGTTGTATTTCATTAGCATATAATGTGACTTGCTTGTGGTCCAATTATGGTTCGTTTCATATCCTGATTTGGGCATGGCAGTATATCAAGCAAGTATACAAGCCAAAGGTTCACAGATAATATCTCTATAATAATAAAGAGCAAACAGCTTTAAAACCAAAAATACCCTATAAAACAGAATCATGAATATAAAATAGAGCAAAGCAGATAAACAGAATTTAATGTGTCCAAATATATTTATTAATTTTTATTATCTATCTGCATTTCTTTACTATAAATTATTATTCAATATGCCTAGAGGCACATATGGCTTATGTAAGTTTCAAATCTATTGCATTTGAAAAAACATTTGTAATAATCAATAATAAAGCGAAGTTTAAAAAAACCATGTAAATAAATGTTTTTATTATTTTATACTTGCAGAAGAATGCATATAAAAGTATATAAAAAATAGTGTCATAAAATATAAGGAAAGATAATTAAAAAAATAAGGAAATTGTATATTGTAATTATTCAAGAAATAATTTTATAAGCATTTATTTATAACTATAAAAGTTGCTTATATTGAAGACAGAGATCGACAGATAGATAGACGGATAAAATTAACAAAAATGATATGTATGAAATTTAAATTTAAAAGATAGATCTAAAAGTAAAAAATTTTATATGTCAAATTTACATTCTATTTTCTTAATTAATTTCTTATTTTGTTTTATCAATTTTATTTATAATTTTTTTTTAAATAATTTTTTAAATAAATACTTTATACATATGTTGTCAACGTTAATATATATTTATATATTCTATATATTTATATTGAAGACAGAGATCGACAGATAAAATTAACAAAAATGATATGCATGAAATTTAAAATTAAAAGATAGATCTAAAAGTAAAAAATTTTATGGTATGTCAAATTTACATTCCATTCTTATATTAATTTCTTATTTTGTTTTATATCAATTTTAATTTATAAAATTTTTTAAAATTATTTTTTAAATAAATACTTTATACATATGTTGTCAACGTTAATATATATTTAACATATTATAATATATATTAATATAAATATACCAATCTCTTGTTTTCCTTACTTTCTCGTAAAGCCAGCCAAATCGGCAAGTTATTCTGCGCCTTTTAAGCTGCTTGCTTCCTTTTAATTATGCCGCCCTAGATAGCCTAATGGAGCGTGTTTAAATGGACTTTACATAACACTCCAGAGCACTCCCTTGACTATATATTTTTTCTCATTTAAATGCGTGGGTGCTATAGACAGTCAAAGACGTGCAGTCGGATTGCAGTGGATCCGCCCACGCCACACAGCCATTAGGTGAAACAATTAAGTCGCAGCGCCAGAAAAAAAAGCAAATTATGCAAATGGAAAACAATTCGATTTTGATGCAAAAAAAAAAAAATAAACTGACGAAAATAGTTTGAAAACCTTGCGAATTGCAACCGCATTGCAAACCAGTTTGAAGGCGGCAAACGCTAAAAACCCAAAACAAAAACAAACAAATTCAAAGCAAACCAGTCAGGTGTCGTTGCACCAAATGCATTTACTTTGAGCCAACCTCAAAGTTTGGTTAGCAAACAAACAAAATTATTAGCCAACACCACAAGAGTTCAAGTTGAGATCTTTGTGCTGATAAGCTGTAATTAGCTGAGGCTATAATTTATAGTTCCATATAGTATTAACTATGACTTCTGTCACACACACACATACATTTATCAGTCATTATTATATAGTTCGATATGGTCTCGCCCAAGCTCAGGTGCTGGCTGTTACCAATGCTGGGCTGTAATTAGCTTTAAGCGAATGAATAATTAAGCATACGCCCTGCAGTCACAATTGAAATTGCGTTCAATTAGCTCAGCTCAAATGTACATTGGCCCGGTCTAAGCTATAAAAAAAGTCCAAATATATTAACTAAACTTAAGTGTTTAGTGTACACTTGTTGAAAGCACTTAAACTCAAAGACAAAGACATTTTTAATCTCGACATTCTTTTGCGATATGCAATCAATTAAGCAATCTGTAATTTTTTCAAGGTGCAGTAAGCCCAAGGTCGTTGCACATATTAATTTGATTATTAATTTAGATACATGGCTAGAGCTATTTTAATGACTACCTTTCCTTTACTTAGTCACATTTTAATTGTTTTCTATTGAGCAGCTGCGCCAAAGAGGCTGGGCTGTCACTGAGCCCTGGGCAAATATCAGTAAACAGCTTTTACAAACGTGCTGCAGCCAACTTAATTAGCACTTTGTAGTGCAGCCAACTTAATAAGGGAACAGTTTAGTGCAGCTAGCTTAAGAGTTTTGACGAAGAGGAATGTGCTGAACTGAGGAAGTGTTTTACTTAGAAAATACTTCTGTTCCAGTAATACTACATTCATAGATATCAGATCAGATTTCACTGGGACAGTATCCAGAAATATGTTCCATTAAGAGAATTGTTTAGTTCGACTGTACTTCTAATTGTAATTACATTTCTAAAAATAAATGATATGATAATATATAAAATTATATTTTTATTTTTTAAGCATACAAAATTAAAGTCAAAGATCTAGTAAACGGTAGTATTTGAAGAGATTGATAAACCTAATCACAATAGGATATTCTAGAATAACCTGGAATAGATGATAGAAGTTCTTGAGAGAGATATTCTCCTCTCTTTAAGTGGAAATCTTTGCTTAAATTTGTATACATTAAAAAACACTTGAAATGAAAAGCCATTAAATGTTCGCATAAATAAAAACGTTGAATGAGTTTATTTAAAACGTTTTTCGTCAATCTTACAATTGTTGCAAATTCCTTAAGTACGTTTATATGTATGTATGTATGTATGTATGTATATATATATATATATATATATATACACTGAATATGTACAGATTGTTTTTTTCGTTTTGCATATACAGCTGGGAAGTTACACAGAAAGAAATAGAATAGCGTATCGAGTGTGATAGATAGAAAGTATATTGTTGCAAAGATCGATAGATATATAGATAGATAGAAGAAAATAAGAGGAATTGTCGGATAAGCAGGTGGTTCGTAAAGTTCTCAAGTAATAAGAAATTAACATGCTGTTATTTGTTTGTTGTAGTTGTTGTAATTGTTGTTGCTGTTGTTGGACTTATTTGCTGAACACAGAACTAACTCAAATGTGCGCGTGAGTGTGAGTGTGTTTCGGTGTGAACCAGTTGGAGAACCGCACGGTTCTCGGGTTCGCAAACGGGACTAAGAGCGGTGTGCTTAAAAAATAGTGGGTGGTTGTGTTGTGGTGGTGGTAGAGTATCCGAGTAGAGAGTCGTTGAAATCGTGAAAAGAAGTGGATAGCGTAGAGTGAGAGAGAGACAACAACTGGTTGCGCCTGTGGTGCACGGCTCAACCCCGACTGTTGTCCTGCCCCGCCTGCAGCTCACTTCATTTGGCATGCATTGTTGTTGTGGCTTTTTTTGGCAGCATTTACAGAGTACCGGGAGCAGGTGCCACATTCACGGAGGTGGCTGAGTTGATGTGACCGGCAAGGGGGGCGGTGTGGATGGCACCACGAGTCTTGGCAACGTAGACACCCTCATGGCCGTGGGGACCGAGGGCACCGGCACCGGGACCCTGAGCCAGGGCAATGCCGGGAACACCAGCGTTCCAGCCGTGAGCGCCGAGACCCCAGGGAGCGCTGGCATGGACAGCAACGGCAGCTGGTGCGGCCCAGCCGTTGTTCCATGCACCGTTGTTCCAGGCACCATTCCAGGCACCGTTCCAGGCGCCATTCCAGGCACCGCCCCACAGACCGGGACCGCCATGGGCCACCGAGTTCACATAGGACACGCCAGGTGCAATTGCGGCCCACGAAGCCTGAGCACCGGCAACGGCGCACACGAACATGACTACGGCAACGGCGAACTGTAAGTAGAGTGAGCCAGAGCGAAAGAGGGAAAGAGAGGAATCCAGGATTAGGCCAGAACTCGGTGGATCTAAGGCCAACCATGGGCCAAGTCTCTTACCTTCATGTTGTTGTTGAGGGGTTTTTTAAGAAGTTGAAGGAGTAGAAGGAAGACTTGTTGAATGCTCAGCGAACGAGTTGATTCTGATTTCGACTACCAAATTGTGGTAACTTTTATACTAAAAAATTGGCGCGGACTTCGCGCAGCAAATGCATTTCCAGCAGCAGCATAAAAAACAAAACAAAACAACAAAAAACCTGCCCCACACAACAGCAGCAAACAGCAACAACAAATGCACTCAAGCAAATATATATCAAATTCGAATAAACACACAAAAACTAGACTCAAAACAGCGACGACGACGACGACGCCCAAGCCAAAGGCTGGCACAAGCCAATGGCTGAGAGGCTCAGCTGGCGTCGCTGTCGCAGAATTGGAGCAGATCTGTCTAAGTGCTCTGCCTATGTAGCTGGTCTAAGCCTTTCACTGCCCAGCTGCGCAGTCGACGTCGTAGACGTCGGCGTCAAATCGTCCGGCTGCGATCTGCTGGGTGGTGTCGGCGTCTCTCTATGGAGCATCTAGTGGTGGGTCAGGCGTGTGCGGGCGGGGCCGCATTGTTGCGCAAATTGCAATAAGCAAGAATTTAGAGCCGAAGGAAACATACAGGCACACGTACACACACACACACACTGAAAACTATCGGCCATAGCAATCGAAAACACGAAAATTGCAACAACGACAACAAACGAAATTATATTGATAAAGCCACAAACACATTTAAAAGCCATAAGCAAAGCCTTGCGGCTATGCGCAGCCGCAACCCGCTACCCCCACTCTCTGCTACCCATGCCCCATACCTGTGCCCCACAACATTGTTTACTTGGCTGTTGGCAGCAAATGCATACAAAACATAGTTATAAGCTGTTGTTATTGTGATTGTCAGAATATTTTTAATTATATATCACTTGGCGAACTCCCATAAAAAAACTCAAATAGTCGCGTGCCTGCACTGTAAGAAAATGGAGACAAAAATAGGAAAATACCGCCATTTTTAAACCAAGAAGTGTGTGTTTGATGACGTCACAAGGAGCACAAGTGACAGGCGAAGCGTGTCAACGATAGTTCGATAACTTTCAACTGTTAAGCTCGATATGAAATGCAGGCCATCTCTATGTGTTACGCTGCGCCTTTTTCAACTTGAGTTTAAATAAGTTTTTTGTATTCATAATAAACTATTTACATAAAATTGAATTGAAATTGTATTTTTCTCAGTGCTGTGCACAATTGCATTTCGCTGATTCCAAAGTAGGAAGGCATGTGCGCGGGCAACGCCCAAAAATAAATATAATCAAACGCTGTCAGCATTGGCAAACAATAAAAATGCAAAATATAAATAGCAAATCAAATTGCTGAACTACTTTTGCCATATTTGGACGCTGGCAAAGGCTTAAGTTCTGCACATGGTCCAAGCATTCATTCAACTTGAAATTGACATAAGATGCAAATCACATTTAACACGGGCCTGGCTCTCTTAACGAGCAGGTCAAAGAGTCAAAGACAATTTTAAGCACCATGTTAATATACACGACCAGAACCTTTTAGAGACAGCTGCACGCTTTTGACAGGTAACGAAAATAAAAAAGGTAAAAAACAGCCAGCATTAATCACATTTAATGGGATTATCCACAGGGCAATTGGAATGCAATCAACTTGCACCATTAAAGCAATTCCAACAAGAACGTTAAGTTTAATATTCATAGCCCGGTCAAATTAAATCAGAATTCATTTTTATGATTTAAGCCGTTTAAATGGTAATCAAGAGATAACTGTCTTTTTATTATATAAAAGCTAGTGATGCAATTTCTGGGCGTATATTTAAGTTTAGCTTTACCATAGAAGATTTCATCAAAGTTTCCGTACTACTTTGCCCTATGCATGTTCCATTCATGTCCATTGTTTCGTGGCATAAATTGTATTTGGCAAAACGGTGGGTGGAGATTGAAGCCGCTTGGCTAATAACTATCTTGTCTGCATTGTAATGATCGGTCAGTTATCGCCACAAAATCGACTAATTGGAGCTAGCTGACTGGCTTGCTCTATTCACGAAACTTGTAAAGCAACCGGGCTATAGCGTGAACGATTATGCAAATTTACCAATAATTTTTATTCATTGGAGTGCAGGTTTGTTCTTGTGGCTGGACATGCCCAAAAACAAGTTGTTTTCGACGGTGTGAGTGTCAGGTTTTTGCTACTTTATATACGTATTTTAATCATATATTTGGCTAATATGCAAAATTCTTCTCAACTTAATTGTTTTCGATAATTATTTTTAAAGAATTTTTACTGAAATTTATGTTTTTGGTATTTATCTATAGTAGCTAAGTACTCAAATCATTCGTTTCTATTTCTTGATGATTTTATGAATGTGTAATCCATTGGTATCGATATTTATTGTCACACATTTTCTGTCAGGAATTTCTATCGGGCTATTCTATATCTCATTGTTATCGATATTTGTTGTCGAACACATTTGTGTTTCATTCCAAGCATCCCTATAGTCCTTGACAACGTTGTCAGCTTTAGCCTTACTCAGCTTCAGTTCACACAGGAAAACTGCCTTCAAACGTGCTTTAAGAAAAATAGTTTTTTCTATCTTTTTTTAGTAATTTCTACGCTTTTCCAGTCGTTTTTACATACAATATGGCTGGTCTAGCAGCAAAAGCCAAAACATTTGCTAACAGTAAGTATATATATATATATATACATATATGTATATATATATACAAATGTTTATATAATTTAATTGTAGCCGTTAAGGCTCAGGCTCGTCCGATGTTTGATGAATTCATGAGCTATGCCAAGGTGGAATTGACGCCGCCAACTCCAGCAGATTTTAAAGCGCTGCGCAAGACAGCTGAGAATGCAAAGAAAGTGGCGAAAGAATCGTCGAAGGGAATTAGTAAGAAGACCGTCTCTGAAGTCTGGCTAAATACTTTGGTCACCATCGAGGTTATCACTTGGTTCTTTATGGGTGAGGTCATTGGTCGACGTCATTTTGTAGGCTACAAAGTCTAAAGAGATGAAAGCAGACCATATCAACTAGTTACAATAACATATACAATAGAAATATATATATATATTTTAATGTTCCCAAACATCAAATAAAGCTGCAGCATTCACGGATCATAGGTTCTTGCATTTATAACTAAAGGCCACACCTCGCATTCCATAATGCAAATCTCAGCTGCTGTGGCATTGATCTTGGACACGGCTGTTCAAATGCTACGTGACGTGCGGCCAGGAGGCGTTCAAGCATCGAGGCGTTTGACCAGCTGCTCTGGCATAAATCAGACTGACACCAGCGCAATTGCATAATTCCAAACAATGCACATGTCGCACTGCAGCAACGATCACACTCAATGCTTGGCCCAATTTTTATGGCACTTTAATGCCTCTTGCCCTGCCCCAAAACAAGTGCCGCTTGTCGCAATCTCGAGGCTCGATTGCATCATGACCAAAGTCCTTATCAACAAATATTTCAGTTTTCCAACAGTGCAACGCCCACTTATGCTACGAGCTGCAGATAAATGCGAATTCCGCATTAAAATCGTATAAACTAATTATGGCCACGCCGTCTGGGCTCTGGCACCAGCTTTGGCTCTGACTCTGACTCTGGCCTGTACAACAATGCTCTAGCCACGCTTCAATTCAATTTGGGAACCTGATCAACAGTTTTTTCTTTTTTCTTGTGGACTGCAACACATTTGGCAACAGCAAAATTTGCTGCCTGGTTGACTGCAACGCCTTCTACACCCACGCCCCCTAAAACACCTAACCTAACCCAAACATGCTGCTCATTATTTCATTTAGTTTGGTTTCTTTCAATTTTTGTCATACTCTACTCATGCGAAAATGATTAATCGAAGTATATTTGTGCATTAATAATATATGTGCGAGGTTTCTGAGAGAATAAATAATCATATACTTAGCTTACGCTGAATATTATTTTATTTCTTAGTTCTTTGGTTTTAAAATATAAATAAAATTATACGCTTGATAAGTGGGACCTTAAGCTCTTTTTATTAAATATTTACTCTTAATATATAAAAACAACTTACTTTTAACATATAATTTATAATGCTAAAAAAAATAGGGAAATTTTTTAAAAGAAAACCTTATATTTTAAAAAATTGAATGACGTTCAGTCCTTAAAATAAAATAAACAAAAAAATCATTTACATTTTTTTAATTTAAATTTTTTAAAATTTACTTTAAAAAACATCAAAAATATTTCCGAAACATAATAGTATTTACACAATAGGAAAGGCTCGTAGAACCTAAATAAAAATAAAATGACTTAAAAATATAAATCACTAATAATAAGAATAATGATAAAAATAAAAGTACGATGATAAGAATTAATGAGAATTTATAAATATATAAACATATATTAAGAAGCTTTTAAATCGAGTAAAATGTGAGTAAAACTACTATATATCATTTTTTTATATTATGAAAATATTGACTTGACTTGCTTACTATGAGAACATAGTACTAGGCATTGGCATTAGTCATTAGAATTTTACAATTCAAAATGTATTTATTTATAGATAATATGGAAAATATAAGTATAGTTGTAGGTCGCCTATACTCGAATTTGTTTTTGTATTATTTTTATTATTTACAAATAATTGAATTAAAGTAACATTCGATTTGATTAATGGAATTCAAGTGGGTGGCCTCCGAAAACTTTAAAACTGCGAGCCTATTGCAGCAATTGTTGTTCAGTTAAATATATATATTTATATGTATATCTTTGCGTTGTAGCTGCATAATCAATCTCTTGCCGTAATTAATCCAATTATAATTACATGTGATAGTCAGCAGAGCTAATGGCCATTAAGCTAAGGCAATAATTAACCACTTTAGAAGGCAGACCCACTCGAGAACTGTCACAACTGAGCAGAAAAGTATTACGAGTCCGCGTCTTATGGGTAAGTATTATTTATGTAACACGTTCTACGGTCAGTTTTGAATGCTTATGACATGCCTCCGCCTTGAAAGTTGAAGTGTTTCACGCCTCAACAATCACAGAGTACGTTCAACGGGATGCCAACTGCCTATTACCAATTGCCAACTGCCTCTTGCCAATGGCCAATTGCCAATTCACTTGATAAGACTCTACGCAACGGAGGTGGGGGCAACTGCTTAGGGAAATGTGAAATATGCATGTGATTCGCAAACACAACTAGTTTTTCTTGGAAAGGAATTTTGGAATTTATTGAACTATTTAGACAGCTGGAGGCAGTCCGCCTAGTAGAATTGTAACTGATTGATTCACTATTATTTTAGCATGACTGAAGTAGTAGATTTATCTAATTCTTAAGTATAGTATATAGTATATATATATTAAAAAATGAAATTGAATTCTTATAATAAATTACAACTATATTATAATTACCAGTAAAAGCTAAGAAGGTAGTTGACTATTCAATTAAGCTCAAATTTTAATTTGATTAAATACTATACTAAATGTTTTGAAGGCTAATTGTGCATTTCATTAAAATTATAATTCTAGTAAAAGTCGTTCTGTTATGAATATAAAAATCATAATCAGAGCACTCTTCCTATTGGATAAATGAAAGATAGCATAATCAATTGAAGAAGTCGGAGATCATATTGGAGCAGAATTGGATAGGGGAAGATTTAAAGCATGTTCAACCACAAAAAAAATAGAAAAAAAAGTAACCCATATTGTATATATTTCTATTATTATTATTATTCTCATTGTGCTTAACTTTTATTTAAATGAATACAAACATAAACATAATTGAAATTGCCTTTAACCCATATAAGCAATTAATTCAGAAATAGTCTAAATCTATCAAAATTGAATTGTCCACTTATCTAGCCTAACGTCAAATGCAATTAAAAAAGTATACGGTAAATTTTGGACTTTGACTTCACTGCTTACTATAAGCCAAAAGCAGATATTAAGTGATCGGCTAAATTGTTCGTGAATTACTGAACGTACCTGATCAATCTATATGAACACCCTGTAATCTGTCTAAAAAGTGCAACTAATAAAAGTAAAGTCAACTACAAACTTCACTAAGATCATTTAGTCCATTAACCTTATTCGGTAAATCATAGCATCGCACCCACATGCGATCATATAAAAACACAAGCAATAGCAAAACAAAAAAAAACAACAGTAAACAAAGCCCAAGTCACAAACAAGATCGACAAACCGGCAGCAAAAACCAAATTGCACGGGCGGCGCATGCCAAATGCGTTGTTGGCCCAAATGCCAGACGTGGCCTTGGCTCAAGCTGAAGTCGAAGTCGCAGCCAAAGCTGATACAGATGCAGTGGCAGCTGCTGTTGCGCATTTAGTGGGCCAAAAGCAGCTGCGTGCAAAATAGAAACCAGTAAAGTGCGTTTTTGTGCGTCCAATGAACCGACAAGCCAAACAGGAAGCATTCGCATGTAAACGAAAAGCTGCGTAAACTTGAACTTGAACGCATAGAAGGAAATTTGTCACAGCAACTGCGTCATGCGTTCTGCGTGCACGCGTAGCATAGGGAAACAAAAAGCAACAAAAGCCAAACAAGAAAAGCTGAATAAAAAAGTGAATGGCAACTGGCCGGGCAAGATTTATGGGCAATTGCCATTGGGCTTGGCTGCCAACATGACATGGTAACAACAACAGCGCCGACTGCTACTGCGTGTGTGCACATGAAGCTGGAGCTGGAGCTGGAACTGGAACTGGCAGAGGGAACTCAAACTGTAACTTTAACAGGGAACCTGTGGGCGTCGATTGACAATTGCGGACACGTTCAACATTTGACACTTTTATTGAAGCGGACATTTAGCGCTGAACGCTTATCAAGCGCAGCCTAAATGCGATTTCGTAACACTTGAGGGATGTCTGGAAGCTGTGCAGCGCGAGCACATTCACCAGAAATACAACATAGCTGTGAACAGTAGATGCAGAGAGGGGCGGCATGGCAATGTAGGTGGCGTTAAGGCGGATCTGAGGTCCCCGTTTGCATACAATTATTTAAGCTGGCCGTATCAAGCGTTGTTGTTGTTATTTTTTTACATTACGTGAATTTTTCTATTAATAATTGCGAGTGCCGTTGATCAAGGCAAACAACCCCTGCTCCACTTAAGCCTAACTCTCGTTTTCAGTTGCTGTAACAACAGCACTAACAAAAACAACAACAACCCGTAGCGCGGCAGTTGGCAACAAGTTGGCCAGATGTGTGGCCCCTGACGCAGTCGCAGTCTCAGGCGTAACTGCAACTGAAAAATGATAGTAGAGTTTAGTCAACGCCCCCTTGAAGCGGTTTCATTAGTTGATTGACGTATTTATATGATTTATTATTGTACAGCTGGAAAACGCTTAGTTATGCTCTCGTTCTTCCTAAATGAGTTCTATGACCACATAAATTCAAATTTCACTGTATTGATAACAGAAATATCTATATCTATATATATATATATATATATATATATATATATATCTACATCTATATATATATATATATATATATGTAATTGTACATCATAATATGATAGAATCACTTGAATTTTCTTTGCTTAACACAAGTTTTTATAAATTTAACATTTAAACTACCGCCAAAGTAATATCGAACAGCCACCACAATCTATCGACAGCTGCACACCATGCTGTTAACAATACACGTTCTGTTAAGTGCCGATACTTCTGCTAAGTGTTGAGTACTTTTGTTAAGTTTGAAGCCGCACGTGTTGAGCGAGAATTGCATTTCAGAATAATTGGTTTGAAAAGAAAACAACTATGAAGGTAGCAACGAAAAAAGTGAAGTCCTTGGACAAAATAAAGCCGAAAAAGGCAGTCATCAAGAAAAAGCAACAGTCAGAGGAGATCCCAAAGCTACCAAAGGTCGTGAAGAAAACAAAGCAAAGCAAAGTTGAAAAGCAGCCAAAGAAGAAGGTGGCAAAGAAGTTACAGAAACAGGATCTGGAAGGTCTGAAGGATATAGATCCTGAGTTCTATGATTTTCTTAAAAAGAACGACAAGGAATTGCTGGATTTTAACCTTATGGACAGCGATGATGACGATGACGAGGAGGAGGAGGATGAACAGCAAAAGGAAGATGCTGCTGAGGACAGCGAAGAAGATGATGCCAAGTATCACAAACCCAGCAACGATCTGGCAGTGGCCAGTGATGAAAGTGACTTCGAAGGAGATGACGATGATGAAGAAACAGCTGGTGCCGGTGGTGCACAGAAAATAACACTCAATATGCTGCGTCAATGGGAGCTGGAACTGGCCAAGCCCAATGTATCCATTGAGGCAGTACGTCAGGTCATTCAAGCGTTCAATTCCGCCTTAGCCAGCATTAGTGCCGATGCCGAGGGTGTGCAGGCCAATGCTGCCGCCTACAAAGTTGTTGGCGCCGCCACCTTCAATGGTGTCATCCAACTCTGTGTGCTTCATCTACAGCCAGCCATAATCAGAGTGTTGGGCGTCAAGCCTAATAGTAGTCTACCTTTGCACAAGCACAAGAAGTGGGTGAAGGTGCGTGGTTGCCTGCGGTATTATTTGGGTGATTTGATACGCCTCGTGGAACAGGTGTCCAGCTCGAATATATTGAATGTGCTGCTCAAGCATCTGCATCAAATGGCGGGCATGGTGGCACCCTTCACATCGCTGGGCAAGACTATACTAAAGCGTCTCATAGTGCTCTGGGCAACAGGTGACGAAACAGTGCGTGTGTTGGCTTTTCTATGCATACTCAAGATCACACGAAAACAGCAGGTGAGTTGCATCTAATCCTGTCGAGAATTTGTGTTAAGTTTTGACATTTTCCCTTGCAGGCTACCATGTTGAATCACGTTTTGAAAGCCATGTATCTAGCTTATGTGAGGAATTCCAAATTCGTTTCGCCAAATACTTTGCCTGGCATCAACTTCATGCGTCGTTCGTTGGTTGAGATGTTCGCTCTGGATTTGAATGTTAGCTACCAGCATGCTTTCCTCTACATCCGCCAGCTGGCTATACATCTGCGTAATGCAGTCATCTTGAAGAAGAAGGATAGCTTCCAAGCCGTTTACAATTGGCAGTTTATCAATTCGCTGCGTCTCTGGGCGGATTTGCTAGGAGCCAGCGCAAATAAACCGCAGCTCCAACCACTTATCTATCCACTGGTGACCATTGCTACGGGTGTGGTTCGTTTAATACCGACAGCTCAGTATTTTCCGCTACGTTTTCATTGCCTGCAGTCGCTTATCTCACTGGCCAAGGAGACACACACCTATGTGCCTGTGCTGCCACTCATTGTGGAGGTGCTGCGCAGCAATACCTTCAACAGAAAACACACTTCGGTGTCCATGAAGCCTCTTCAATTTACTTGCATTCTGCGTTTAAACAAATCGCAACTGGCGGAGAATGGTTTCCGGGATGAGGTCGTGGAGCAGGTATGCGGCCTGCTCTTGGAGTACTTAGCTCATGAGTCGGCTACGCTGGCCTTTAGCGATCTGGTTGTGCCGGTGGTCATGGCTCTAAAGGCTTACCTTAAGGAGTGCCGTAATGCCAACTATGTGCGAAAACTGAAACAGCTGCTGGAGAAGATTCAAGAAAGCAGTCGCTTCATTGAGCAACAGCGCAGCAAGAGCAGCGTTACATTCGACCTAAAGGATGCTCAGGCAGTGCAGGCATGGGAGCAACAGGTGCGCAACAAGAGCACCCCCTTGGACATCTACTATGCCAGCTGGTTGAAGACGCACGAAACGAAGAAGCGACGTCAAGCTGCTCAAACGGATGACATCAATGCCGACTACGATGTGCCCAAGTTGAAGCGACCGGCAGCCAAGACAGGTGTGCCGGTGCGCAATGAGGATGGTGAACTTGAGTTGTTCCCGTCCGATTCAGAAGATGATGCAGCGGGCTTGCCCAATGACGACGATGACGGTAGCGATTCAGAGGTCGAGCAACCGCAGCCGAAGAAACCGAAACGCAAACAGGAGAAGGCGAAGGAACAGCATGTGGAAGTGGCGCCTGTGGAACCCGCAGATGATTACGACGAAGCTGCCACAGCTGTAGATATTGTCAAAGATTTAGATTTGAATGACTGGTAAAAAGGAAAAACCGATTGTAGCATAAAAATAAACTAGACATACGTATATTAACAAATTAATCCAAAATACAGAAATTAGTTTTCTTATCTAATCTTCTTGCCAGGATGAATCTCGTAGTCATTGTACTTGGGAAACGTGCCAATTGTTTCTCCTTCCACCTGCTTGGGCAGCGCGCCCGCATCCTTGTCTTTGCTGTAGTGCGCTTCCAGCTCGGCTGCATTGCGCTTTTTCATCTCCATGATTTGCAGATTCTTGACTAACTCTTCGCGCGTAGGCGGATCGTCACGTCGTCCACGTAGCCATGCCTCCCATTCGGCTGTTAGCTCCTGGTCGAAGGCATCCTTGTCGGCTGGCTCGAACCAGCGCGAAGCTTTGCGTTTGCCAATCGAAGGATTTGGCGGTATCTCGTAGTATTTGTTGCCGAAATAATCCTCGCCAATGTAATTTCCACGGAACTGGCGCGGCTTTAACGAACGCCAAAAGTTTTGCCAAATAATACCAAGAAGATCACGCGTCGGCTTGTTGCCTGCCATAATTTTTGTTGCATTTATTTTGTCATTTGTTTATTGAGGTTAAATTGGACTCTTACAGTATTTGTTATGACATGCAGCAGCTGTCTGCCGAGACAGTGTTGTAAAACAACTTGCGGAGATAAGAGCGCGGTAAGTTCAAATACATACTAAAGCTTTGCCACAATTCTTATTTATTTGTCAGCTATTAACTATTATTAAGCTGGCGGGCTCGAGATCATAATTTGCTAAGTTTTTGTAAATATTTTAACATTTATCTATTGAGGTTTAATTTGACTATTTTTTATGACATGCAGTAGCAGCTGTCTGTGGCAGTGTTGTAAAACGACAGCACGGAGGGATGAGAGCGCGAAAAATATTCAAATTATGTACAAATTCAAAGACGGAGATTATATTTCAGCGGCAACGCATACGGACTATGCCAATCCCTGGCAAACACATCGAAAACATCCGAACGCAATGTATGTTGCGTTTCATTTTCAAAATCCACATCAGCCAGCACTAGACCCACACCAGCTGTGTGTGTAAAGTACTCTCCCGACCAGTTGGAGGTGCCTATGTAGGCAACTCGCTCGGTAACCATGTAAGCATTATGATTGACACGTGTAAAGGGTATTTTCAACTGCTGTTCATCCGAAGGCACAATAAAACGGCGCTGTCGATGAAAATCAATATAAGATGTCTGTTTGAGAGTCTCCCTTTTACTTACAATTTGAATATCTACTTGATGGTTGAGTGTGGACAACTCCTGCAGCGAACGCAGATAGTTATCCTCGTTGGGATCCGAATGCTTCCACCATGAAACCAACAACTTAACAGCCACCCCTCGCTCCAAAGCTGCTTTGCGCAGAGCATTATCGATAGGTGGCCAAAATTCCAGCTTGGCGCCCACCACAATCAACGGGTAGTAATCCATCACGGCAATATGTACAAATTCCGCTGCTGTATCGATGCAGTTTAGGATGGCATCCAGATCGTGAGTACGTCCACTAGCCGTAAGTGGCGGCGGGGCACTGGATATATAGGCACGCATGGTATAGTTACTATTGATTCGAATTAGCATAGGCTGACGCAGATTGTAAAGGGAATGATAGGACCAGGGCCACGGCTTGGGTATGGCTGCAGTGCCATCGCTGCCCAGCTGCCAGTAGGATTTGAATATCTTCGACAAATCCCGTGTTAAGTGCGGACAATTCTGGGCAAGTACGCCCAGCTCCTTGACTTGGGTCAGTGAACGCCAGTCCATGTTGGCGCTGCCCAAATAGAAATGCTGTCCATCTACGATCCACATCTTAGTGTGTAAGGCACCTTCGTTGGCCAGCTTAACGGCGACCACCTGAGCGGCGCCGTAGTTGGCAAAGATTCGAGCATCCGCATGCCACGAGCTCTCCACGCTCTTGTTGAGAGCAATACGTATGCGTAATTTTGGCTTGCCCGGATCACCATTCGAGAGCAAGCGCTGGAACAGCTGTTCCCCAAGCTGGGTGCTGCTGTCATTGACATCGACTCCACGCAATGTCCAATACGGGGCAGCTATATCAATCGTTGTCTTTGCTTTATTCAACAACAGCTGCCATGCTTCGAAAGTGCTCAAGAATTTAGGACTATCGGGCGTATAGTTCAAGCCAATGGGTATCGTCTCCACCAACTGTAATTGACAAGGCAATGGCTTTTCCACGGGGGTGGTTTCGTCCATATGGCCATTTAATGTCTCCCAAGGCAACAGGAGCACAATTAATACAAGCACAAACAGTATGAGTACGGGTATAATATAGCCATGACCATAGCATAATGCGTTGCCCTCTGCCACAGCTACAGCGGGGCGCCTGCAGCATGACGTAGTCGTTGACGTTGTTGTTGACGTTGAGTTTGAATTTCGATTGGTAAATTCCGTTGCATTGGATGCATGTAACGGGACTGCTTGATAATCGATGGTTATTTCGGGCATGTACCCACGCTTACGACGGTCCGACATTGCAATGCCAAGCAGCAAAATGGCTGCACATTTCTGGTGATTTCTAATTTATGTTTTCCAACTAATATATTATTCGACCAGTTGTGACAAATGGTTGCGACCGCCCATCCACCCACGCAAACAAAACATAAAACCAGTGTTGGCTAACATTACATTTTTTTTATCGATTAACTTGTTTAGCTAGAGCTGAGCAGCAGAATGATATTGTGACGGTCACTAGTGATATTTCTATATAAAATTTTGATAAGCAGTCAGGCAAGAAATAATGCTGACAGTTATATAGAACGTTTTTTTAAATATAGATAGTTAGACAAAACATAATGCAGTTAAGATTTGTTTTGTTTGTATACAGTTAAGAGACTTGTGTTTCTTTTATCGAAATGGAGCAGTCACATCGCAAAATTTGTGCTCAGCTCTAATACCATGTCACCCTCACCGCCAGCCAACTTTTGCGATTTGCGCTCAGTCTGTGTTAAAATCTTCCGGCTGAGAGGGCTGAAAATTTTGATGTACGACTGTGTTATCATTTAAAGATCACCAGACAAAATTTCGAGTGTTTATATATAGTTGATTATTGTACGAAAAAAGTCGCGTAATTATGGCAGCGAGATTAATGAACGCTCAGGCACAGGTACGTGTTGCCAAAAAACCATGCCAAGAAAAATTCTGGAAGCGGGAACCTGTGCATCCCCACAGGCACACACACATACGCACAAGCACACGCATGCAGAAAAATCGAATTATGCTGATAACACAATTAAAGTCAAATAACAATGTATAAAAAAGTGTGCCATCAATTAAATGATACGTTTGCGTATATGCAGGAAAATTAAATGCAAATTGGAATTTTTCGCGTTGCGCTTTTCTAACCTAAAAACCAATCAAAAAGTTGTTACCTAACCGAAGTATTTTCTGCTGCTCTTATAATTTTCAAAAAAAGTAGTATATAATTTATGTGCGTGTGTATGTGTGTTTGAACAAATAAAGGTTATTGCAATGCAGTAGCAAAAAATATAAAAAAATCAATTAATTGCTACAATTGAAACAACGTGCAATGAATGTATTTATGTAAGCATCGTTATTCAACGTTGCGAGAAACCCTGCCATATATCTTAGTAGTTCTTATCTTGTGGCACTTTGATAGTATTTTTAATTATAGTATATAAATATATATGAGAGTGCATTTCGTGTGAAAGTCACGCTCTTTAAACGAATTTTTCCGTTTGAAAGACAAAAAGTAAACAGCTTAAAGTTGGGGAGATCTGAGGCATATGAAATGAGTGCAATAAAATCCCACTCCAATGCCTAGAAGTTATTGAACTTTTGACGTAATTCATTGCGTTCTCTTTATTCGTTTTGTTGTTTTTATTTTTTGATCACGTGAACTAATACTAAACGTTTAGATATGCATTGAAAGTGAAGAGTATTTGATGCTAGTGGGTTTTCCTTTCTGAGATGGTATCCATATATTATATATATATATATATATATATATATATATATATATATATATATATATATATATATATATATACAAGTACATACTCGTTATTATTGGATGAGTAGTATAAGTCCTGTTTATTAACCAAGTGGCATGGCCCGTTGTCAATAGCTATCTTATCGTTATACTATTGATACAGTTAATTAATAATATAAGCGTCCGTGATATGTTAATCAACTATTATTTATAGCGCGCCCCTATTCGAATCACAAGGTTTACGTATTGCATTAGCGATGGGCAAACAAATTATTCAACCAGTGATATATGATTAAATAGAAATATTAACTGAATTGCAACGAAATGTTTGATGTCAATAACAGTATAGTTAACATCAATTTTAATGTCAATATGTATCTTCTAAATATTTATATACTCTTGCTACAGTTGCTTAAATGTTAATTACACGTATTTATCTGTTAACATTTCTGTTAATCGACTTACAAATGTTACATAACATAACTTGTAACTGTTAAGAGTTTATGAAGCATAGAATAGATTATGACTGTTCATTAGATTTAAAATATGTTAAAGCCATAACATTTAACCGTTAGTGATTGCTATATTAGCCACTTACCTATTAAGCCACATATTTCAACCGCACCTCGATTAGATTTTATTTAATTAAATTCCATCGTGCTAATTGCTCAATTCTTTTCAAATTTGGTTTTACAGGTGTGCAAACTGGGCAAACATGTTGTGGATCCCATGTCACGTCAATTTCATGCTTCCTGCTACACCGCCTCCAAGGTGGCCCTGTCGAAATTCGACTCGGACGTCTATATGCCCTACGATAAGCTGAACAAGCGTCTGGATGTGGTGCGCAGTCGTCTGAATCGCCCTCTGACTCTGTCCGAGAAGGTTTTGTATTCGCATTTGGATGATCCGGCGAATCAGGATATTGTGCGTGGCACTTCGTATCTGCGTCTGCGTCCCGATCGTGTGGCCATGCAGGATGCCACCGCTCAGATGGCCCTGTTGCAGTTCATCTCCTCTGGATTGAAGAAGGTTGCTGTACCCTCGACCGTGCACTGCGATCACTTGATCGAGGCTCAAATTGGCGGACCCAAGGATTTGGCCCGTGCCAAGGATCTGAATCGTGAGGTTTACGACTTCTTGGCATCGACGTGTGCCAAGTATGGCCTGGGCTTCTGGAAGCCAGGCAGCGGTATCATCCATCAGATCATCCTGGAGAACTACGCTTTCCCCGGTCTGCTGATGATCGGCACTGACTCGCACACGCCTAATGGCGGTGGTCTCGGTGGCCTGTGCATTGGTGTCGGTGGTGCCGACGCTGTCGATGTCATGGCCGACATACCCTGGGAGTTGAAGTGCCCCAAGGTTATTGGTGTGAATTTGACTGGCAAGATTAGCGGCTGGACCTCGCCCAAGGATGTCATCCTGAAGGTGGCTGATATTCTGACCGTCAAGGGCGGCACTGGTGCCATCATTGAATACCACGGCAAGGGTGTTGATTCTATCTCTTGCACGGGCATGGCAACCATTTGCAACATGGGTGCTGAAATCGGTGCAACCACCTCGTTGTTCCCCTTCAATCAGCGCATGGCTGACTATCTGAAGTCCACCGGTCGCGGTGGTATCGCCTCCGAAGCCCAGAAGTTCCAGTCCAAGATCTTGTCCCCCGACAAGAACTGCGAATACGATGAGCTGATTGAAATCAATCTGGATACACTGGAACCGCATGTGAATGGTCCATTCACTCCAGATTTGGGTCACCCCATTAGCAAGCTGGGCGAGAACTCGAAGAAGAACGGCTATCCACTTGACATTAAGGTTGGCCTGATTGGATCCTGCACAAATTCCTCATACGAGGATATGGGTCGCTGTGCCAGCATTGCCAAGGACGCCATGAGCCACGGAATCAAGTCAAAGATTCCCTTCAATGTGACACCCGGCTCTGAGCAGATCCGTGCAACCATTGAGCGTGATGGCATCTCTGAGGTGTTCGACAAGTTTGGCGGCACTGTGCTGGCCAATGCTTGTGGCCCATGCATCGGTCAGTGGGATCGTAAGGATGTGAAGAAGGGAGACAAGAACACCATTGTCACCTCGTACAATCGCAACTTCACCGGTCGCAATGATGCCAATCCGGCTACTCATTGCTTTGTGACCAGTCCCGAGATGGTCACTGCTTTGTCGATTGCCGGTCGCCTGGACTTCAATCCGTTGACGGATGAGCTCACTGGCTCTGATGGCAAGAAATTCAAGCTGAAGGCACCCTTCGGTGATGAGCTACCCGCCAGGGGCTTCGATCCCGGTCAGGATACCTACACCGCGCCACCAGCTGTATGTTGAGCTTTTTCTTTTAATTGCTTATATGAAAACTAATTGAAATTTCGTTGGCTTACAGTCCGGCGATAATGTCAAAGTTGCTGTGGATCCCAAATCGCAGCGCCTGCAGCTACTGGAGCCCTTCGACAAATGGAGCGGCAAGGATTTGACCGATATGACTGTACTGATCAAGGTTAAGGGCAAGTGCACCACAGATCACATCTCCGCCGCTGGCCCCTGGTTGAAGTATCGTGGACATTTGGACAACATTTCCAACAACATGTTCATTGGCGCCACCAACTACGAGAACAATGAGATGAACAAGATTAAGAACCAGCGCACCGGCAACTGGGGAAATGTGCCCGAAGTCGCTCGCGACTACAAGGCCAACAACATTAAGTGGGTGGCCGTCGGTGATGAGAACTACGGCGAGGGCTCATCCCGCGAGCATGCCGCACTCGAGCCACGTCACTTGGGCGGACGCGCTATCATTGTGAAGTCGTTTGCTCGCATCCACGAGACAAACCTGAAGAAACAAGGTCTGCTGCCATTGACCTTTGCCAATGCCGCCGACTACGATAAGGTAAGGATATTCATTTAAAGATATAAAATGTATAGAATTGAATGTTAATTATTTATATTTTATATTTCTAGATCCAACCTACAAGCAAGATTTCACTGGTGAATCTGAACAGCTTGGCACCCGGCAAGCCCGTCGACTGCGAGATCAAGAACGGCGATAAGGTGGAAAAGATTAAGCTAAACCATACGCTCAACGATCTGCAGATCGGCTGGTTCAAGGCGGGCAGCGCTCTTAACCGCATGAAGGAGTTGGCCAAATAAGTTACTTAGTCCCCCTCTCGAGCAGCCTTACATACACACAAACACTCAAAACACACAGCCACACATATAGTTACTTATATATGCCCGACATGAAACGCAAGCAATCAAATTATGGTATTGTTGTTTTATTTAAAAAATTATTTGTTTAATTTTTTTATCTGGCGCGTTGTTTTTAAATTTTTTATTCAGTGTCGCAAATGCTAATAGTAAAAGTTATGTAATCGAAAAAATAAAATCGAGAAATTGTGAAACAGTTTTATATATATATACAATTATACATACATTAATAATTATATTTAGTTGAACTTTTGTTTTTTTGCGAATTTGTTTGCTGCGAATGCGAATAAAATTTATTGTAATATGTATGAAAAACGCAAAGAAGTTTTATGTAAATTATTATTATCAATTTGATTTGCTTTTTTGTTTGTTTTTTTCGAAGCGGACAATAAACGGACCCTAAATCTGATAATTGGAGAATTGTTGAACCATTTCCTAGTCGCAACAACCAATACTCAATGAACATTTGATTAAACTAATTGTATCAATTATGAAACTTAACTTTAGTAAGCGTTATTAAGGAAATAAATCATAGAATCAAAAAGGCTTCCCAGTTTGTCAGGCTTTTCACTTTTTTTTAGTTTTACTGATCTAAATAGTAAATGCTCAAAATTTCAGTGTGATTACATGGCTTCTGATTGGAGGTTGCCGTGCACAACTCGATCCACTTCCATAACAAATTTGACTCTCTGCACACCAACAGTTAAGCGCAAATGGCGTAACAAATTTAAGTTGCTCGATTTATACAAACAAAATGAATGCTTATGGATGGAAAACCACAAAGATTTTCTCAATTTTGAATTAAAGGATGAGCTGTGGGACCAGGTCGCTCAGGAAATGTGCTGCCATGAAAAGTCTATTCCAAAACCAGACAAATGGAGACATCTGGTTATTAAATGGCGCTACAACGTCCATTTGGAGGAACTCCACAAGCAGAAAGCCATACATTTTGACACGCTTGACGAGCTACCACGCAGACTTCGGTATTCGGACAGGATTCAGTTTTTAATCAATCACACCTTCGATCGCAAAAAGACTGTACAAGTAGGGCCGAGAGCAGTAAGTGTAAAGATGCGTAAACCAAGCTATAGGACACCTACTTGAACCACAAAAATGTATAGAGTATATTCTGAAATAATAGTAAAGAGAGAGTGTCATAATTTTGGCCAGCATCTATATTGCTTATCAGGGTATTAGGTACCCTCATGTATTATAATCATGAGGTTTACTCAAAATCTATCTGTTTCCACACACAATCATCGATAAACAATAACCGAACTATAACAATACTATTATTAGTATTACCACTATATATCATATATAGAATATTTTTTAATTCCCGAGTTTATCTATTTTCATATAACTCTCTAGCATTAATTTCCTTAGCTGACGCCTGATTCGTTAACCACAGCGCATCAAGTGGGTCTCGCTGCCAAGAGCATGCGTTTGGTCCGATGCAAGAGCAAACTTCAGACACCCTTTGGACAAAAGCTACGAACAATGGAGAAAATCCGGAATAAACGACGCAGCACAATGAGCCTATCGCCAGAGGCATTACATCGCCTGATGTAGAGATCTGAAAAACGGAATTGACCATTTGATAACTTCATCATTTTTCAGTGTATTTACACTATAATAGCCTTTCAATTTTATTACATTTCTTTTTGTTTATTGGTTTTTGTTTTTCTCTTTTAATCATAATAATTTGCTTTGCTGTGGTTTTTTTGCCATTTAAATAGTAAAACGTTTTTATATAACAATTCATAATTTTAGCTTACAATAGTGTTTCTTATGTTTTTGTGTTTTTATATATTTCGTACTTCTTACAATTTTCTGTTTTGCAAACACGATTTCTTCGAAAACAGTTTTCATGCAAATATACAACGTTCAGAACATGGTTTTGCATTAATTTAATATCTGTATATATATACATGTATATATATATAACTGTTGTGTGTATATATATGCATATATATATAAATATCTGTATAATTATGTATATAACTAAAAAATGCGTAAATAAATTGGTTTTTGTTTCTTATGTATCTTATGTGTTCTGTTATTTTCCTTTTCATAAAAGGAACAAATCGCACATGCTGATTAAACATGTTCATATTTCAATATACAGCAATATATATATATATTATATTTGCCATCTGGTGTTATTCTCTGTTTTATGTTTAACATCGTTTCGTGTTACTATTAATTACACACAATAATCGATATTATAAACCTGAATTGTTTTGTTAATATTTTGTTGGTTGTTGTGGTTTTTCTTTTTTGTTTTTGTGTAAGCGGCACTATAAATTGTATTTACGTTCTTTTTCTCTTTGTCTGTGGCCCTCTCTCAGTTGCTCTCAGTTTTGCTCAATAACTGATTTAGCCGACCCGGGATTTGAATGAGCAGCTGGCGGCATCTCTGCTATTGTCTCATGCGTCTCGTTTATATATTGTTTTTTTTAATGTTTTTTGCAATTTACCATGTTGTAGTAGTAGTTTATTGTTTCTACATATCTCTATTTCTATGAAATGGCTGTTAAAGATTTTGGTTTCGAACGCATCATTCCCACTCGGTGGTGCCGGGTGGCTTGGCTGTTAAGTCGTAGAGAACCCTCGAGATTCCATCCAATTTCGAAATGTCGCGCACAATTTGATTTAGAACCTGTAAAAATAATACATCAATAACATCTGTTTATATGAATATGAACCGTACAACGCACTTGCAATGGCAGTTGAGCAGATCCGGGCACAGCTGGCACACCAGTCATAAAATCGTTCGTTATAAATGGACGCAAGACCACTGATCTTCTGCAGGAAGGCGTACGATTAATGGGATCACGATCAAAGTGCACAGGTATCAGAACTACTGGCATTTGTGAGATTTTGCGATACAGTCCCGCTTGCATAATAATCTATTGGATCAGGAGTGAGTAGAAACATTATAATCATAATTTTATTGGTTAAATGCAACTCACCTCATTAGCTATAGCATCCGCTTGCCGGAGTTGCGCCAGCACTACAGTGTTCAGAGTTGTGTGCGTTATATCTGTAATAAGATACTGCACAGGCTCACCAAAGATGTAACAGACTCGGTTAACATTATGCAATATGCGTGGTATGATTTTGGCCAAAAATAACATATCCGCCCAGTTGGGCTCCTGGCTCGTCGTTGACAATCCAACAACGTAGCTGTAGGTGCGCTTATCACCTTGAACGCCCACCGAGCGTACCGGCAGTAGAGTAGCCTGTATGTCTGAGTTGGCAGAGATGCGCAGCAGTTCCTTTTGTTCAACTTCGCTGGTGGCGCCCGTGACGCGATTAATAAGCGCATGATTCTTTTGCAGTTTGTTCTTGTAGTCCACTATAACACGCACAATGACCTATTAACAAAGAAATTTTTATTTAGATAAATTAGAAATAAACAAGTGGGGTTTTCTGATTGCTACTCGCCTGTGTTTCTGAGTAATCCTTTTCCATATATGCTTCCTCGGCACAAAGCACGCGTATTGCCAGACCAGGGCCGGGGAACGGCTGTCGCTCGACCAATTCCGCTGGCAGGCCAAGATCATTCCCCAAGTCGCGCACCTCATCCTTGTGGAAGTCACATAATGGTTCTACGACGCGGCCAGCATTACGCAGCTCCCTGCAAAATGATTTGACACATATTAAAGAAACTTGAAAATGAAAATTCAACTGGAACATATATATATAATATATGGATAGGTGAATAACATTTAATTATATCCTTGGCACTGATGTGCAATCACTTGCCTACAACTTGTTGTAGGCTCTATTTCTTTAAAATGTTTGGCTCCAGTTATATGTTCCATATATGGATTGCTTCCGATATACATATGAATTTCTAATATTTTTCCCAAGGCATACCAAAAACAAACTAAAATATAATAATATATCTTGAATATGCTATCGCTCTACCGAATCAGATCCGTGTCATTGTGATGCGTCTTGATTGTTTCGGCATTCGTGCTGACCATATTCGATGCGGACTCAATCAAATCCGGCCGCAGCGTGCCCTGTGCCAATAAGACTTCCTCGGGTTTCAGTTTCAGCTCAGCCACCACATCGTTAGTCACTTTTACAAATATATCACCGATTATTTTTCGCTTCTCCTCTGGATTGTAGGTCTGGCATAACATGGGCGTTTCAACCACCGAATACTGGCCGGGTCGCTTCACTTGCGTGGTGCCCTTGAGGAACGTGTAGCCTTCTTTACGCACTATCAAATCAATGCCAATATCTCGCAAGGAACGCTCCACATTTTCGCTTTCGTTCTTTCGCATGAAACCTATCAGCAGAATCATGCAAAGAAATAGTTATTCAAACAGAATTTTGAGATCATATAGTGTTAATTACCATTATCCACATGCACTGCTATTATCTGGCTGGGATGCAGCGCACGTCGCAGTAATGCAGCACAAACACTTGAATCAACGCCTCCACTGACTAGCAACTTTTTAAGAAACAGTTAAATACAATAATATAGAATTATTTTAGCTTTGTAAGATAAATTACATACCAAAACTTTATTATTGCCCACTTTTTCGCGTATGTAGCGCATGCATTCCTCTTTTCGACTGCCCATGGTAAAGTTAGCCGTGAGTTCGCAAATTTCGTATAGAAAATTTGATAGCATTTGTTTGCCGTTGATAGTTAGATCGACTTCTGGATGAAATTGAACACCATAGATTCTCAATACCTCATTGTAAATGGCCGTCACAATGCGATTCGTTGACCACCCACCCACTTTCAACTTATCGCCCACTCGCTCCACGCTATCGCCATGGGTGAGCAGCACGGACTGTGTACGGCTAAGGCGACTGCAAAAGAGAAACGTTTATTAATAAACAGATCAAATAAACGAACTAACATAATGTCAAGCCACGTGTAGATCAGTTTATAAACTACGCTAAACTGAACTGTTCTTGGCTTTGGCTTTGCTCTGGCAGCATTGTATCAGCGCTCAAATAAACTAATAATTTGAAGACTTTCTTGTTGCTGCTTGATAAGATTGTGAAATGATAGTTAAAAAGCAGTCATACCTGAACAACGGGCATGACGTTTCAATATCAATATTCTGCTGTCCATCTTCGCGCACGTCAGTCTTAAGGACACTGCCGCCGAACTCTTTGTTAATTAACTGCATGCCATAGCAGATGCCAAGCACAGGGATTTTAAGTTTAAATAGATCGGGATCGTATGTGGGCGCATCTTCGGCATATACTGAATTGGGTCCGCCGGATATGATTATGCCCCGATAGCCATTATCACGTATCGTTGCGGCAGGCGTATCCAATGGCAGAATGTCCGATTCTATCAAAAGTTCGCGAACCTTGCGATCGATTACCTGCATAAATAGGTGCACAACTTTAGTATAGCTATAGCTATTAGTATTTAGATCATTTCGATGACTTACCTTGCCATACTGTGCCCCAGCATCGAGTATAACAACTTTATCGTGTCGCAGTCCATTCTCCGCTGTCGTTAGAAATATAGTTGTACTCATATCTTTATCGTTGCAGCACTGACCAGGATGACGCGTAGAAGATAGAAGGAGAGAGAGACAAAGAGAAAGATGGCGTGATTAGCAGCTGCCGTTAACAATAACTGTCATGCAATTCTCTAAAGCAGCCTAATGCAACTAGCGATATGCGCCAGATCTTTAAGCATATTTATATGCCAGCCAATATGTGTAACTGTAGTGCCATGTTTCGGGCTGCGTAATTGAAGCATGTGCTACAAGGTCGAAATTGAATTTAAAGCCATATCAAATGCAATAAACAACACATCTGTTTAACTTGGTAAGGTAACAAATGAACAACACATACCGGTAAAATCTTTTGGATCACACGTAGAATCATTCAACATGCAGACAAATTGTCAGGCCAAGTTATGCGACAATTCTACGATAGATAAACATTTCCATTTTGGTCAACAGCAATGAGTAAAAAATCTATTCAATGGGGAGGCGGCGGCGTGACAAAAAAAGGTCAAAAGGCGACGCCTTCAAAATGAATTGAGCATATATTTTTCTTTACCAGTGTGTTATGAGCGTAAGCAGTGGGTGTGGGTGAATTCGACGTAATTTAGCGGAAAACACAGATTTGTAATTTTGTTTTTGTTTTACCCCCAAATGAAAATTGCACTGGGCCATTTATTTTATTTTTCTCTGTCATCTGAGCGTGTGTGGGGGCCGGCTACTGACCGCGACAGATGACATGCAGAAAGAGCATGAGAGAGCGGGTGATGTGCGTGTGTGTGCGAGAAGAGAAGAGCGGCGCTAAAAAGGAGACATGCGAATGAAAACTCAAAACACGCGCTGCAAATGCAAAATGCCGTGGAATGCGAAAATGCGTAAAACGAAATGTACAAAAAGCAAACGGTAAACGGGCTATATTTCTAACTGTTGTTATTGTGTTTATGTGGCAACTCTATGCTTGTGCATTTTTAAAACACTTTCGGGTCAATTATACGCGTGCCCGCTTCCTTCATAGCATGCGCTTGGCAATGTTGCATTGCGATAAGCAAATGGCATTAAAAACACAAGTCAAAGGCTATCAACAAGCACCAAAAACAACAACAACAGCAAAATGCAATTTGAGATGCACTTGGGGGACACACGTGGGGAAAATGGTATTGAGCCAATCTATAACCACAAAACGACCACGATTATCTGTATGCCATGCAATTTGTAAGCGCATTCAAAAGTCGGTCAAAAGCACGCATTTGCACACGTCGAAAATGCAAAAAGGAAAAAATAAGTGTGAGATACGCGGTTAGTGGGAGGCGCTGGCTGATGTTGAATTTCTTACCTGCTTTGCTAATTGCCGGGCGGAGGTGAGGGCCTGTAGCGTAGGCAAAAAAACTTTATTCTTAAACACTAAATATACGATTTATGCTGGATGCAGTATCCCGGTTCACTTTGAGTTGATCAGCACACTTATTTTTTGCTTTTTTAGGAAAATCGGCACCGCGTCCGTCTCCGTACAAACCGCAAATATTTGACAATTTTCAGGGTCTTACGAGAGCCGCGGCAGAAGGCGCGTGGTTGTCTGATAGATATTCCTTGTTGTTAACGTTTATAAGATAAGCGGCTGGCTGCGATATAGCACTGTCCAGAGCAATAAAATTTAAATATACGGTGCTCTGCAACTAAACTTTTCGTGAATAAAAGCCGAAAGATGACATATTGACGAAGAAATTAGTGTTGGGTTGTGCATGAGCGAAAAAAACGAACCAATGGCTCAAATGAATAAAAAGTTCTAAATTATTGCAATTTTGTAGAATTTCATTTCATTTGGCATACATGTACTCATGTGCCTTATAAATTTGTTAAAGTTTTCTATAATCACATATTTATTTTAAAGCTCAAAAATAATTATATATTAATATTTTTGCAAAATCATTCAAATAGAGCCTAAAGGAACGAGCTAATTAAAATAGTGGCTGTATAACACTGGAAGACCAGTGTCTTCAGAGTTGCTGCGGATATCTTAAGCGATAGTCGATAGCAGTTAATATGCTAGTGCTAGTAAATGCCGGTCATAAAACATTACTCAATACACAGCAGCTGGCCCGCCAAAAATGATTTGTATTCGCGCTATTTCGGTAACGTCGTGAAAACTGCATATTTTAAAAAATTAAACAATAACAATGAGTCCAACAAACGGATCACAGGCGGATACAAGCGTTGAAGATGAAGCAGAAATACTAGCCCTGGAAAAACTGCTAGGCGAAGCTGAAAACGATAATGCAGAAAGTGCAAACTCAGCACCAGCACCACCGAAACCACCAACTTTAACTACCGCAGTGCCCCGATTACGTGAAGACAACAGCTTTGCTGATGCCTTTAGCTATGAGGTGGCCGTCAAGCCAGCAAAGTCAAATGCACAGCTAAGTACGAAAGCCCCTGAGCCAGAACTCGATTCATCGGACGACGAAGAAGTCAAGAACTTCTTGGAGCGCAAATATAATGAATATGGCAGCGACATCAATAAAAAACTTAAACAGCAACGGGATACTGCACACGAGAGCAAAGTGGCACGCGAGGTAGATCACTCTATTAGGACAACAACAAAACTAGTGACCTCAACTCCACAGCCAGAGGCTCTACGTCTCAAAAATCCACATAATCCCATCCAGCGGAAGTCGCTGGCAAGCAACTCTTTCCAAAGAGCACCGCCTGCTGCAGCAGCGGCCACAACCTCCAGCCAATCTCTGCAACAGTCAAAGATAACTGCTGTTTACACAGATCCCGTTTTTGGGCTGCGTATGATCAATCCATTAATATCCAGCACCTTGCTACAGGAGCGCATGAATGGACGCAAAGCGGTTCCTTTTTCAGGTCTAGCATTTCATATAGAACGCGGTGATTTGGCCAAGGATTGGGTCATTGCCGGTGCATTGGTAACCAAACAGCCAGTGCGAAATACCAAAAAAGGCGACCCCTATTCCACGTGGCGTCTCTCAGATCTGCGGGGCGAGATGAAGACTGCTACTGTCTTTCTTTTCAAGGAAGCGCATAAATCACTGTGGAAAACAGCAGAAGGCATGTGCATGGCCGTGCTTAACCCGACGATCTTTGAGAAGCGCGCAGGCAGCAACGATGCTGCCTGCCTGTCCATTGATACCTCACAGAAGGTCATGATTCTCGGCCAGTCGAAGGATTTGGGCACATGCCGTGCCACTAAAAAGAATGGAGACAAATGCACAGCTTTGGTGAACCTGACCGACTGCGATTACTGTGTCTTCCATGTGAAGCAGGAATTTGGTAAAATGTCCCGTCGATCCGAGCTGCAGTCGGCGACAACGGGACGTGGACTCAACGAACTGCGCAACAAGGTGCTGGGTACGTATCAGGCCCAATCTATTAGAGCTTATATTAATGCATCTGTTTGCAGGCAAGAATGAGGTGTTCTATGGAGGTCAGACTTTCACGGCAGTTCCGGCTCGCAAGAGCGCCAAGCTCATCAACAATGAGCGCGAGCGCCTCAGTAAGCTGGCTGGCTACGATATCTCGCCCTTTGCACACGATGTTAATCACGAGTCCAAGCCACGCTCCTGCGTGCCCGTCAGTGTGCCGTATGCCGAGCGTGGTGGACCGGTCTCACGACTAGCAGGCAATGTGGAGGCTTCTTCCAAACAGCGTTACAAGGATCTCGAACGTTTGCGTCAACTACGCGAAGAAAACGAACGTTTTGCAAAGAAAGCAACAACTCAAGAGACGCCTGCAACTCCCGAACCCAAACGAGCTGACCCGCCCACAACACCGCAAAGTGTGCCTGATAAGTTTAAGAATCGTGGATTTTCCTTCGATGCCAGTCTGACGCCCAAACTGGCAAGCAGCGAGAATTTCAGTTTCGAGGTGAACATTGGAGCGCGGCAGGCGCAGAGCGCCAAACTGAAGGCAGCTGCGCTGCTCAAAAAGAAGCCGCTTGAGAAGGTGAATCCGAACTCCACCCGTGGCACTGAGTCTGGTAAACGACGCGCCATCGACGATCTGCACGACAAGTTCAGCAACACAGCGAAGCGTCAGAAGCTAGAGGAAGAAGAGCGCGAGCTGATGCGTAAATCGCGCATTGAACGAATCATGGCTGCCACGTCGTCCCACACGAATCTGGTGGACATGCGTGAACAGGAAGCTCAAGCCGACTATTTCAATAAGCTAGAGCGCAAAGAGGCCATGGAGGAGAAGATGTTGAACACCTATAAAATGCCCTGCAAGGCGGTCATCTGCCAGCGCTGCAAATACACAGCCTTTGCGGCCGCCGAGCGCTGCAAAGAGGAGAAACATCCGCTGAAAATCGTGGATGCTGAGAAACGCTTCTATCAGTGCAAAGACTGTGGCAATCGCACCACCACTGTCTTCAAGATGCCCAAGCACAGCTGCAGCAGCTGCAAAGGCTCGCGCTGGGAGCGCACGGCCATGATACGTGAGCGTAAGGTGTGCACGGGACGCGAAACGCTCTCGGTGCGAGGCGATGAGGAAACCTTCTTGGGCAGCGTGGCCAGTGCGGCGAGTCTAAATCTGCTAGTGCCTGAGGAGGACTAGAAGGGATAGCAATAGACATAGACTTCATTATTATGTATGTTAAATATATTTTGAATATTATATAGAAAAGGCATAGTTATATATATATATAGAATTTTATATACAGTCTAGTATTTGGCATACAAATTGAATAAGTACAAAAGTTCCAAAATTTTTAAGGCTTATGTTCTAGTATATCTCTGCATGCCTTATACAAATGGCTAAATCAATATATTCTTAAAAAATTGGTGCACACATTTTTATCAAATTTTTGTTTGTTTTTCTTTTTTATGAATATAAATTTTTGGTATGTTCTTAAAAAGTTTTTTGTCTTTTTTTTTTAATTTCCACAACTCAAATGTTTTGTTAGATTTGCTTAAAGCTAAATCATGTTCGTATTTGTGACAAGCGCATTTTTTAGCAATTAAGAATGGAATATATATATATAGAATACATATATATATAATATATATATTTAGGATTATTTAGATTTAAGGCTTAAGCTTAGCATTTAAATTCAAAGGTTCTTCAAAAGGCAACTAGAGCTCTTAAAAATACTGGCATAAGCTTAGCAGAGTTAAGTTTTATAAATATTTCGATTCAAAATTGGCGAAGATATTGGAGAACAGTGTTGTAAAATGAATTACTAAGGTAGTTGGAGCGTGAGAACAGTGCTGCAAGGTGAATTATAAAGTTTTAAAGTATTGGAACGTGAAGCTCGACTCTGAAACAAACAAGGCATGAATATAAATAAGATATTGAAGACGTTGATGAAGCTGTTGATGAACTAATATATAGGAATATATGATATATATATATATAAATAAGCTAAGAGATGCGAACCTCAGTTAAAGAGTCTCTTCTCACACTCTAAATGCGGCAGAGTATTCGAGTTGAATTTGGGCTACTTTATAAAGCTATGATACATAAGTTTAAAACTAATTAACAAACAATTTGAACTAAAGAACCAGGCGCATCTAGAAATAATTAAAAGTAAAATCAAAAACAAAAATGTCGAAATACTGAGGAAATTCCTTTACACCGCATCCTCGGCATGCGGCTGCGGCGTTTCGGGGTCTTTGAGATTTAGTAGACTGGAGAAGCGAAATGAGATGGTCTTGGAGAGATGCTTCTCAAAATCGCGATTATCGAGATTATCGGGTATTAGCGTATTGTTAGTCATATCCACGTAGGAGCGTCCGCGCTTCACGGGCACCGCATAGTCGGGCAGGCAGGCAGCTGGATTTGAGGTCATGTTGCTATAGCTGGGCGCGCAGCTGGATTTGCGTATGTTGAGCGGAAAGCGTAGATCGTTCTCGTAGCGCAGCACCTGCTCCGTGGTGCTGGCCTCGATCAAGGGCCGTGGCAGATCGTAGCCAGGCGGAGCTGCAGCTGCTGCGGACGCAAACTCTATAACCGACTCCTCACGACTGTTGGTCAGCTCGAGATCATAGCTGTTGATCTTGGGCGGCGACCAGAGATGCTGCAGCGATTCCGGCTCGCCGAGCTGTTCGACAAGTCTCTGGCTGGGCATTAGCGCCGCCTCGTCGCTGCAGTACATCGGATTGGATACGGCATTCGTCTCCAGCTCAATGTACTTGGCGTTGTTGCCCAGCAGCTTCTCAAACTCGGCTGCCAAATATTTGAAGGAGGGACGTGCATTGGGCTCATCCGCCCAGCAGGTGCGCACCACGGAGTAAACAGCCTCGGAGCAGTTCTCTGGACGTTCCATGCGATAGCCAGTTTTAAGCAGCGACCACAAATTCTGTGGCGCTATGCCCGGATATGGCGAAGCGCCCAACGTGATCAGCTCCCAGCAGAGCACGCCAAACGCCCAGACATCGGACTTGCTCGTGTACACATGATCCGCCAGAGACTCTGGCGCCATCCACTGCAAAGGCAAAGGAGATCAGGCATATCTATTGGCTAGGCTATTGTGTGGCGCTTACCTTGACGGGCACACGATCTCTGGATCGTTTTAAATAGGCATCATCCTCGTAGACATCGCGTGTCAGCCCGAAATCTGAGATCTTGCAGATTTTGCCATCGGCGAGCAGCACGTTGCGTGCAGCCAAATCGCGATGTACCAGCTGAAAAGGAAGTGGATCAAGAGGATTAGGTGGTCAGGTTATGATACACCAATGTGGTCAGACCCCAGAGACTGCCTGACTGACTAAATACACCTGACTAAACACCCCTCTCTCCCATCTAATCCCACCAATAGGCACATCTCTCCTCAAAATTAGTCTAAAATTTGACGCACCTTTAGTTCCGTTAGATAATTCATGCCCTTGCATATCTGCCAGGCAAAGGTGAGCATCATCTTCACATTGACAGGCTCAACGCCATCGCTGAAGTCCATGCCAGCGCACTCGATCTTCCTGCTGAGGCGCAGGTAGCTTCTGAGGGAGCCATACCGGGCATATTCTATAATGAGCAGCGGCGCTTCGGAGGATTGGGTGCAGGCGCCCAGCAGCTTGATGACGTTCGGATGTGAGACCTCCTGCAGCAGCTGGAATTCCGAGAGCAAGGCCATGTACTCCACGGAATTGGCGCCCTTCTTGAGCATCTTGACGGCGACGGTGGTGACGCCTGGCAGACCAGCTATCTGTGTGGCATAGCCTTTTAGCACCTGTCCGAATTCGCCCTCGCCCAGCACCGTGTCCAGCTGCAGCTGCTCTCGAGGGAATTCCCATTTGGCATCGGCGCTCTCGAACTTGAAGCCGCTTTGTAGTGGCATCAGCGGCAGATCCCCGTCGCCAGCCAGGCCCTCCAGGCTGGAGGGCAGGGCGAGCTTGGTGCCCGGCGTGGCGGACTGTTTGCCCAGGCGTCGCTGCCACAGTTTGCGCTGCGAGAAGAGCAGGCAGAGCAGCAGCAGCACGAAGATCAGTGGGCAACTGATGACAACCAGCAGGCAGAAGCGATTGCATTCCATGCCAGCCAAATGGAGCACGCCCAGTGCCAGGACAGCATTCTGATCCGGCTGCTCTGCTCCCTGCTGTACGGGCGCCACGCTGACCTGCTCCACATCCGTTTCGTTCTTGCGCTTGCGTTGGCGTCGCGCTTTCGCTTCCTCCTCGTCGGGCAGCGGAGCACAGCTGCATTTGCCATTGTCCTCGCAGAGACAGGTGCCCGAGCCACTCAGGATGCCACGCCCATTGTCATTGCTGGTGTGCGGACCCATAATGCGCGAGGCTGGCGTGCAATCCTGCGGACAGGCGTGCGGATTGAGCTCCTCGAGTGCATCGCACACATGATCCGGACAGAAGCGTGCGTCCGGCACACACGAGCCATAGTTGCGTCCAAACATAGCCGAGCTGGAGCCGCGCCAGACACACGCTCCTCCATTGGTGGCCAGGCCGCAGAATTTGGCGCACTGCGTCCGGTACTTGACCTGGGCGCAGGTCTGTGACCGGGATTTCAGTCTCAGCTCGCAGTTGGCATTTTCTGGTCTGCCCTCCACCAGATGCACATTGATGACGAACGCGTGCGGCTGCTTCTCTGCGTCCTGCCAGGTGACATTCAAAAAGTAAACCGTCTCCGGCGCATGCTCCAGCGCCAGAGCATCCCTTACATAGACTATGCCGGCCACTTCAGTGAGGCCAAAGGCTCCGCTGCGATCCTCAACTAGAGCGAAACGCCAGCCGCGCATGCGATGCAGCTCCACAAAGTTATCCGGCTGTGCGACGCGATAGAAGGAGGCGGCCGCCCGATGCACAAACACATCCTTCTCGTAGTCGATGCTCAAGCGACGCCGTCCAAGCGAGTCTGTGTGCAGCACATCGCCGGCGCTGTCAAAGATGCGCTGCTGGCGCACACGCAACGGCAACGCCTGCGGCAGCTGCTGATCGCTCTCGTGCAGCCGGTTGGTGTCCACGTGCAGGCAGATGTGAGCCGTCGCCGTGCTCGTCACGTTGCGCGCCTGAATGGTCAAGTCACGCGCTTGCAAGTCGATGCAGTATGGCTCCTGACGCAGCACTCCATCGCGAGCAAAGCGGAGCTCTGCGGGGTGGAGTATCGAAAAAGGATAAATTGGGAAATGGGTTAGAGGAGCAGTTAGCTTTGGAGTAAAGTGCTTCAAGTAGTCTTGCAACTTTGCTAGACAGCGGACTTGGCTTGCTTCAGTTCTTTGCTGCTAGAGCAGCTAAATATATAATCTCTTAACTAGTAATGTGAGATCTAATGTAGTCCCTAGTAGATTCTTAAGCCTACTCAACTGAAGTTCAAAATGATATTTAAGGAATAGAAAAAAACCATTTAGAGATCATAGATACCAGCTGCTTAAGCAGTTTAATATCTATGAGTTCTATAGCTTAAGATTTTTCGAGCTTTATCATCTGAAGTTTTATTATATAGTAGCCCGATAAGAATTTTTGAAGCTGCTCAAACAGCAATTAAAGTTGTACAGCGTGTGCACTTAGTATTTGCTTAAATACCAAAATAAATACTAAAAAATATCAATATAAATACTAAAAAATACCAATTAGTTTTAATTTCTGAAGTTTCTGTAACGCATCCTCAGACATAAATTAAGATAAGCAACTTTTATTATAGAAGAATAGAGTTTCCATTAGAGCTCAATGATATGTTATATCAATATAGATAAAATATTTGAGATATTTTTCAAGAGCAAATATTAGACTCTATATAAAATGAGAAGAAATAAAAATCTGATCTATATCTTCTGAACAAAACTATTTATAGAGCAGAGCTCTATCAAAAAGATATTAGAATAACAGTTGTACAGCTTTTCCAATTACTATAGGCATATATATATATATATATATACATCTAGGCCACATAGATCATACATGCTCAGCTTTCATATCAATATCAACATCATTCATATATCACAATATAACTTCTGTTAAGATTCCTAATCCTCCAACTTACGACAGCTGATGATGGTATGCGGCCTGCCGGTGTGATCCGCCTCGTAGGCGTGGCAATCCGGCTGTACAAGCTCCAGTTTATCATTGAGTATGGCATAGTTGAGATGCGCATTGGCCGCCAACGTGTCCTTGTCCAAGTAGATGATTTTCTCGCCCACCGGCTCGGCCTGCAATTGAAAAGCGGCAAAGACAGGTGGCCGTAGCTTCATTAGCATTCGCATTCGCATTAACTGACCAGCGTTAATTAAATGCTACGTGGACCGCTCCCAGTGACCTCGGCCATAAATTGTATGCGCTTCTCTCCAAGGAGCTGGGCGCGCGGTCAGCTTCATTAGCATTTTATTTCGTTTGCCTGCACAAGGTCAGCAATTGGGGCTAAGTGGCGAAGTCGGAGGCGCAGTTAACACCTTGGGGAGCTGACATTAGCTGCTGAATTACTAGCAACTAGAAATGACTCTCTAGTGGCTGCAAAATTAACCCGCTTCAAAAGTGTTCAGTTCAGCAGAGGCTGTGGTGCTGCAGCTAGACTGGGTCTGGTATATTTTGGTCAGGCTAGGATCTTGGCAGATTGTAAGCTATAGCTGTTCAAGCAGCTATTCCTCAAATATCTGTCTACATTTGAAGTTACTTAGCATACATATATCTATGTCTTATGAAGGTCAATGTCATAAATATAAGCAAGTATCCACGAAGTTCTTTTAAATAGAATTTAATTCTTAAGATCTGTCCCCCTCCAGAAGCCCTTTTTCTCTCTCTCACACTCTCTTCTCTCTCTCTCGCTTTCACACTCTAACTCCCTCACTATCTCACTATCTCTCGCTCTCACACTCTCACTCTCTTTTTTTTCCCTCTCTCTCTCTCTCTTTCTGTAAATTTCCCTATTTACCTCTGCGGCTCTAATGTTATCTTTCTCACTCTCTCCATTTATCTCTACTATTATTTCTCTCTCTATTTATCTCTGCTGCTATTTCTTTCTCTATTCATTAGTCTCCCTTCTTCTATGTCTCTCTTGCTTAGTCTAGTCGTCTGTCTAGATATCCGTCTATTTGTCTTTGTCTTTCTCTCTTTTTCCCCAGTCTCTACGCATTCCAAACCTGTAGTTAGCATATCTTATACAATTTTAACATTAAGTTTAACAAGTGGATAAATATTTCTACTAATCGAATCTAAAGCTACTCAGCTGCTTGGGCTTCTAGAGATGTTTGTTTTATTAGACAACAATTTGAACCCTTGACTTTTGGATGGCAAATTCCAAATACCTGCCAAAACAATTAGAACAATTACTTCAAAGACCCATCCAAGACACACCCAACAGTCTGGTACGAGTTCATGGGGCACCATCGAGTTTTATAGCCAAGTGCTGTAGACTTAATTTAAATGCGAATTGCCAGCAACATTTTGTAATGGGCCCAGCTTTAGTGACACTTTTTATATATTTATTTTATGTGGCACTTGTAGCTGAGGATGTTGCGAGCAATTACTTGCAACTAACTAACAACTAAATGACATAGTTTTTGCAGCGACTCGGGAATAGGCTTGGCTTGACATGACAACATAATTTGAGACTTTAGTGGGCAACAACTCCTGGCAGTTAAAGCGAGCGAAAGCTTTAACTCAACGCGCCAATCATAAAAGTTCGTAAAAAGTTACGCGTTTTTAATGATGAGCTACGGAAATGAAGGCCCAGACTTCCTAATGGCCAAATAATGGGGCAGTCGGGGTTCGGGCTGGTGCGACTTGCTGCGACTTGCGTGTCTCGGGTTCGTTTATCAAGCGCGAATTCAATAAAGCCCGCACCCAGCGCAAAGCACAGACAGCGTCCAGACGCTTTGTCTGCCAGCTCAGTTGGCACTTACCGCCTTAAAGTAGGGCTGCTTCACGTAGAAGTTAAAGTGTGGCTGGCGCTCCTGCAGATGCGGCCCGTTGTCGTTGCGATCGAGCAGAGTTATATTGTAGCTGCGCCAGAATTGACGCTGCTCCTGGCCAGGCAGCTTCACTGTGCAGCTGACGGTGGCCAGCAGCTGTCCAGCTCGCGCCTGCAGTCCGTTCAGCTCGTCGTGATCGAGCGGCTTTTTGCTATACAGGCGATTCTGCTTGAGTACAAAGTGGGAGCTGCCCGCCTTCAGAGCGTACTCCACGGCACGATGGGGGCACAGGTATTTGGCAGCCCTCGAGCTGAGAGCGCCAATCAGCACGGGCTCAAAGCTGGCGCTGCTGCGACTCGACTCGGCTATCGTATAATCGGCGCTCGTCCAGAAGCAAATGTGCTCCAGCTCGGCACAATAATCGCTTATGTTCTGTGGCTGCAGCTCCACTGTGAGATGGGCTACCTGCTGCAGCAGCTGCTCCTGCTCCATGGATGCGTCCGCCAGGCTGCGTGGAAAGGCAGTCAGCACATATTTCGCACTCGCATTGACCGTTTGGTAGTCGCTGCGCATGTAAACCTCTCCGGAGCTGGCATTGATGCGCAGCAACGGGTTCTCCTCCAGATTGTAGATGTACTCCGTCGCCGGCTGATTGTTGTCCAGGCGCAGCACTTGAAACTGCGCCAGGGGTATCTTGGAGAATATGCTCTCCGACTCCTCGTTGAGGGGCAGCTTGAATTTCACGGACGTGGTGGGAAAATAAACATCGAGCGCTGCAAAAGGCAACAAAGGAAAAGAAGTGGAAGAAGCATGAGAAATCTGCTGATTGAATACACTGAGAGAAAAGTGGATTGTATATAAAATTAACATTGGGCATTGGAAAATTATTGTCTCAGAAATAGGTAAAGAAAAATAAAATTCTTACAAAAGAATTTCACTTAATAAAATTTAAACTCTACTCAAATTACACCATTATTTCGCTGAGTTCATTAAATTCTTCTAAATTGACTCTCTGTGAGTAAAGCAGAAAAGGAATTTCGCTTTCATTCAATGAAATTTGAACTCGATTCCCATTTCACTTTCAGTTCAAATCGAACATTTCTCGCAGTGCTCTCAGTTCCGTGATTGGGTCAAACAAATGAAATTTACTCAGAGTGTGACGTCCATAAGTGGCATTTAGCTGAGGGTCGCGCAGCCACAACCCCCTGGCTAAGCACTCATCAAGTGCCACCCCTGCCCTATTTGCATTGGGCTCACCCCACAGGGAAAGCCATCAAGAGATTCGAGTATTTACCCATTATGCTCATCAACAGACTCATAAAAATTATGAATGTAGTTTAATAAGCTCGCTTTGACCTCAATCTGAGTGGGTCCTAATGCGGGGGGAGGGGGCAGAGCAAGGCTTTAAAAAAGTCCAACACGGCGTATGCGCAATTTGATAAGATTTTGCTTGCTAATGACGCGCTTCGCTGTTGTTATTGTTTGGTCGTGTGCTTGCATACGCTCAACTCCAATACAAGCCATAAATAAATATAATACAGATATTAGTTATTAGCATATGGGTTATCGAAACGTCCGCACACAGCGGTCTCCCACACTCACCCCTCGGCCAGGGTGCGCGTCATCGCGTATTGATTTTATGATAAGACCAACAAAAGATAAACAAACAAATATTATAGAAAAAACACACAATTCTGTTAGCGGAAAACTACAATGCAATGCCTAATTGGTAACAAAGGTTTAGTACAAATATAATTTGGAACAATTTGTGGGGTGAAAATAGTTGTGGGCATGGGAATGGGGAATGGGTCTTAGTTGAACGTATAATGAAATGGGTAGTCAAATAAATAAATAAATTCTAAATGAAGTTTACAACATTCTCTCCATTGCCATTTGAAGTGCACAATTCTCTGACCTCCTTTCGCATATCTTTTCTCAATAAAATATCCAAACTCTTAAGTTCGTAAGACATATCTTTGCACTTGCTTTGGTTACTCTCAGCCAGGCACCAAGCACTTTATCATGTCCCTGTTGTCATAAACAGCACTGGCGCCATCGTATGCCCAGCATTTGGTATTATGTCAACACACACTCCACTTTCCACTCTCCACTCCCAACTACTTTCGCACATAATTCGAATCGCTAAAAAAAAGAGAAATAAATGCTGGCTGAATTAATTTGACTGCGCTTCTGAGCTGCGTTTGCCTTTTTAAAGAGCGCCAAGGACACGTATAGAAAATAGAAAATTGGATAAGGCATGCCTGGCGACATTCTATTCCCCAACCCCACCCTCAGCAAGACATTTAAAATGTCATTTCAAATGCGTGTCTGTGAGCTGTCGCTGCTCCAACATGCTCGTCTACTCATCTACATATTTCGCATGTCTGAGCGTCAGCAATTGTAATGAATACGTTCATAATTTATCACACTCATATACTATGAAATATCCTTATATATGAACTCATACGCTGTGCCCTCTGTGTGCGTGATTATATATTTAGCAGATTTCCTGATGTGCCCGCTGGAAAGCTTTGGTTTCCCTAATAATAAATAGCAGAGAGAGTGCATGGCATGAGTACAACGATATAGAGATATATATAGATATATAATAAATATCAATGCTTAAGCGAACTGAGAGACAATCAAAAGTCTTCTATAAAAACTCCGCTCAGTTTCTGTGTCATTCATCTTATATATATCTTATATAGCTAAATCTTTGTATCTGTTCTAGAGTATTCCAGCTTCGTCATGCAACAATTTTTAGTTGCTCATAATTATGACAGGTATTTAGTTAGCAGGCATCCAATTAGCGGCAGTGTCTTTGTTTGCATAGCCCTCGAAATGGTTCGTTTATGGCTCGCGGTTAATGCTATGGCAGCTATGGCAAATAATTCGGCTAAAGCTTAAGGCTGTGTAGCAAAAAGTATGAATTCAATAATTTAAGCATAACAAACAAGAAATTAGAAAGCTTTAGCGATTCTTTAATACTAACTAATGAGTTATCATGGCAGACTGATAAATGGACAGTAGCAAAGGCCAAGTCTATAACGAGTTTGCTGCAATAAGAAATCTAGAATAATCCCATTCTTAAACGAACTCAAGTTAAAACCCTTTGAGAATTACAAGCTAATAGCTTCAGCTAAGTAATTGCTAAAGCAAACCACTACAAATTCTACTTCATCTACTTTACAGCTCAACTAATGCCCACTAATGCTATAAACTCTCCTTTGGGACTTGTATTCCAACAACTTTATAACGCAACTGATTCCCAGTAATCCTAAAAGAGAGTATAAATTCCAAGCAGCTGTTGCCGCCTTTAAATCCATAAGCGCAACTTGAACTTTGCTTGAAAGAAAAAAAAAAAGAACTCTGGGGAGGTGTCACAGGACTTAGGCCAAAAGTCAACAGCCATTAAATGTTGGCCAGGTAGAGAAAGACGTCCGCCACACAGGACTATCTATCAGCAGGACAATTAAAAGTAGCGAATGGCACATTAAAAAGTCAACTAAGGGTTGATAAGAGACGCAAGTTTTGGTCGGGCGGGCGGTCGGCTTGCATTGGACACGCTAATGACAGCCGGAGTCAACAAATGTCATAGTTGGGCCATTACGGCTCGTACCTGAACTTGGCCGGAATGGGTAAGCAGGAATTGGGGGTGGTGGCGGTGGCAGTGTTCCGGGTAACAGGAGACTAAAAATTGTAATTGAGGTGCGGCACGACGATGTCAACTAGTTTCGACTTAACTAATTAATCTGCTCAAATTAATTGACTTTGCATCGAATTAGGTCGTTCGTTAGGTCTTGTTTGCCTGCCTTGTATTCCTCCCACTCTCTACCCACGTTGTTTACAGTGCGCGCCTGCAGCTCTCTTTCCGCCAACCCCAACGATGCGTTGTCCTTTTTCAGCCGTGAGTCATTTGTTCGCAAAAATTTCCACACAGCATCCGAACACTAGTTTTTATTTTCATCTGTTCGCTTTTTTTTTTTGGTTTTCTGTCTGCGTAATGAAAACTTTATCTTTGTCACAGTTGTTTTTCTCTGCGTGTGTGTCAAATGTTTTTCCCTTGCATTGTGTTTTCATACCTCTTAAGCATGTGTCCAGAGGGGCATGCTGGTTGGACTAAAGACTTGTAATAGGTAAAGATTAGTTATTACTGCCTTGTTACTGCCTTGACTCTTGCCTGCATAAAGGATATCCTTAAGTCGTTCATATTTGAGCAGCTTTTTCTTATGTTTCATTACTCATACGACCCCTGCAACAGTTTCTTTGTAGCTTCTGTTTAGCTTGGCTAACGCTGCTGCCGCCTTTGGCTTTGGCTCTGGCTGTGGCTGTGGCTTCTGTAGCTGGCTTATTGTCTTCTTCTGACTTCAGTTTTTGCCACATTATGAAATTCGTTTCGTTTGTCTGCGCACACTTACAAATCCATCTGTACTTATGATAACTGCTGATATTTGTGGAGCGGGTGTGTCATCCAATTGCTACGCTTGCTTCCTGAATAGTCTCCGATGGCTTGCCCTTGTCTGTCCAATGCCACAAATTGTATAACAAGTCAGCAGACCGTGCGGAATATAATCGATTATTAAAGTAAAGTATTCTACACTTGAAGGCAGTCTAGAAAGTGTTGTGTTAAAGCTGTTGTCTTGTAAGTTAGCTAAGCTCTGTATACAGATAAGAAGATCAAAATATTGATATATAAATATCGAATGAATAAATAAAAAAAAATCAAATAAAGCAGATATCGATGTGAAGTAATATTTTTTCTTAACAATCTTATTATATTTGCTATATCATATCTAAAATCTCTATAGAAATCAATCAATGAGCTCAAAGCTTCAATACTCACTGAGTCAAAGTGGACTTTATTTTGATAACCATTATATGACTTCAATCTGAACAATCGAATGGCAACAAAGCTTAGGATTCGGTCTTTTACACATTTTGTAATTTCTTGACTATATGTGACTACAAAATTTCTCTATGAGCTTATGATCATTTATGGACTTTGGATGATCTCAAAAATTCAAACATATTTAAGCTGACGAAGATAGTCTGATAATGTCATATACAAAATATTAATAAATATATATAATATAAAATTAATTTTCAGACTATATCTACGCTTTAACATTGACTAAGTTTTTGAGGTTGAAAATGTTCAAACCACACTCGCATATACCCCTTTTAAAAATCCACTCGTAATGGGCATAAGAACTTAATTGATCTGCTTATCGCCTCAAAGTCGCACTTGTCGCACTTCCCCAACGACTCCACTTTGAAGTGCTTCTTATTGAGAACGCGACAGCAGCTGAAGAGCTGAAGAGACGTCAACATCGAGTGCGCAGCCAATGCAAATGAACTTGAAAGACTTTGTCTATTTAGTGTATTCAATATTCCAGTATTCAGTATTCGAGTATTCACTATTCGCCATTGAGTATGCGTGGAATGAATAACTATTCACACACGCTAACACAGCTGGCGCTTTGAATAGGAGCACATTGCTCCTAGGCTATAAAACAAAGAGGTGATCGATGGCTCGCTCACTAATGCCCGACTGTCAGCAATGAGTGGAGCACATTTGTCAAAGTCAACGGACTCCGGCTCGTTGTTGTCTTTATTATTTTGTGTGGTAATTGCGACTAATGAATGGGGCCTACAATTAGTTAAAATCGTGCAATTAGTTAAGTAACCAGTTGCAGGTGTCACTATTCAGCTGACAGGCACTGTAGTTCGGCTCATGCAAGCATTGATATTCCGCACAGGAGCAACTGCGGACTGAATGGAACGCTTTATGGAAATCTCGGAGAAAAATAATAAAAGCAGCAGAAAATTTTGTCTGTCGCCAGACAACGTTAATGCATTTGTTATGGGGCGTATCTGGGTGCGACAGACAGATCTCATAATTGTGCTCAATTTTATTCTTTTTGACAAACTCTACAAGAATTTATGACCAGGCCATGTGCTAAAGTAAACCCGATCTTGACTTGGCTTGGCTTGGCTGGGCTTGACATGTTTGCGACTTTGCTGATTATAATTCAAATATTTGCGGCTGCAAGAACGGAAACTGGGTGAAATCGTGTACAATGGGAAAGTTTCTATATTAAAGCAGAAGTTTTAGCTTAGAAAGCTGTGAGAATTCCACTGCAAAGAGTGGAATCTAAGTGAAAAATTGCAATTAACGGTTTAATATATTAATATAAAAATTAATTAAAAATAAATTTTACTCTTCAAATATTTAGCAGAGCTGAGAGATTATAAGCACGAGTTTTGAGGCCAGCTGTAAAGCTAGAAAATATTCCTCTCAAAAGTGTGAAAACTGAGTAAAATCATGTAAGTCAATTTGAGTACATTAATCTAGGTAATTATTAAAAATTAAAATGTTATATTATTATTAAATTTTTGTAACAGAAAAATGATAAAAGTGTGCTCGAATTTCACTCATAACTGTGGAAACTGAGTGAAATGTTGAATGAAGATTTGACTGTAATTATTAATAAATTTGTTTATTAATAGAAAATGCTTCTATTTTTAGAATTTCATACAAAATAAATTAGGTGAAATATTCATGGGAAATATACATAATGTTTATAATTAATATAAATTCAATATTTTAAAAAAATTCAATACTTTTCTTTAATTTAATAAAGGCACACTTAGCAGCTAGACTATTTTCACTAAATATTGTGGAAAATATTTGAAAAAAATGTTTAAAAACTCAAAAAGTGAATTCTTCTATTAAATAAACGATGCATAGGTAAACAAACCCAGTGAGCCCTTAGCCGAGGCGCTCTTTCTAACTGTGTTCACAGTTCGAATTCGTCTTGTTCTGGGTTTTATACCCCTTTTTAATATCAATAGACTTGCAGTTCGTGTCAAGCTTCAAATCACGTGCGCAGCTCCGATTGCAAACATGAGACAAGACAACAAAAAATACCAAACAATTATAACAATTTAATCAAAGTCGTGTGAGTGCGCTAACAAGTAAGGCAAAGGTGAGTGGGGAGAGCCAGAGGAGGTGGTAGTTGAGTTGCCGGCCGCTTAAATGGTGGGGCAGATGCCGAGCCAAGTGCCAAGCGTCCACGGCCACTTAAATGCGAAAAGCTGTGAGCACAATAAGCGCAAAGAGAAGAGAAGGAGGCGAGGGGAGTAGGAGCCGAGCACACACCTATTGACTTAATTGATTTCGCATAAATTCAGTTTTTTTTCTCTCTGCCTCTGAAATATACAGTCCAGTTTTGGCAAGCAGCTGTTGGGCATTTCGACACCTTTTGACCTGGCGAATGGACGGCGCAGTGGAATGGAGAGAGGAACACGCAATGCGTTCAACTTGGCCCAAGTGCAAATAGAAGCCAACTGCGAGTCAATATGTGAGCAGAGAGATAAAGTCAGCCGCAGCGCGCTCGATGTAGACGTGGGCTGAGGGGATGAGAGAAGTCAAAGCTGAGGTCAGCTGTCCAATGCTGACGCTACCGGCTGGTCCAACCCCCAAGGTAAAAAATTTGATATGTCCGTATGTATGTCTGTTTGTGTGTGTGTGTGCTGAAATAATTTTGGGTGTGTTCATAAAACACACACACGCACACCCTTGGCAGCTGGACTGCAGCGCCCAGCCACACTCACAATATCGTTTACTAATATGTCAAAACTGTCCGTGGCGTCAAATTGGAAGCTCACACCTGTTAGGCACCAAGGCAGCCCATAAAAATAGAGTGCGGTACCTTTGAGCATATCATTAGACATGGACAAAGAGTGAGGTGCAACTCAGTCACCTTCCATTAAACGAGTAGCTCTATCTGCATCTGCAATTGCATTCCCACGCTGCGTATCTGTGAGATTTGATTTGTTCGCCCAGCTAATTTGTATAATTTGCCTTTTATGATCGTGGCACTTGAACGTGCTTGTGGGCGAGATATGAGTACCATGAGTGCATTGCGGATGAGTTGAATCACTGTTACCATGGATAGGTGCATTGGAGTGTTGTGTGGGCTGTGCTGCTGCAATTGCTCAATTTACTTGTGTCTTATGGTAATAGATACATTTTAGTTTTTGCAATTATTTTGCGAATATAATGTCGATCATTTTGTTATTATCGATTTCAAATTTCGTTTTCATTCTCATCATCATCATATCTCAATCTAACTCTATGTGTTTGCTTAATATTAGACTATGACATATGACATAGATCTTCTGTTCTAGCTTTAAGTCTCCAGCTTAGTCTCTCTGCTTCTACGTCGGTCTCTCTTTCTATTTAGTGGTCACACTCTCTCTCTTTCACTTTCCTCTCATTTCCTCATTTCCATCCATTTTTACATGGTCTATTTCATCCCATTTCATACCGCACTTTTTACCTGATAGAATTAAGCTTCAACTTAGTTTATCTCCCTCTCACTCTAGCTCTCTCCCTCTCTCTCCATCTATTTAGTATTTCATTTTCATTTCAGCAGCACATTTTCGTGACAAGTGCATATATCACAGCCTCCCTCTCCCCCCTCACTCAGCTCACAATTGATAGATACACTTGTAGCTGTAAAATACTGTTCTGCTGTCGTCGCTCTTTCACAAGTCGCTTATCTATTAAATATTTACATTTAATTGTTGACATTTGCATGACGCGTGCAAACATTTGTATTCCAATTACTAGAGAAACAGCAAACACAATGGATTGCTCCGTATGAGCTGTCTTTGTCGCACTTACCCAAACAGATGCGCAGTCTCAGCATAACAATGGCCGCCAGAATAACGGTGCAGCTCATGGCACTGCTGCACTTGAACGCCATTTTTATCGGCTGCTTCTGCTGCTGCGCTGCTTACCTTCGCGCAGCGCTGCAAAAAAAAAGAAGTTCTGCTGCGTCGCGACGTTTCTTTGTTCTTATCTGCGTTGTTTTTATTGTTTTTGCTATTTATGTTTTGAATTCCTCTTCGGCTGGTTCGGCGTTTTTGTTATTTATCCAGCCACTTGGCAAATTGTTTGCTCTGTTTTATAATTATAACTGTTAATTCTCTCTTGGCAATTATCTTCGTCTCGCGCACATTTTACGCACTTTTCACATTGTATGTTTGTTTGTGTGAGTGCGTGTAGCTGTGTTCTTTGATGTTTTTTCACGTTCCACTCATTTAATTACTTTTGATCACCAACTGATAAACGACACATTTATCAATTACTGTGCAAAAAAAGAGACAACAATAAAAACGGTGCGATAAAATAAAAATGTCAACAACAAAATACAGTCAAAGAAAACTTTTAGTTACCCTAACCTAAGTTACCCTAACCTGAGTTAGCCTAACCTAACTTACTCTTAACTATCAAAAATTAAATTTGAAGTGCTCAACTCTAAGTTACCCTCTAAATAACCTAATACTAACTACTTAACCTAAAGTAAACCAGTTACAAGTTATGTAAATCAATTAAATTTAAATTTGATTTTTAAACGCATATATGAAAAACAACTGCGACTGCTGCTCGACTAGGTAATACTCTATAATGAATTATATGCTTAGAATGTCTATATATATACATATTTTATATATATATATATTTTTGTAGCTCCCATACTCTGAGATCAATTGGAAAGAAACGTTTTTTGGCGAATGGTAGTTAGTCTATACTACACTCTTTCAAGCAATTTAAAGCGTATATAAATATTTAACTATATCTGAAAGGGTTACAACACAATTCCGCCTAACACATTTTTTGTCTGCCTTCGTTATTAATTTTTTTTTCTATTGATAGCAGCACCCACGAGTCGTAGCCCTCGGCCCCTACGATCGTCTCCTCCCGCTGAGCTGGCGCCTGGTCTTCAATTATATTTATCATAGAATAAATGCCGTAGTGCCCAAGGCACTTTGCCTACAATTTCTGATTATTGCAATTAAAAACAAAACGAAAGAATTTTGGGCTTTGCGTAGGGTTATTTTTATACATTTTGTGTATTACGAGATTTTTAGATTATTTTCTAAGTATTTTTGGTATTATTATAATAAATTATTTCTAGCTATTTTTGGCAAATCGATTTAGCACTCGTTTTGTATTTATATGGAGTGTGCTGTGCCGTAAGTCTGCAAGTCTGGCCAAGCCCCTGCTACATACAGGTCGATCAATTTTGCCAACTCATTGAACAAATACACTTTTGGCACATTTAATTGATCTTTAAATTGAAAATAATTTGTATACACTTGAAGAGAGCGCTATGGCTTAGTTATGTAATGTGCGACGGGGATTGAAAGTGAACTTCGTACTTATTGCTCTATTTATAGCTATCTAGCCTATTTGAACTCAGCTTTAACTAAAGGTAACGTCATGAAAGTCAGTATAGATGCTCCTCTAGTGTATTTATAGTATATATTTTAAACTTGGTTAGATTAGCTTACTTCAAGTACGGACTTTTGGCCATATGTATCTATATAACCTATGTGAACTCAGCTTTGGCTAAAGCTAGCCTCATGAAACTTGGTAAAGATGCTACTCTAAACTAATTATAGTATATACAAAAAATTTAGTCGAATCGGCTTAATATAACTGCTACCTATCCTACATATCTAGATTTTATAACCAAAAAAAACGGTTCAATAACATTCATCTATATCTATATCATACCCTTATCAAATTTATATCAGAGTATTCGAATTTCGGCTCTTCGCTGTTCTTATAAGATTAATCGTGCGCAACATTGTAGAAACAACTTTAAAGATAATTTTTTTGGACAGCTTAAAAAGTAACGAATTCTTTTGCTTCAATTTTGAACGGGATGTGCAGCTCACGAGTTTACATTGAAGTGGAATTTTATTAATAAAAAAAACTTGTAGAGTTGGGGAAGTGCTTTGAAGTTATTCAAAGCAGGTGTGATAAAAAAACGAGGTAGGCGCGCTGTGCAGATAGCAAAGTATAATTCAAAAGAGGCTCAAAGTCAAACAATATGATAAGCAACATGGACAGACTGACTGACTGACTGACTGACTGAGTGACTGCGTCTGTGTTAAGCACTTGAGCTGCAGCCACTTTAAAGTTCAACACATTTGACACAGTGAGCACCCAAACAACTGACATAAAGCCGGCTTCCAAGCTCGCACTTGCCAATTTCTGAGTGGACTTCAACGCCGACTCCAACAAACTGCCAATTGCCAGCAGCCAGTTGCTAGTTATTTTATTTTTTCCCAATTAAAGGTTAGACAACGCGACGCGGCTTATGTATATATATGTATGCATATATATTTATGTACACTTTAAGGTGCGTCCTGTTGCGTCCGAAAAAGGCAGCGCCATAAACGTGAAACGTTCATCCGACAAGCGGCAAACAATCCGCAGACAATCGACGACCGGCAGGCGACAAGCGACAACCTACAGACGACAACCGACGCTAGCCAAAGACAAAGTACAACTGTTTCAACTCGAATGGGTTTTAGGCTTCTGAGAAGCGTTTCTCGTTGTCGTTGCTGTAGTTGTGTTGCTGTTGTTGCTTCTATCGCAGCCAATTCGCCGACTTTGTCGCATTTACCAAAAAAAAAAAAAATAAAAAATAACTAAAATGTTTGTTAGGCTTTCGAAGTATTGAGAATCTTAGCGGTAGCTTAAAGTCTTCAAGGCGCTATTAAAATACCCAGTAGTGAAATTATAACTAAGGAGTTGTATGCGTTTTGAAAGCTGTTTCTATGTACTTGAATATCTCAGGATGTTTAAGAGACTTAAGAGTTGGCAAAATTGCGTATGTAGACTCTTACATATGTTAGCTCATAAATATCAAATTGAGGCTTCTCTATCTTCAGGATATGTATGACCTATGATATCAGAATTTGGCATATAAACTGTTAAATATACATATATTAACGAACGAAAATCTAGACACAATACTATATCTCGAAAAAACTTATATATATTTGGACATTTTGTTAATGTTTTATTAAAAATCTCAGAATCTATAATAGCTCTAATAACATAATTTTATACGACTCTCGTCTACCAAATAAATAAATAAATTCGATGTGTATATTAGAAAAAATTTTAAATAATTAATATTTTAACAATTTTTAATAGTTTTAGAAGTATTTAAGTTATTATTGTCATTAATATTATTATTATTCTTTTTTATTATTATTCCAATTTTTTCAATATTAAAATTATTAATACTCATGGTAATTTTATTATAATTTTAATTATTATATATGTTTATTATATTTTTATATACACACACAAATATATGCTCATTTACAGAGTATCAGCTAGTCGACAGCCCTAAACACAGGCAGTTTGATTTTTGTGTTACTTCCAGGAAAAAGGGTTTGGGCATTTGAAATATTTTTGTCGGTGGCCACGTTGGCGTATGCGTAATATTTGATTTCAACAACAGATACTCATTAATCAACTGTTTGTTTACAATGGCTGAACAGTTAACTGAATAATTAGAGTCAATATAGAATATATTTATAGAAACGTTGACTTTGGAGCACTTTAAAACGATTTGTAATACGAATTTGCAAATAGATTGCAATATGCAAATCGGCTCAGATAAAGTCATTAATCAAGTGTCACTCGAGATTTAATTATAGTATTGAATAGCTCTTGCGAACATATGTGAAAAGCAGCTAATGAGCTGATTTGAAAAATTATTGCTGTTGGTTTTTTAAACATATATCCAATGCAATGACTTGTTTGTACATTAACAAGGCCTAAAATTTGTAAATAAATTTAATTAGTTTTACACTTATCTTCTATTTGAATTTTATTAATTATGGCAATAGCAGTAGGTCAAGTCAACTGTCGATCATTATAATAAAAACTGATTAATATTGGCAAAATGCAATTTATTTCGCTTGACTAAAACATTCAAAACTGATTAATTTGTTTAAGAAAACAAATAGACGTGTACTTAGTCAGAAGTGCCTGACTAGAAGATACCGTGAAACTTTAAGTTGTCTTTGCATTTTTATGTCATAGTGGAAAAAATATGTAATATATATATGTAACAAGTAGCATACTAATTATATGCTTATACTTGACTTTTAAATTTATAAATGACTCTAGCTCTTAAAAAACTGATCATCCTTATAATTTATTTGATCGATTTCACTGATAAAAAAACTTGATCTGTCTTTGAGCAATGACTATATATAAAATTCCATGTTCCTAGCTATTATAAGTTCTTAAGTTTAATGCCTTCATACAGACATACGGACATTGCTTGATCAACGCAGCAGTTTGCGGTCATAAGGAATATATATGTTCCTTAGAATATATATATTACTATTTAAAAATATATATACTTTATATACACGTCACTTTATGCATTTCACAAAACAAATACCCACTTTATTCCCATTTTTAATGGGCTATATAATGGGTATACAAATAGGTATGAACCTATAAACTTAAGAGCGTCAAAGTCTTGCTGATAAAACCCAACTACTATCTATATGTCTTGAATACCCATAAAAACATCAGATAAATAAGATGTCATTTTGTTTACTTGTGGCTTCCATAGCAGCTATATCATCTAGTGACGCCTAACAGATGATTTTAAAATATTGTATTGTATTTTATCTATATTTTATATAATTTGTATATTTTATACGATTTTGTCTTTATGAAATATAAATTATTTATTATATATAATAAATACAAAAAAATATATATATAAAAATAAGAGTAAACTTTTTCAGATAAAGTCTAAAATTTCTGATAACATTTTTTTTATTTATAAATTTACTATATCAATTTCGACCTTTTTCTTCAGAACAGTCAACAGTTTATTTTTATTGAATTTTATTTTATTTTTCTGTTTATTTTTTCAATAAAATTTAATTTTATTTTTTTTTTATATTAATTATTATTTATTTTTATTTTTTTACGCAATAAAATTTTTTATTTATATTAAATCTGTTTTTATTTCTTTACATAATTGTGTTAACAATTTAACTCAAACTTTATTTCAATTGTTTTTATTTTTGCCGTTATTTATGTGTCTTTTGTTATACAAAGTAGCATAAAAACGTGCTTACACTTCTTGTTAATGATAAATATCCACAAGTATGCAATAAATAAGTTTGTTTTTTTTTTTAGCGAAAAACTAAAGGCTTTAATTTATGGCTTGCAGCTGCGGAAAAAAAGCTCCTTTATAGTTATTGCAACATTTATGCACAGTCGGTATTTTTTTTTGTGAATTAATTAGCGAGTTGTTTGAAGACGGAAAAGCTTGGATCTTAGCCACGTTAACAAGCGCGCTGAGCTGCCATGGAACCGCTTGCCATGCGCTACGTTTTACCAATGAAACTGAAACCCGCTGCGAGGCAGCTGAAAAGCCGCAAACCCACAAAATCCAACAAAAACAAAATAAAAAAACTTTTCGCGTCGACTTTGTCGTCGGCTGCCATCGTGCATACTGTGTGCGTGTGTCTGTGTGAGGGTGTGTGTTTATCTAAGTGTGCGTGCGTGAATTTCCACCCCTGCAGCAGCTTGCCGCTGGCTCGCCCTGTTGCTGCCGCTGCACTCGCTGTTTGGTTATCAACGGGGTAATCCTTAGCTCAATCTCGCACTGATAGCCCATATATTGGCAGATATTCATGAGCTAATCTCATGTTGTTTATATATTTCATAGCTCGTTCCCAGTCTCACTTAGGCACTGCATGCCCTGCTGAAACATGATCTCATCTCATCTCATTCTACTACGACCCATAGGTAAATAGACCAAACGGTTCATTGAGTAAGGGCGTTTCTTATCTGTGCATTGTTTATATATTTTGGGTTTGGATCTGTTTATTTGCCAAACATTCATATGACGGCAAATGCACTGGTAGCACTTGGATTAAGATTACTCACTTGGCTTATCTTTATGAATGAATGAAGTCTGCAAAGTTCATTATCTTATATCTAAGTAGGGTAGACCGAGTAGTAATTGTCAAAAAAAGCATTTAATTATAACTTAAATGAATTTGCATAAGTATTTAAATCAAGAACAAAAATCAAAGAAATTTCTATAGGCCGTAAAAGATGCTAAAATATTTTTTGCTTTAAATCAGAGTTTAATAAACAATATGAGTTTAATTGGTTTAGTTTCTTAAAAAGCTATGCAAATTTGATGTCTTAAGAAGTTCATAAATTGTAAATATTTTGAAAATTTTGATATTTTCAAACATTGACGATGATAAAAATTTAATTTACATATCTTAATCTCATGATTATAATAAAATTAATAATAATAATTATTAATTATAATTAATAATTATTATTATAATAACTAAAGACATGAAATTTGAAATATATATGCCTTTATACCATACCCATGCATTACGAGTTTATCTTTTTCGATTACTTACCACAAACCCTTATTATCGATCAAAATCGATCAATTTAGTTGTGATGCCTGTCCCCTTTTCAAATAGTAAATGCTTGCGCTATGGATGCCCTGACCATGGCTATTGTGCTCCAAAGACTTCAACCTGGATCATTTTCATTTCTTACAGTAGGAAAACATGTTTAAATAATTGAATATTGACTTGATATGAAATGTCTTAATTCCAATCTGTTTTGAAGAGCGAAAATAAAAGGCAATTTAAATTCTGGATTCGATTTCAGATTTATTGAAATTAGGTGGGGGGAAAATTGAAGATATTTCTCTGTAGTTTGTTGAGCCTCAGATAGCGATTCCGGCTACATTTATAATTCTACTTGTCGATGCACCAACGTTTAAAACTATAAATGTATAAACAATCAAATCTTAACCTCAATCTGGGTTATTTTGTTTTCGTCCATAGTATTTTTCTTTCATTTTAGCAGGTCTATCATTGTTTCTGTTGTTTGCATATGTATATGGAAATGAAGGCATAGGTTTAGGTTGTAGTTATAAAATTCCGATATGGTTCAGCGTACAGTACTGACTAATCTATGGAATGTTAGGCATTTGGTTACCATATTAGCAGGTGCAGGCGGGGCAAACAGGCTTGTCCCCCTCGATGGTGAAGGTCTGCGAGGTAATTGGGTTCTCGCAGCGATTGCAACGGAAACAATCACGATGCCATTTGGCATTCATGGCGACAATGGCGCTGTCTGTGATGGGCTTCTCGCATTTGGCACAGCGCACTGCGAACATATCTTCGTAGTCCTGCTTGCAGTAGGCCTTGCCGTCGCGCTCATAGAACGGGCGATTCGACAATGGCTTCTTGCAAGCGCCGTCGCACACAAAGCAGCTCTCGTGCCAATTCTCGCCCATAGCGCAAATGGTGCGCTCTAGGATGGGCTTCTTGCAGGCGGCGCAAGTGCTCGTATAGCGTTCAACAAAGCAATCGCTGCACACGGGCTCACCATCCTGAATGTTGAATGTGGCGTCTTCGATCTGCTTGTCGCAGTGGCGGCACAGGAAATGCTCCGGATGCCAAGTCTTGCCCAGCGCGGTGATTACGCGTTTTGTGATCGTCTCATTGCACTTGTGGCAGACGATGCTCTTCTCCTTCTCGCTCATCTTGGCTGCGATTCAGGCGACGCCAACGATTGCTACCGCAAAAATCGTTATCGGTTCGATCGGTTCGGCTAGTCGCAGTCTATCGATAACTCTCGGACAATTGCACACAAGTTGTTAAAAGATTTGGGATTCACACGCAAACACACACGCTCACACACACTCACACGCACACACGTACAGAATAGGGCCTATATATATATATATTAGTATATATCGGATAATAAACGTCGGCGTGTGCAGCTGCTGTTTTTTTCGTAATTTTGACTTTTTAAAATATATATTTAGATATATATATAGATATGAATTCGGAAAAAACGGAACAAAGAAAAACGAGTTAATTTTGTGAGACTCAAAAACTAAATGAGACTTTTAATCTGTTACTTGCGTTGCTCTGGTTGTGAAATGCACAAAGCCTATTATGATCGCCATAAATAATCCGGTCGTATCAAGTCCCTTTTCAAGCTGTAGTTTTTCCAAAGCTTGCTACAATTGTAAGTAAGCTAAAGAGATGTTATGCCTAAAAATATGTTTTTTTGAATGTATATGATCAGATCTACACTTATAAACATTTCCATGTGCCTGGCAAAGGCTAAAGCTGTCAACACACTAGATACTTTCTCGATTAGTAACAAAAGCTTTTGTGATCTGCACATCTGCGTCTTTTAGCTAGCATACTTTGTTGTCTTTCTTCAGCGTTTAATTCTTATCTATTTATTTCAATTTACTTAAGTAGATAGCTTGGTTAGTAGAAAATCGATAAATATCGATGGGAAAGCTGGTAAAACTGACTTTTCTCTATATGGTATATTTTCTTATAAAAATGCCGTCTCTAATATATGAATATTAAAACTTTTCATATTCATGAGACTAAGAGACGATTGCTGAAACATATGAAAATTAAACTTTCCACAAAAAGAGGTTCAAGAATGTGTCTTAAACTAACTTGTCTAAAGCCCCATTATAGACAAAAAATATTGAAAGTGGGAAATCAACCATATAATGGCTTCAAATTCATGTGACTTGCAGATTCAAGCTGAGTCGATATTGTTATGTGTAGCTGTACGTCTGTCTGTCTGTATGTACGTCTGCCTATCTGCTTGAGCGCATTAATCTCTTAAACTATAAAATCTAAAGCCTAAAAAACATTAAAAAAAATTCTAGTTTACTCAACGGAGTACTAGTTTATCACTTTTTTCGCTAACACATTTTGTTTTCTTATGAAAATTGAGTTCGACTTAGAAACAAGTTTAAAAGAAAAAGCTGAATCAGCTGTAACATTAATATACATATATATATATATATAAACAACTAGTTCAGCTCACAGCGAGGATCCACTAATATTTGATTCTGATCTTTGTAGTAAGCTCAAAACTGGTTTGTTCCCATTACAGTTGCCACGCATCAACAGGCTTCAACTGATTACCCATAAAACTTCCATTCGCAGCCTTGAAAATTCTGGAATAAATGTATTTTAATGGTTTGCTAAATGCTCCAATAAACGCCAAAAAGCGTGTCACTTAACTGAATGGAATACAAAGTGTACGGTTCACAGCTATAGAAAAATCCAAAGTGTACGGTTCACATCTATACAAAATGCTCACATGCTTCGCCTATTCCACATATGCTCCCAAATGGATCCTTTGAACTTGTCCCACTAACGTGTGCATGCAATTAGAAACTGACGCAGCAATTAACGCATGCATTGCATATTTGACATGAAATGCTTTTAATAAAATAATTTAATCATAATTATGCAACTGGTAAGCTATACTCCTGCCCCTCTTCAGCTGCTCACGCACTCCAGCTGCATACGCAGACAGACGCCAGAGAGTGCAGAGCCTGACACAAATTCCCTTTCAACTTGCATAACAAGCTCTCGAGCGGGTCGTCCAAATGGCAAGTCAGCCTCTAACCAACACTCTTCTACGCTCCCCTTGACAATTTGGAATTCCTTGGAGCAGCAAATGAAATGGTGACATGTTCGCAGCAATCCGCCTCACGCTCGCGTTATGAGTGCCATCCAGGCTAAAAACAATGAACGCCTGGCTAAGCGGCGTCCAGAGCAGCTATCAACTAACAATAGCAACAAGTAGGGTGTGTCGGACTAGCAAATACTCTGCGGACCTTAGCTCAAAAAAATGGGAAATGCCTTCATGTAGGCCTTAATGGTTTTTGACCAAAGTTCACACCTCGATTAACTAGAATTTTTAGCTATGGGATACGCTTTACGAGTACCCACAAGCCAAATTTCAATATACAAACTAAGTAGGGTATCCCAAAAAGGGAATATTCCTAATATGAGTATTATTTAGAAGGAGTTACATATTAAATTTAAGGTTTCTAGCTCTTAGAGTCTTCGAGATATGACTAAAAAACCAAATCAGCAAATCGATTTTTATCGATATAAATTAAACTGGTTGTAGATATCGAAAAGAAAGCGTAAATTTGTTTAAGCTATTGTATTTGAGGTAATATGTTCTTAGCAATCTTAGTTAGACGAGCCATCGAAGCGGGGCAATCTCCAAATCTCAAGTTGATGTATAAAGTTGAAACTAGTTGTTAGCTCCTAGTTCATAATCAAGTCTCATGGATCTGCGCTTCTCTCTATGCCCTTCCCTGCCCGTTACATACACTCGCTTCAGTCCATATTACCCCATTTCCCCTTTTTCAGAATATGCCAACAACCACAACAAAAGAGATGTCAAATTCCAGAGGGTGGCAGTGTTTGGGGACTTCTCCAGCTATGACTGGACCACACACACACCCCAAACACACTCGTATACACACACCCATGTGTGTGTTTGTGTCTTAATTGTTGTGCAGACGGAAGCGCCAAGTATTTTGCTTTAATTAAATTTTTTCATAATTTTTGATAAAACATATTATTTTTTTTTTGTATTAATTGCTCAAGCTTAGCTGTATGAGCTCACTTTTCTATGGAGCTACCCCTAAGGACTTCGACTCCATAAATTGCTGTGCCGGTTTCCCATTTCCTGTTGCTCAGAAGCCAATTTATTAATGGCTCGAACTGTGACTAATTTTGGTTGCATGCCTAACGGAAGCCATGCACTGGTCATAATTTATAAAGATTTATTGAAATTATGTATGTAGAAATAATATATATGGATATGTATAGAAATTTAGATAATACCTCAGAGTTACATAGATACATTGAAAGTAAGAAAGGAATATTGAGGCTCATAGCTTAAAGTGCTCCACAATAGAACTCAGAGTGAACCATTGTCTTCAATATTTTTGAAAAATAATCTTTCTAATTTACTTAAAAATTCTATAACGTTTTAATTTAATTTTTGAAAATATTTTTAAGTTTCTTTTCAAATTTTAAAGAAAATGAAAAAATAAAGGATAGAATCGTGTTTTTAAAGTCAATATAAAATCACATATTTTTTTAACTGAAAATTAAATTGTTAAAAAAATGTTTGTTACTCAAAGACTAATTAATTTTATTTTATTTACTTTTTTAATTTTTTTAAAAACATATTAAATATACACTCCATTTTTAAAGAAAGGAAAATAATTATTAGATATTTTTTCTTACAAATGAAGCATAGATTAGATTTTATTTAAATCGAATTGACTTTTCAATTAGTTTTTAAAGTCAAAACATTTTGCTACTAGATTTTTAAATGGGAAGACTGAATTGTGGATAGAGGATAAATAGCAAAATTTGATTAAAAAACTACCTAATAAATAAACACATATCTCCAATTTTAAGCTCACAGCTGAGTCTATTACCCCGTTTCTATTTCGGACTCTGCCTCTATCGTCTACAGCCAAGTTCCTCTCAAACAAAATGTAAGTCAATTAGGCATCAAAGGTCCTTGATCTCATCAAAGTGGAGGCTGGAAACTGTCCGGTGCAACGCCACGTGGCAATGGCCAATCGCCAATTAGCATTGACGGTCGCCAATTGAGGCTTTTAATTATGCAATAAGGGTTACGCGGTCGTGTCCTGGGACAGGAGCACATTGAACTTTGCGACTTTGCCCGACTTTGATTCAAGTCGAAAATAATTGGGTAGAAAAAACATTGGACTTTAAGTTTAAAGCTTAAGTTTAAATTGTCATTTTAATGGGGAACTTCTATGTTTATAAATATTACTAGGAATAAGAATATTAACTATAACTGATTGCAATTACATATATGAAGTATATGCTGAATATATGTACAAAAAATATAAATCGAACTTTAACTCTTAATATGACCGTCGATGCTTGTCCTTGTTGCTGGGCTTCTTCGAGGAGATGAGCGTGCGGCGTTTCAAACGCTTCAGTTTCGTCTTCTCCCGCTTGCGCATCTTCTCCTGGGCCACCTCGACGATGGTGTTGCGCAGCTTTAGTCTGTACTTGATTAGATGGCTGAGTTCGGTGCCCAATCCTTGGTCTATGGGCGCCAGATTCTCAGCATTCTCTGAATCGTCCTCGTCGTCGGTTAATATGGCCAATTGGCGCTCCGCCCAGGCAGCATCATCTTCCTCATCCATACGCAACTCTGACAGCTCGAGTTTCTGCTGGTACTGCTGGGAGAGCTCCTGCTGCTTGAGCAGCTCCTCGGTGAGCAGCAGCTTCGAGGTGGCCCACTTGACCACATGCTGATCCTTGAGCGCCATTTGCTGGCGATAATGAAACAAATGCAAGCTAACGTTTGCCTTGGGATACGCCTCTGCCTCGTCCTCGTGAGACACCGATTCCTCAGCCACTGGCATGGGTTGGACCACGGCCACCGGCTTGTCACAGGATATTTTCGCTTCCAGTACATTGCCCATGTTGCGCGTTAATTGATCTTCGTGCCTCGCCAGCTCAAATGCCACTGACAGCTGCAAACTTGTCAAACCCGATATATATAATATATATATTTATACTATACACGATATGGGCTGGAAAAAGGATTAGATACTTATGCAGGTACAACAGGTAGACGGGAGCTACCTATGACTACGGTCACGACATTTGGCAACACCTGGTCTGGGATTAGCACACGCTTACCAACAAAAATACCCGAAATATGTGCCAAAAACTATCTTTCTTATAGACCAGACCTATTTTATAGCTAATAAGTTTTATTGTTATGCATATGCATATCTACTCGTTTGTATCTCTCTCTATATATCTACATATGTTTTTCCATACCTCTGGAGCACGATTACTGCAGCAATATTTATTAAGACGCGAATTCTTCACTTTCTCTATATACTGTTATATATATTCAAATGATTGTATGTTAGCTACAGAGTGCTGTGAACAAACTTCGTTTAGACTAATTCGTATGCCTGCTGAGTCGATAAGTTTTCGAAGCAAATTATATAACTATACGAACTATCAATAGTCAAATGTTAATTAAGCAGTTACTAAAAAAAACTCTATTCAGAATAGAGACAAATATGTTTTCTTATTCATAAATCTAAGACGAGATATAGCACGCAAAAGATGAAATGCGGTCCTGATTTGGCATCTATTAATTCCTTTATTTCCTTTCCACACATCACAAATACTATGCGAACTGTGAGTTTGTTAACACCTGAAGAAATGCTTAAATGCTGCAACATTTAAGGTATACACTTCGGAGTATCAAGAGGGTTTCAAGGAATGCTGAAGCTTAAAGACTTCCATGAGGAATATTTTGAAAAACCTTAAAGCCATTTTTCTTATATTTAACAAATTTGTTTATTGTCTAATATAAGACAGATGGCAAATAAAAACAGCAAATAAAAAAATAAAAAAAAAATTATATGATAGACTCAGCTTCTTGAACTTAAGTTTTTCAGACTGCGTCTCACATAGAAACTATTTAGGAAAATTAAATTGCCGGAAACTCTATTTAACCCTATCAAATGCTTAATCTTCCTCTACTTCTTTCTTGCTATTCAAATTATCATGAAGTGCAAGAACTGTTACGAGGATTGGATTTGTGTAGAATCTTTGACTGTACCTTTGAGTTTCTTATAAATAATCAAGAATTAGTTAATGCCTTACATAAATCTAATATAAATCAAGCATAGATCCAAATTGTATACGATTTTATATTGTATATATAATATTTAAGAATATATTGTATTTAAGAACTTAATATTCAAAACTCAAAGATTTGTTCTTAATATGTTAACGAGGAGTCCAAAACTCCTGATGAAACAGCAGATAAAGATAAGCTCAGTTCTCTTAAACTTCTTTCGGTATTTTAAAATTCTAAAAGCGTGACTAACTAACCTCAAGGTTTGTATCTAATTACAAATTAATCCAGTCTCTCTTTTATATAAATATACAAGTACTGATCGTTTTTTTAATTCAAGCAAATTTTGCTCAAAATCGAAGCGCAACAGTTTGCCCTAACCTCAAAAGTGAATATCAAACAGGTTGGTTAAGTCAAGCGCAGGTGTTACAATAGGCAAGATCTAGCTATTTACATTTATAGTAAGCAAAACAGTTTTGAAATTTCACAAAATCCGGCAAATCCTCAGTGTTTATACGAGCTATTATGACCTAACCTCAAAAGTTGCTACCTAACCTATAAAACTTGAATTTATTTCCAAAGTTAGGTCAACTACGACCAGAACTAGAGGCAATTGTAAAGTTGTCTTATCCAAATTCTACGTTAGTTTTACCTAACTTCCATTGCGTATACCTGAGCAACAAGTTAAGACACGCAAGATTTTGTGGGTTGCGGGCAGAGCCCTGGGCCCATTGGCCAAAAGCCTGCCTAGGGCAAAACTACCTGCTGAATATATAAAATGGTTAACACTTGCCGAACCGCAGCATTCGCTTCTCAACTCCTGTTGGCAATGGACCGCAAGACGACGCAATTGTTGATGTTCCGCACTCCGATGGAGGCTGAGAATCAGCTTTTAATCTTCAATTCGCCGATCGACTACACCGACCAGCAGCTGGTTGTGTACCAATATTCGGGCATGTTGGAGGGCGAGAGTGGATATTGTGTGGTCTACAAGCGCGATCATTACATCATTAGCAATCCGCCCAACTATCAGAGTCCCACCAAGCGCAGCTTCCTCAACGAGTGCATCCGGCAGTTGTACATCATCAATGGGCTGGTGCACAAGCTCAACTGGGCGCCCAACACCTTGGTGTGCACCCAGCAGGAGCTCTGGCATCAGGTCAACATGTGCCTGCAGCCGGAGCGACTGAGTGTACGAAATGCCAGCCTGCAGCGTGTCAAGCGTCAGCTGTTCCGCGAGACGCAACGAAAACGCAAAGCGACAAGCAGCGTGCGTGGCCAGGTGTGGGGCACACAGGTGTTCAACTTCAAACCAATGCGCCCGAAGATTGGAAGGCGACACATACGACGCGGCTATTTGAAGGTGGCCAGGCAATTTGTACTCCAGCAACTGATACGTGAGAATGTGAAGCGTGAGATGATCGGCGCGTCGGCCATCTGCCAGAGCATCATCAATGCCACCGAGGGCATCTACAATGTGAACGCGACGGTCATCAGCGATATCTGTCGCTATCATCACACTGCTGCACGCCATCAGCACGCTGTCGAGGGTCGGCTGAACGAAGGCCAGCAGCGCCTGCGCAGCAACGAAGCCTGCCAGCTGACGCAGCGTGCCAAGCGCTTGGAGGCCATGTTCCTGCACGAGCAAGTGCGTCGAGCTGGACAGAACCATCAGCTCATATTGGAGGAGTCGGTGCGTTCCATTTACTATGCCAAGCAGCTGTTTCGACTGATCGAGGATCACGAGGAGTTCGTCTACACGGACAAACAGATCTTGGGCCGCAGCTGTTGTTAATTAAGTCTTTTTAATATTGTATAAAAATAGAGACATTGTCTTTTGTTATAAACATTAGCATAAATAGTAAATAGAACAAATAAATTGCATAAGAAAGCAAACACAAATTGCATTTGTTATTATCGTGTTGGTGGAATCCAGCTTGGGTGAGCTGCTCGGCTAGGTTTATGTCTTTCCCTGTTCTATCAGCTGCGAGTGCACATCCATCAAACTCTGAAAAACAAAATGGAAAATATTCAGTACTTGCACTAGTTATCTCATATAAAATGTAGATTTGTACTAGCGTAATATACTCTGCTATATATTTCTTAGACTTATAAAGTACTATATAAAATTGATATTCTAACTTCTTAATAAACTAACTTGGTTGATAATCCTATATTTTTGTTATACATACATAAAACATATTTAATTTTTTTTGGATAGTTATTAGAAACAATATTGAAAACTGTATTCTAATATTTTCAACTCTATTCTATTATAAATTCAAGATAATATACATAAAGATTCAATTTGAATGTATTGTGATTGAAAGTATTTCACACACAAATCCTTTTGAAGCGAGAAGCGCAATACCTATACACGATTTTAAACAATAATATTCTGTCAATTACTTATCATTCAACTACGATTTATACAAAAATACTTATATTTATAATGAAATAATACTAATAAAATATTTTAAAATCGTTTTAGTGCTAATTTTTGTTTTTGAAATTGTTTAAAAAAATATTTATGCTTTTACTACTTCTATATATGATCTTTAGAACATAAAAATATATAAAGATATATCTATATATCTTCTTCACTCTTAACTCCTCTAAACATTATCATTAGCAATATACATACTGAATATAATTGAATTTACCTTCTGTAATCTGAGCGCCACAATTCTTAAAAATTATTTTAAATTTTCTTAATATAAATTTTCAAAAACAAATCTAACAGATATATTCTCACTTGCTTAATTTTACCTTAGTTTTGTTTGTTCTTCATTATGTATTAAACTTATTTTCACGCAATTGTTTGCTGAATGTATAATAATAAAAATATTTAGCTTAAGTACAACATATTTATATATCTATAATGCATGTATTTTGAGACTTGCATACAAAATTGCTTTGCGCAGTCTTTTGTCTTTCATTTATTATAAAATATACCAACTTAATATCATTGAGGCACAATCATTTGGGCTATACATTACATTCACAGTTTGTGTGAGCATCCTGGGCGTCAGCTGCATTTGAATCTCTGAGTATGCCCTGTGAATTGATGGGAAAACAAATGCCAACCAGACATTAGCGGAATCTACATTCCATAGTCATAAAACTTAGCAAGCCCACCGGAAAGAGGAAGTAAAAGCAACCATGTCGATAATGTACACCATTTGAGTTAAGGTAAACAAAACCAGCACCTTGACAAGCCATATCTGTTATCTCTATATTACAATAGAACTACAATTGCACCTGCGCCGCGCATACCTTGAAATATTTAACCGTCTTCACACGTAACTCCAGCGTGGCATCCTCATCGCAGATCATCAAGGTGTTCGCATGCTGTTGGAAGGCGCTGACTGTCCACATATGATTGACGCCCTCCTCGATGGCCTTGTACAACGCAAATGCTTTGTGAGCGCCCGTTATTAGAATCATAACCTCTTTTGAGTCCATGACCGTACCCACTCCCACAGTCAACGCCTGCTTGGGTACTTTGCTCATGTCGTTGTCAAAGAAACGGGCATTGGCTTCCAGCGTATCCTGCGCCAGAGTCTTGACACGTGTACGCGACACCAACGACGAGCCCGGCTCATTGAAGGCAATGTGTCCATCGGGTCCTATGCCGCCAATGAATAGCTCGACGCCGCCCGCTTCTTTAATCTGCTGCTCAAACAAATTGCACTCGGCGACCAAGTCCTTGGCATTGCCATCCAGTATGTGCACATTCGCCGGCTCAATGTCAATGTGCTTGAAGAAATTGTGCCACATGAAGTAGTGATAGCTCTCCGGATGGTCACGCGGCAGACCTAAAAAGCACCCATAACTTTAGCTCTCTTAAGGTGAGTGATAACAGAGAATTGCAAGCACTCACCCACATACTCATCCATATTGAAAGTTTTCACATAACGAAAGGAGACCTTGCCCTGCTTATAGAACTCAATCAGCTCTTTGTACATACCCAATGGGGTGCTACCTGTGGGCAAGCCCAAAACAAAGTATCTACAGAGAGAGAGAGAGAGAGAGATTATAATAAGAGCAAGTTGATAAGGTTTTCCACTTACTTATCGGGTCCCGGTTTGAAATCGTTGATCCGTTTAGTCACATATTTGGCCGACCAACTGCCCACCGATTTGCTTGTCTCCAAGATGATCAAACGCATTTTTATTATTTATTACTGAAATCGTGAAATGTAAACTAAATAAACTTTTTACTTCTATGCAGTATTTTAGAGCACATTGATAAGGTCTGATTAGATCTAGCCTACATATTGGAGATAAGCAAACAGTACATATATAGTAACCATAGATTAAGGGTTCATTGCCCAATTTTAGGCAAGTTACAGCGAGCATTCGTTGGGTTATTATTTATTTGACTATTATTTTCAAATATACTTTTTGACACATACAAATGAATAACTTCATTCTATAATCACGATTTTTTACAATCTCTAAAATACTATATCAGTAAAAAAAAGATAGTAAGTTCTTACTGTACAAAACTTTTTCACTTAATAAATACATTTCTCTTTATCTCAATGGAAGTTTCTCTTATTTAAGCCCAGATCAACGAAACAATTGAATACGCCCTCAACCGATAGTTCAACCTATCGAACTCGTACTATAGTCAAACACTTTCGTTCTTAATTACTTAAGAGCGAGTGAGATAGCCGCATAGATAGCGACATTCGCACTTGAATTCTAATGCGGACACTTGAGGGTCAAAAGCAGCTCACCTCCACTCACCTGCACAATGTTAGCGAAAATGATTTTTAAAAACAAAAACTTAACGTCGTATTAAACAATAAACAAAGGCACACACTAGAAATCGCAACGATAGCGCTCAGCTCCAGTAAGGTGTAGAGCGTACGAATCGCCGACGAGACTGGCGAACAAGCTGTGGGCGCCGCTTCAATGTGGCTGCCAATTTATATACAATACACATATTGTGCGGAACGCGCTCTTAGCGATAAAGAGAATACGCTTAGCTCCAATTCAAACAATATAACCTTGAGATGCGGTTTGCAAAGGCGTTATCGCGATGGAAAACTCCAAGGGGTACAACGCAGTGATCCGCGGCTATTACTTGCAGCGTCACTTTAGCGGCAACCGCAATGGTCAACTAAAAGAAAAGAGACAAAAATACTCTAAAAAGATAGCGTTGAATATGCAGCAACAACAGTTGAATGAACTGCTGCTGTCAAATGGAATGTTAATTTGTGAGCGAGAGAGCATTTTATGTTGAGTGGATTAACTGACTAGTGTTGCCAGACTGTTAGCATAATTGAGTGTGTTTTTAAGTGACATGCATACATACAATGTCCAAAAATAACTCAACATAGAAAGGTGAGCAAAAGTAGATAATATGCCCTATAATAAGGCTGCTTAGTTTTAAGCAGCAGCTTGAACTTATTTGATATGAATGTAAAAATAACTTCTTATGAAACATATTTATTTATTTAGCAGTTACATGTAGTCTTAAGTTTAAAATTTAAACGTTATTTTTTATAATTTCTCTTTAGAATATGTAGTTTGACATGGACATGGACACACCCACGTTGAGCTGTTTTTTATTTTATTACAGGAAAAACCGGTTCAGCCGAAAGTCTACAACAAAAAAGAAAACATTCTATTGAGCACCTATGGAGGGAAAGGCGCACCAATGAAATTTCGACTCGTTTTAAAAATATATTGCCAGGCTCTTTTCTCACACAGCTAAACTATTTTTGCGTTTTCTTTTTCTTCTGTTCTATAGAATTATATTTATCAATACAAAAAAATTGCTTAGCATAAGATACACACATGTACGTGTATGTTAAAAAGGAAGGGGGGAGGGGGCAGCTCACATTTTTAGTTACAACTTGTAATTTTACTGATTTTTATTGATATTTTCGATGAATTAGTTTTAACATGAGCTTGTCGTTTCTTTAATTCCGCTTACAAAACTATATCTATTTATTATTATTTATATTTATATGCTGGAGTTGTGGCTCATACAAATGCATCGGAAATGCTGTCAACTCAGCATTTGCAAAGCACTTGAATGCCCAAATACAAAAATTATAAAAGTTGAATATTTTTTTTTGTAAATTCTATATGGCATACAGAAAAATCAAATTTAAAATATACCAAATAAAGTTTACAAAAATTATGCTTATTGTTATTAAATTAGATTGTACGAAGGTGGGAAGGGGGTGGGTGCAGTTGGTTGGTTTTGTTGAATTTGAAGTTGAAACACGTAACGTAAATTAAATATTTGTCATTTTGATAAACACACATAGGATGGATTAGCAATTATTGAGGGAAAAATGAATATATTGGGATTAAAGCACAGAAACTATATATATTGAACATGTGGAAGAATCGTAGACATTAAAATTGTTATGGAACTGCTTTTGCTTGCAAGTTTTACAATTGAATAAATTAGTAGTAACTGCTGCTTGGCTTTAGTTTCTTTTCTTTTCACTCTCACTACTTAGGGTAGCCACAAAAAATTAATAACTTAGCTGATAATATATAATTCTGTCTGGTTTTTGTTGGTTTGTTTGTTTGTGTGTGTTTGTCTGGCTGTGTATATATTATTATCTTTATGCTTGGCTGGCTATTACATAATCGCGCACTTCTCGCCCGCCTGCAGGGGATCGCCCTGCTGATGGTACAGCTGCTCGTTGCCATCAACCGCGCTGACGCTCCGACGACGACTGAGACGCGATGATGAGGCGTGTGTGGAGACAATACGCTTGTTTCGTTCCATATTGGCAACCGTATCGCCATCGCCATTCAACAGAGTCGTCTTTGTATTGTCGCCTGTGATCCACTTTTGTTGCTTCATCACGATGTTTGATGGCGGCTCATGCGTGGCCCTCGAATCGGATGACCAAACGGTCACCGTGGCATTTGGCTCGATTTTCACTGAACGATGGAACTTGTAGGTGGTCGCTGGTCCAGAATCGTTAATTGAACGCTGTAGCTGCCAACCACCAATGGAGATCTCTTCGTTGCCTTTGTTGTACAGCTTAACGTATTTACCATCGGCATCGATCTCTTTGATTTCCACATTGCCCTTGGCACTGGCCGATACATAAAAGTCGGATACACTGCGATCCTCTGATTCATCAACAACGGCACGTTTGCGCTTCAGTGCAACCGATGGGGTACGACGTGAGGGCGTCGCACGTGAGCTACGCAACGATTGACTGAACGATTGCACCGTAGCCGAATTGGCGGGCGTTATGTTCAAACGAGCTTCTTCACCCACGAGCAGCTTGTCGTATGCGGCGATTTCCAAGTCCAAAGAGACCTAGAATGAAGCAAAATAGGTATTAGATACAAATACTGATTGAATTCTATAGATTTATACCTTGATGTCCATTAAATCCTGATATTCTTGTAGTTGGTGTGCCATCTCCTCGCGCAAACGATTTAGTTCCTTATCAAACATTGCAATATCATTTGCATGGCGTTCACGTTCATGGTCCAGCTGCTGTTCCAGCTCACGTATGCGCGAGTTCAACATGGCATTGGTTGACTCCAGATCATTGAGTTTTGCATTGAGACCATCGATACGTATGCGTGAATTGCGCAACTCCTCAATGGACTTGTGCGACGAGTTGTGCGTGCGGGACGCCGCTTCCTTTAGTGAACGTATCTCGGCCTCGTACAAGGATTCGATATCATCGCGGTTGCTGCGCATTTGATCCTCATACTGGGCGCGCAGCTCCTGCAACGATTGCTGCAATTTTGCCTCATATTCGGACGAAAGACGGCCATCGATTTCACTGTATTCGGTTTGACGTATGCGTCGTGACTCATTTATCTCCTGAATGTGGACTTGATCCTTAAGCGACAGCTCTTCACGCAAGCTCTGTATATTATTCTCCAGATCCACACGCGCCAGAGTCTCTTGTTCGAGATTCTTGCGTGAGTCCTCAAGCTGCTTGCGTTGACGCTCCAGTTCCTTAAGCGCTTCATTTAAATCATCAACGGCCTTCTTGCGATCAGCACTGGCCTGCGTATATTTATTGCTCAGCTCATTGGCACGCGACTCATTCATGCGGGCATTGGCTAAAATGGCGTGGAGGGTTAATTATTGTGATTGATACATATATGGATATAGACTCACCCTCAGCAGCGCTACATTCCTTCGTCTTCTTGTCTAGACGAGTGGTCAACTCATCGTTTTCCTCCCACAGCCTCTTGGTATCAATCTCTAAACGCGCACGTTCACGTGCCAGCTCATCGAGCATGCGACGTGCCTCAAGCAGTTCCGTCTCATAAATATTCTTAATGTTGGTCGTCTCTCTGGTCACGGTGTCACGTGTGGTCTGCACCTCAATGGTGAGACGTGAGTTCTCCGTCTCCAAGTTACGAACACGGTCAATATAGCAGGCCAGACGATCGTTCAGATTCTGCAGCTCGACCTTCTCCACGAGGCGCGAATGGCGCGTGGGGCTGCTTGCCTGCTGCTGCGACTGCGACGACGACGTCGATGTCTGTTGCTGTGGCCCAGATGAAGGAGGCCGAGGGGTCGAGGTGCTGCCGGGCTGCGGCGTCGCGGTGCCAGCGCGTCGAGATTTAGACGACATTTTAACGTTCACTTGCTACTGGCCAAAAAAAAAAACAAGATGTAATCATAAATAAATAGTATGCAAATAAATGGATTGCTAAAGCCGACTTTAAACTGACCTTATTATGCTTATGCTTTTAGCTCGAAATATTTTTGCGCGCAATCGTTCGCTATGGGCTGATAAAATTCCAAACAGAAACAGAAATATCAAAAGAAATATAAAAAACTCTTTTCAAACGCGAGTGAAAAATATAAAAGAGCGCAATGAAAGCGAAACGAGTTTCTCTGCCGCCGTTGCTCTCTGAGTGTAACACAAGTTTTTCACTCAAGCGACTGTACTAAAGCGAACGAACGAAAAAAAAAAAAACAATTGAGTGACTTTTTGCGGCGTTTTGTTTATGGGCGTGGGGTAAAAATACGCGGGTGCGGCGGCGAAAGGCCCGTTATATATATTTAATACAAACACAGCATTCAACCCAAAAATGTTTTTAGCTGCGGCACACACAATTAGTAGCGTGGAATTGCACAATATGGCGTTTTTAATTCACAATTTGCCTTTTCACAGCGGCATTTTGTTGCAGCTGCAGGGGGGCAAGCGCAATGGGAACTTTTGAGAGGGAATCTTACTCATTGAAACTCATTTGCACACTAGCTCTGTTTGCGCGTGGTTTAGAAAACAATTTAACGACACTTGAAATAGTAAAGAAACTTACGTGGTTATTACAATTTATTTATGTGATGCACAAGTCCGACAAAAATTAAATCGCCTTTAGAAAACGCGGCCGACGTGAAACTTCTGTTAAGTAGACTGACGCTAGCACTATCGATATTTTTATGCATCAATGTAACTATCGCGAATTGTCACATGCAACTCTGTTCGTAATTGAATCCGTGATATTTTTTAAATCGTTATAAATTGCAAATGCAATGCAGTTATAATCTTCAAAAATATATTCTTAAGTTGTTGAGTTGAATTGTACGACATTATTTTGATAACCTGATATTTATATATCGAATCTATGCCTCCGACGTCTATCGAAAAGCTATATCGATTAAAGTAGTTGAAACTGTTCTGTGCATTATCGATGTTACATTTAATGTCAGTATAACTTTTTCAATCAAGCTAAGGAATATTTATTACTTTTGGCAAACCAAAAAAGAATAAATAAATAACGAAACGTACAAAAGGTAAAAGCATTTGATAAGCAATGATTAAAAGAAGAAACAAGCATACGTAAAAAAATATTTCGCAAAAAAATGTAAGCCTTCGCTGTGTGATTCAGTGTACTGAAAAACAAGATGGCGGAGAGCATATGCCGGTTTGGCATATAAAAACGCGGCATTTACAACGACACATACAGACACAGTTAACTTACAAGAGCCATTTTTTACAGAATTTTAAAACAGTTCTTGCTACGCATATACGCACAAAGTTAAAAAAAAAATAAGTAAAAATGGCTGATAATGACGATCTTCTCGATTACGAGGATGAGGAGCAGAACGAGACTACTGCTGTTGAGAATCAGGAAGCACCAAAGAAAGATGTTAAGGGAACTTATGTATCCATACACAGTTCCGGTTTCCGTGACTTTTTGTTAAAGCCCGAGATTTTGCGTGCAATTGTTGATTGCGGCTTTGAGCATCCATCAGAAGGTATGTAAAAAGCGTACAGTTGTGCGTGTGAACAGTTATTTATGTGTATGTGTACTTGCAGTTCAGCATGAATGTATACCGCAAGCTGTGCTTGGCATGGATATCCTTTGCCAGGCTAAGTCCGGTATGGGCAAGACGGCTGTTTTTGTGCTTGCCACACTACAACAGCTGGAACCATCTGATAATAACACCTGCCACGTTTTGGTCATGTGTCATACACGAGAGCTGGCATTCCAAATAAGCAAGGAGTACGAACGTTTCTCCAAATATATGCCCACAGTTAAGGTAAGTCAACAAATGCCATGATTTATTAATGGGACTTGTCTAAATTTTGGGTTTTTGGTTAGGTTGCTGTATTCTTTGGCGGTCTGGCGATTCAAAAGGATGAGGAGACTCTTAAGAATGGCACACCTCATATTGTTGTTGGTACACCTGGACGCATTTTGGCACTCATTCGCAATAAGAAGTTGAACCTAAAACACTTGAAACACTTTGTTCTGGACGAATGCGACAAGATGTTAGAACAACTGGGTAAGCTTTAACAAATATATATCATATGTATATAAATCAAATCGCTAACATTATATTCTATTTGCTTCTAACAGATATGCGTCGCGACGTGCAGGAGATTTTCCGTAGCACACCACACGGCAAACAAGTTATGATGTTTTCCGCCACTTTGAGCAAAGAGATTCGTCCCGTTTGCAAAAAGTTTATGCAAGATGTAAATATCTACGTCGCACTACTACTACTACTATTACGACCACTAGCTATAATAATATATTGCGAAAATACGCACGCCATTCAAATCAACCTAAATACTACCAAAAAACAATTGTCACACTTTTTGCCTTATACCTGAAACTAGTGAAATTATTGAAACTGGTTTAATCGCGTTGATTGTAAATGAGAGTCCTGAAATGATTCAACGTTACTGATATCTCGCTGATAATTGCTAAACACCATTTTCTAAATGGTTAACCGCGTAACTTTAAACCGAGCAAGCGCTACATGCGTATAACATATATAATAAATCCTTGCCCATAACTATCAAAAACCATTTTCTAAATGGTTAAACGCGTTAACTGCAAACGAAAACGCGCTAAATGCGTATAAAAGATACAAACTTTTGCCCATAAAAGCCAAAAAACCATTTTTAAATGGTTAAACGCGATACTCTCAAACGCCAATGTCAAACTCTACCTAAATATAACAAAGAATACGTATTTCAAATCGCAACGCAATCAACATTGTAAAAGTTTACAAAAATGTAAAAAAATCACGACTGTCTCACATTCAAAACGGATGATTCCGATACGTCCACTGATACGACTGATGTTCACATGGAGCGCTAGCTATCCTGTCGCACAGCAGTTTGAGGTGATGAGGCGCAGCCGTGGCCGCAGCAAACAACATTTAAATACCCGTACATACATACTCTAGTTGATGATGATGGTTTTTAGCGTGGCCGTATGTAGAATTTGTAGGCGTACCTTAGCTTCTTAAGTTACAATTCGCATTTGTCAATCATAATTGTTTTTCTCTTAAAATGCAAACAAAACCCATTTCCAATATTTTAATAGCCCATGGAGGTGTACGTCGACGATGAAGCCAAGCTGACGCTGCACGGCCTGCAGCAGCACTATGTCAATCTGAAGGAAAATGAGAAGAACAAGAAGCTGTTCGAATTGCTCGATGTGCTCGAGTTCAATCAAGTAATATCTTAGCGTCTTGACTCTATAATCCTTAACTGTTATATAAGATGCATTAATGGCTTTAATTTCCTCCTCAGGTTGTCATCTTTGTAAAATCCGTGCAACGTTGTGTGGCCCTGGCGCAGCTGCTGACCGAACAAAATTTCCCAGCCATTGGCATTCATCGCGGCATGAATCAGGATGAGCGTTTGAATCGTTATCAGCAATTCAAGGATTTCCAGAAACGCATATTGGTGGCCACCAATCTGTTTGGCCGAGGCATGGATATCGAACGTGTGAACATTGTATTTAACTATGACATGCCTGAGGATTCAGACACTTATCTGCATCGTGTGGCACGTGCTGGTCGTTTCGGTACAAAAGGTCTGGCCATTACCTTTGTCTCCGATGAGAACGATGCCAAGATACTTAACGAAGTACAGGATCGTTTCGACGTCAACATTAGTGAACTACCAGAGGAAATTGATTTATCTACATATAGTAAGTTCTTAATTTATTTACGATTTTGTTTTTGATCTAACAAGTTTGAATTTTTACTTTTGCAGTTGAGGGACGCTAGTCACAGCGCATGGAGATCTGAAATACTTAACATTTAACAAAAGATACCAATTTTTTATAAACTTTACTTTATAACTAATAAAAATACAATCCAATCAATGTGTTGCTGTACAAAAATACCTGAATATAATTTAAAATAGATCTACACAAGCTGGGAAAGTTCGAGTGACTTTAAATGTCATGCAAATCGTATTTTGTACTTGAAACTTTCTAAGAAGCCTTTGCTGGTGAAACGTGGAATCCTTCAAGCACAATTATTGAATATTGAAAATGTATTTTATTTAAAGAATCGTTTTCTTATTTAAATATTGTAATAAATTAGTTTTATTTTCATTTTTAATTTAATTTTTAAACTGCATGCAAAACGCATCGAAAAAAATTGGAAAATTGGATATAGAAAAGCAAATACATTATCTAATCCTTCCGCTTGCTTGTCCAGTTCATTTTTTTATGCGTCCGTTTTGGGACATGCGCAAATCGTCTTGAGTTTCCGGCTGTTGTAGGGTTACTAAAGGGCAGGTCCTGGAGCGGGGGCGGCTGCGGGATTACGTGCGGTGGTTGTATAAAACGAAAAACAGAAGAGGAAGAACAGAGTTAGCACAAACGACAATAGGCCAAACAATGTGAAGAGCAAATCGAGTACATCAAAATGTTATTAAAGAAATATGTAAAAACGCGTCGCAAGGTGAAGATTCTGTTGCTGGTGACGATTGTGGCGCTGATTGTGATCACCTGCATCATTTTGCTGGGCAGTGCGGGGCCAAATGGTTCGACCATTGAGCGTTTGCTGGACGAACGTTTCATTGCGCGCGCCTATCAACCGCAGTCGGAGCAACTGCAGCAGCAGCAGCCAAAGGAGCAGCCTGTTCCTCTGCTGCAGTCTCGTCGGGAAAATGGGGTCATTGTGCCGGAAAAGTATGACGAGCAGAAGATCAAGTCGCGCATCATGGCGAATCGTCTGCAGCAGGTGAAGCAACAGCAGCGGGACAACGAGGCGGAGCAGACACGCACCACTGTCGATGCTCTGGCCACAGCTGTGCACATTTTCTATACGGCTCCTGTGCCGTGGTACAAGTCCAAGAAACCGCCACTGCCGCAGCCAGAGCATCCCAATGAGGTGGCTTTGCCGCTGACCACCCCAAAGCCAGTGAAGATCCTGAATACCGCTTTCTATCCGGCCTTGGGCTTGTATAAGCCGAGTGCCAAGCTGCTGGGTCAGCACTTTGATAACATCCGAAGCTGTGGCATTGGCGTGCTCATACTCAGCTTTGTTCGGCCATCGGATCCGGCGCTGCTTCATCAAATCCTCGAGCTGGCTCCACAGCATAATCTCAGCGTCACCTTTGAGCTGAGCGTAGCGGGCAATCGTACGCTGGAGTTTGTACGTCAGCAGCTGCAGGAGATTGCGGCATATGTGGAGCTGCCTGGCTTTTATCGCGTGTGGAGTCAATCTCATGCGGCTTTGCTGCCCGTACTCTATGTGAGCAACGCCTATAAGCTAAGCGAGAGTCTTGGTCGCCAGCTGTGCCGGCCCACAGTTCAGGAGCTGGCCGAACAGCAGGCTGCGCACAAAGAGGCAGGCGGTCTACGCCGCGTGCTGGATGCATTGTTCATTGGGCACATCAGGTAGGAAAGCCAAACATTCGATCTTCCCATGGCCTTATTCATTTCGTCTGTTCAGGCTCAAGAGTCATGCGGATGTGCTGCGTCGCTTGTGCTTCGATGGCTTCTACAGCAAATTGCCAAGCAATGGCGCTGTCTTTGCCAGCACCTGGAAGAACTGGTCATATCTCAAGTCCTATGCGCTCTCCTACAAAATGTTGTTTGTGCCAACGGTGGGTCCAGGCTTTGCGGAGCGCAATAAATTTCCACGTCACGGGGATATTCAACGTCACCGGAGCAATGGACGGGTAAGTGGACACTTTTACCTAGATATACACTGTAATTATTGTCCTTATGTTCAAGTGCGGGTATGATTGAGACGTAATTATCTGCTTTTTAAAGAGAGATTTAGAGTAAAGCAGAATTTTCTAGCCTTTTTACTAAAATCGATATATATCGAATTTACAGCTGGGATCCATAAAATCTTCAATTCAATATTTGAGAAATTAGGAATGTTATATTTGGTATTCAACTTTGTGCCACTTGTGTGCCTGATTGGTCCTAAAGATAAGCTAGAACTAGATACAATCGATAAGTATCGATTTGCAGCTTGAGTTTCTTTGGTATATCTTAGATAATTCAGTATTAAGAAATATGAGAAGAAACATATATATACCAAGCTTTATAGAATACTTTTCCTTATTCATATATGAGTTATACTTCGCTTAGAGCTACTAGATATATATAATTAAGATCTAGTTAAGATAACAATAGCAATTGATTATAGGGTAACTGCTAGTCGGGCAGCTACGATTTGCACACTCTTAATTGTCCTCATCTAGCTAAGTATTTCCTGCCTCAACTTACAGTACTATGGCGTAGCCTGGCGCACAGCTATATTGAACCATGTGGGATTCATCAACATAGCCAGCTACAACAATTGGCCTGATGGCAGCCAAATCGAGGAGGTGATGCCACGTGCCGGCTTCCTTGATTACAATCCCGGTTCGCGCACCAAGTATCTAGATCTGACGGCCCACTGGGTGGGCAATTTCTTAAAGACCCGCCAGGAGGCGGCGACGGCGGCAGCGGGTGCGGCGCAGAACTGTTATGAGCTGCTCAATAATACGATTTGTTGAGGCCGACGTTGATGCGTGCACAATTCGTGATCGAAGTTCAAGTTGAAGTGGAAGTCGAAGTTAGTTCACGGAATAACTCATATCGTCGATTCAATGTGTTGCCTTACCCCATGGAGCGGCCTCCATTCGGTGTGCGTTTACTTTAAATGCAATCAATTGCAATTGCCACTCAATTACTTTCTTAACTGTTAACAAGTCTTCTACTACTTATATGCCTATATAGCAACCAGAACAATTATCTATGTATCTGCCAAAAAGTAAAACTCTATATAAAGTGCAAGCAATATATATATATATATATATATATATATATATATATATATATATATATATATATATATATATATATATATATTTATAAATTTATATCTATATATATATAGATAAAAATTAACTAGGGCCTGGTCGTAAGCAGCGCCAAATTATTTTACATTTTTTCTAGATTTCGATTAGTACTATTAATAACATCAATAACAACAAGAACAACAACAATATCATCAGCCATGCCATAATGTATACATTTATATATATATATATAGAAAATGTAGCAACGATTAACTATTTGTTAAACAAAAAACAAAAGCTTATTAACACTTGTTAAACGAAAGGTACTTAACAAATTTTATCTTTATTACACATACAAGATAAATATATATAAAAATATATTTAAACATTACTTTAACTAAGCTTTAATAGATTTACTAGTGCGAAAACGAAAAAATAAACAAATAAAAAAACATTTATTATCATATAAAGCATTAACACGATTTTTCGTCGTGTAAACTTTAATTTAGGCATAACTTACATTATATATACACCGTTAAATTACTGCCTGCTTTAATTTCCGTTAGCAATTTATAGGTCGCATTTGTTTATTAACGGCAAAAAAGAGCTGAATATACCCTGGTTCAATATGAAAACAGAGTATTTCACTTAATGACAGCCGCTGTCACAGGCAGCAGCAATTATTAGAGAAATTAAAAAATTATGTCTCAGGTACGATCGGGGCTTTACCTTTCCAAGGAGCAGTCAAAGCGTCAGCCGAAGCAACAGGCGCCCAAAGGTTGCTGCTGCAAGCGCTCGCAATGCATCAAGAACTACTGCGATTGCTATCAGTCCATGGCGATTTGTTCCATTTACTGCAAATGCATTGGTAAGTTGCAATGGCAGCCTGAAGCAGAGTGGCTACATTTACAATCCAAATGCAGGCTGTCGCAATACTGAGGAGCGTCTGGCGGTAGCGACGCCGCCCAAGAAAACGGCGCTGGCCACCAAGCGGGAACGTGCCGCAGCTCTCAGTGCCAAAGCAGCGGCTGCGGCGGCCAAGGCGGGCATCAACATCCATTTGAAGCCGGCGCCTGGCTCTGCTGCTTTTAACGGTCAGCAATTTGGGGCTGGTGCTCAGGCACCCGCTGCCGCAACGCCGGCGCAAATACTGCAGCTGCCCGACTTGGATCTAGAGAATATCATCACGTTGCCGCCACCCAATGCGGCTACTGCTACTGCAACTAAGAAGCTACCGCCTGCCCCAGTACAAGGACAATCGCTGTTTTTCACCAGCCAACCTTTGACGCCACCCAAGGAGGTAAATGTGTGCAAGCAGCCAGTAAATGTGGCGCTGCTCGAGTGCATCCTGGTGCAGGCCGCCGAGGCCGAGGAACTGGGCCTCAACGAGGTGCAGGTGGGCAAGTTAATACTTCACGAGTTCGCGCGCGGCCTGCAGGCCATTATAAAGGTCTATGATGTTTGAAAAATAGATTCAATTGTTTTCTTTTATTTACATTTTTATAAAAATTACTTTATAAAAAAAATCATATGCCTAATGTCATGTAGATCAACTTATGTATATAACATGTAAAAATAAATTCATTTCATAGATTCATTACGTATTTAAGATTTATATTTACATATACAAGTGAGTATCCTCTACCAGTCAAGCGGCTGAAAGATTAGCTCAGTAGCCAGCAAATCAAAGCTTCCTCTGCGTACTCCTCCGGCTGTTGCTGTGATCGAACTCTTGTGCCGTTCCAGCGGCAGTTCATTGTCTGTATCGCTGTTGCTATCTGCCGAATCCTCGCCATCTGCATAGTCGCCATCATCGTTGACGCGACGTCGCTTGGATCTTGGTCCGGATTTAGTTTTATATTTTTGCCAGAAATGCGCTGGCTGCGCAAAGTCCGTTAAATTCGCAAAGCGCATTGTCATGGCACGACAAAATTTATTAAACTCCTGATGCAGCTCGGAGTTCATATAATTACGCAAATTCCGATGAATTTCCTCCACGTAGCGCAGACAACGCTCCAGTTGCTTGAGCTGTTTGAAAGTGTAAAGAATTTAGTTATAAAGCTGACTATAGGTTTTAGTCTCTTATATACTGACCGGCTCTTCAGCTATTTCCCGTTTGCGTGCTCCTCGTCCACGCCCTTTGCCTGCTGCATTATCATTAGCTGGTGGCTGCTCGGCCAGTGCAATTGGCAATGCTTGCAGTTCCTCCTCCGGTGAGGTCTCATCTTCATCGCCCTCTGCCTGGCCTGCGCCCTGCTGACGTTTGCTCTTGGTACAATAGCATATTCGACGCATTATAAAGAGTATATCGATGACTACATCCAAGGCGCTGGCCAACTTAATAAATGACGCATCTTTTGTCTTCTCTGCAAGTTAGTAAATAATAAATTATTATATATATTATTTTTATGTGGAGTTTGTTAAGCTTACCAGCTAATAGCTTCAGCTGTCCAAAGTATAGTAAGAGCGTATTTTCGTCTAATGCGGCGAGAATATGATTATATAGCAAACGCCGAAGTTTTCTATGCTTTGGTCCCTTCAGTGGCGACTTGAAGCCTGCTTCCATGCGAGCTGAGCCGGTTAAAAAGGCTTGGTCGTTCAAATCGAAGGGAATCTCCTTGAGACAATGATGAAACAGTGACTTGTCATACAATTTCTTATAGCGTATAAAAAAGGCATCTGCTTCACGTGCTACTTCGACGCTCTCATCGACCAGTCCAGCCAGCAGCGAGATTAAAATGGCGCCTTTCAATTTAATATTCCCAGCCAGAATGACATCCTTGACACAGCGATAGGTGCGCACGCGTGTTGTGGGATATTTCGAAGACAACTTGACCAGTATGCATTTCATATTGCTCTCCAGAATTGTGGGATATTTTTTGCCCAGATCGTTCAGACAAATCAGCGTACTATTAATCAGTTGTGGCCTGTCATTTTTGCTCAGTATTTGCCCATACATTTTGGAAACCTTGTGTGCCAGATTATTGTCTCGCAAAGAGAGCCTTCCTGCTATCACAACCATCCAGTTCATCATGCGTTCGTTTTCCGTATCGAAACTGGCTTCGTTCAAGCTAATGCAGAGCTTCACATAGCCAAGCACAAAGTTAACGATTTTCTCATCCGCGTTTTGTGGTAGCATTACAATCAGTTCGGTATAAGTAGCCAGTAAGGAGGCCATTCGTATGTGATCTGTTTGAAAGTTCTCTATGCATATCTTGGACGCAGCCGTGACGTCCTCTAGCAACTGCATTTGCCAATTCTCAACTGTCGCGCTATTCTCCGGCGCCTGACTATGCGACAGTTGATCTATGTGATGCAACAGCAGCATTGCAGGTGAGATCACTGCTAGCCAAATGCTGCCCGTGCTCATCGCGGATAGCAGGCGTTTGAAGAGCTGATTGAGCGATGCCTTCGAAAAGTTGGACAAACAATAGGTGATCAACTGAAGCGCTAACACCTGATTCGACTTCATATTGTACGACGACAAACGATCGAATGTTGGTATTATCGAATCCAAATTGTTTGTAATGCGACTGGATAGCATCAGAAGCAGTGTCCATGCTTCCGTTGCCATTGGCGTATTTAAGTGCGAGATAATAGTGTTCACCAATTTGGACCTAGATGGACGAGTTGAATGTGAGTATTTGTTTATGTTGAATTTGATGAAAGCTACTCACGTAACCAGATTCTCATTTTGTAGCAATAAATTGAATCTGTGCTGCAAATAATCACGAGGTTGTGTAGCTAACAATGTGGTCAGAATGTTCCAGGGCAGCAGATGCTTCGGTTCATTGGAATATTCCAGAGGTTGGATATTCAGCAAGACATTACGATTAAAGCTCTGCAAGGTAATGTTATTAGAATAGTCAAAGCATTGAAAATGAATGAGATATTCTCTCACTAACATGCAATGCAAGTTTCTGTAATAGAGCATCGTCATCATTCAGCATGCAGGACCAAATCCGACAATAGACATCGACGAGTATGGAACAGTTGTCGTAGGTTTGGAGCAGTGCGTCTATCATTTCCAATGTTGCTTTCCGCACTGATGACAGCATATCTGTGGCTAGCGCAGATATTTCACGCTCAAAGTGGGTATTGTATAAGATTCGCTGATTCATTTGAGCCAGGCGCTCTAGCAAAGCTAGTCCAGAGCAACGAGCCAAGCCATTGTTAGATACTAGAAAACGTTCGTAAATCAATTGTGGCATTCTCTTAACGTCCGCTTCTAGTTCATCGTAACCCTCGAAGCTATAGGCATAACACAACTTTTTTGGATTTTCAAGACTTAGCTCAACTTGTCGAGAATTTGGGTTACGCGGTGTCTTAATATCATCATATTGAACAAAATTGATGACCTCATAAAGTATTCGTGTGGTGATTGGCGAGCCCTGTCTAATGGCTATGCTTAGCACTTGGCTCGCCTTGCGACGAACGCTAAAAGTTTTGTCGTCAAGGCAACGAATTGTCTCTCTGATTAAAGAAACTTCTCTTGGTTTAGTGGACACATCGTGTCGAAAGATTCGCCACTCCACCTGTGTCTGATGCTGCAAAATGCGCTCAATAAGTTCGAGAGATCGTAGCTGAAGACCCACTGCTTCATCCGCTTGGATAGTCTTAAGTAGCAGATCCGTGCAGGATTTGTTACATTTGGCATAGAGAGCTGCATCATATTTGGCCGCATATCCAATGGCAATTTTCTCATCACCGGCTTTCCACTAAAAAATATTAAATTGTAAAAGCGATATTTAACTTGTATGCAACAATTAATATAATTTACCTCCCTAATAGGATTCGTAATCACGCAATCAATGTAATTTTCCAATACACGTGACAATATATCTGGATACTTGTCTAATAGCTTTACAAACCAATCAGAAATATGCTCGCCATTTTTTGGGCCCAAACCTTTCGAGTTTTCTGGATAAATATGCATATAAAACGTTTCCGACATTATATGCATCAAAGTCTTGTATACATCTCCATTTTGTTCAGTGGTTATCTCGTCTAAGACTTCAAAACATTTCGCATGTAGTTGAGGTGCACCTGAATTGAGATATTTTCAAGATTTAAATTCATAACAGACAAATAAGGTTAATAACAAATCGATATGCATTCCGATAATGCAAGCAGTGCTAAGCAGTTCTTTCATTTAAAAATTTTACTATTCGCTTTTTACTTCCTTTTCGCACTAGAGCTGGCCTATACAATGGTGCATATCGATAGACAGGCAAATTGATTCGATTACTTTTACGAAGCGCATTGTCAGCTCTAGCAGTGCAATTACGAACGATAACAACGAATAAGATTTGTGAAATTCAAATATAACTTTGCTGCATTCATTCTACAGAGAAATGTTAATTTTATTGCGCAATAATGCTGGCAGTGCGGCAATCAGCCAGGCACGTAGCATTGCCAAACGATTGCTGAGCACATCTGCAGGAAACACAAAAACAGAGACTTCACCGGCAACCGAGCACTATGATATCATAATTGGCGGAGGTGGCTTAGTTGGAACAACGCTTGCTGCTGCGTTGGTCAACAATGTGACGCTGGCTGATAAGAAGGTACTGCTGCTGGAGGGCGCCCCACCATTCAAGGGCTTTGATCCCACGGGTCCATATCAAAATCGCGTTTCGGCCATCAACCGAAACTCTGTGGAGCTCTTTAAATCTATTAATGCCTGGGCACACATTGAGCAGGCACGATATAAGCCAGTAAAACAGATGCAAGTGTGGGAGTCAAATAGCGATGCGCTTATTCAATTCCAGCACAATAATTTTGCCAGCGATGTGGCCTGCATCATTGAAAATGATTTGATACTCGATGCGGTCTATTCACGTGTCAAAGAATTGTCGGCTAATGTGGAGGTGTTAAACAGGGCGCGCATTGAATGTGTGGGTTTGCCTGGTAAGACGGGCGCACCACATTCCCAAGTTAAGCTGCAGGATGGACGCATCTTTACATGCGATCTGCTCATTGGAGCCGATGGTGCCAACTCTGTGGTGCGCAAGGAAATGGGCGTGGACGTTTTCTCATTTAACTATGATCGTATGGGATTGGTGGCCACACTGGACCTTAATATGGAAGATGATTGTGATAATTCGGTGGCTTGGCAACGTTTTTTGCCCACCGGTCCAGTTGCTCTATTGCCGCTGAGTACCAAGCAAAGCTCCCTGGTCTGGAGCACAACAGTGCCGCATGCTAAGGAATTGCTGGCCATGGACGCGAATGCTTTTGCCGATGCCCTTAATGAGGCTTTTTGCAGGCAATATCCACGCGTAGATCTGGCGGACAAGGCGTTGCAAGGGCTCAATGCTCTCTTCGGCAACAGCGGAGCCCAGCATCAACGTCAATATCCTCCCCAAGTATGTGGCGTGCAGGATGGTTCGCGTGCTACATTTCCACTAGGCTTCTTGCACGCATCTTCGTATGTGTGCAATGGCGCTGCTCTTGTTGGAGATGCTGCACATCGCGTTCATCCACTGGCTGGACAAGGCGTTAATTTGGGCTTTGGTGATGTGCGTCACCTGGTGGAAACCTTAGCCGCCGCTGCCTATGCTGGATTTAAGCTGGGCGATACACAGCATCTGGTTAAATACGAACGCAAATGCTTGCTCAAAAATGTGCCCATCATGGTGGGCGTGCATGGCTTGCACACGCTATACTCTACCGATTTTAGTCCTGTAGTACTGATGCGCAGTCTTGGCCTGCAGTTGACTCAGAATTTGCCGCCTATCAAGAACTTGTTCATGAAGACCGCCATGGGTTAAAGGGATTTCCTAACTTTAAGTGCTTACAGTTTTATAGCCGCTAACAAATCAAATAAAGGGTGTTTAGCTATGCAATAAAAGGGTTTTAGTTGCGTCTATGTATCTTCAAGGCTAGTTAACCCTCTATAGGTCGAAGGTTCTGTTCCGTCAGTTATACAAAACTGTTTCCTTTCTTTACAACCTTGGTCAAAATGGTTTCAAAGAATATTTATTACTAAATGCATTTGTTTGTATAATCTATGTGTTTTCTATTTGTTCTTGACGAGTTGTTCATTAAAAATAGTAATTGGTGGAGCTGATAAATTGCATTTTACGTACTTGCTTAATCATAATATAAGGCACATTTGGTACAGACTTTATAAGACTACGGCTAAGTTAATTCTATGTATTATTTTTAAAGCTCCTGATGGCTTTTTGTCATATCCACCTGTAGCAAGTTGTTGCTCTCGCCCAGCTTCAGATCCTGATCGAGCATGTTTACAGTGTCCTCTTTAGGAAAGATTTGCTGGCGATTGCTTTTAAGCTGCGCCTCGCCAGCCCCATCTGCCATATCAACAATTTGCTGAGAGTCCTCCGTGTCGGATATATAGCCCGTTTCACCCGTGTAGTGGATGGGATAGAGTAACATAGGCGCTGCACTAAATGCAATTAGGTTGCGTGGCTCGAAAGCTTTGCTGAGATTCTGCAACGGATGCCGGCCAAACATTACCGGGAGAAACTCATCGACCGGTATAAGTTTCTCTAGCGGATTAACAGCCAATAGTTTCTCGGCGCCTTTCAGCGTAATGACATAGCCCAGTGTCCAGTAGGAGTAGCCGACATGCACGAGATTATCGCTGCCGTCGACCCAAGGCTCGCTTTCATCCTTCAAACGCTTGCGACCGAAGTAGATAAGGTCATAGTCATAGTTGCTTGCCTGTTGGAGTACGCGTAGCGCACTTGCCGTGAAATATGGTTCGAATCGTATGTCATCTTCCAGGATAAGCACCTGGCGTAGTTGTCGCTGCACAATCTGCTGCCAAATGCGATAGTGACTAAGAAAGCAACCGATTTCGCCCATTGTCATTGGACGATGATGATACGGATCCTCGTAACCTGGCAGAAAACTTATTCCCATCTCCTGCACCAGCTGCGTGTTTAGTTGCTTGCCATCGACGGCAGCAAAATGCTCCACTTCCAGGCCCAGTTCAGTGAACAGATTCTCCATTTTTTCACGTCTTTCTGGCCTTCTTTCCAGATTGATCATGAATATATTATCCAAATTCAGTTTAGTTTTCTCGGGCGGCTTAATGTGCTGCTGCAAGTATGAATGCACGGGCGGCACTGCTCCTAGATCGTGTACCATGTTAACTCTAATATTAATAAGCTGCAGCAGATCGTGCTGCAGAGTATCCGTTGTCTCCAATGGCTGCATCATATAGCCAAAGGGCAAAGTATTACAGATATGCAATGGCACTCCAGAGTGGTTGGCGGACATGGCAAACACAATGATATCGTCCACGGGTCCATCGTACAGTTGGGCATGCTGTGCAGACTGCATTTGAATAAGTCTCTGGCGGTCAAAGGTTAGATAACGTGCACCCGCATAATTCATGTGCACCAGCACGGCTGTATGGACCATAGGCACCGCGAACGAGCCAACTTTATCTTTGTGATAGATCTCCTTGTATTCGGGCGTGCGCTGATAGTAATAATCCTCAGTCATGCCGCACCAGAAATTCGAGTAGAGACTATCCGACAATAACATGGGTGCCACAATGGGCAGCCGCAAGGCTGTGAGCTCCTTGAGAGACTTTGGCGCAGTCAGCAACACATCGGCATCCAAAAAGAATATGAAGTCCGCCCAAATATCGCGCGCATATTGCAGCGCCTCTTCTTTCAAAGCAATCACATGCTTGAAACGCGATGCCGGCCAGTCGTAAGCGGAGCTTTCATTAACATAACGCGACGTTTCATCGTCGAAAGAATAGTTGACGCTGTGATAAAGGTCCGCCGAATGTTCTAGCCACTCTTGCAGCACTTGTATGCTATTATCGTTGTTGTGATCACAGCGTATCCTGAATATATATTTATACACACATATATATTATGTTCTCCTATCTGAAGTCTTTAATGCTCTCACTTACCAGAAGGCAATGCGCTGCTTAGGATAATCCAATTGATCTATATAGCTCAAAAACATGGGTAATATGTGGGCCTTATTGCGCACGAGCACCGTTATAAGCACCGTTGGCTGCTCGTACTCCAAATCCAATGCCCAGCCGGCGCCCAAGGCGCATATTGTGATCAGTATTAATTCTATACGCATTTCCACGTCATTCCAAATACATGGTTCGGTTCAAATAGGTCAAACGAACGGATGCGACGGCGGCGGCTGCTGGACAAGTGCGGATCGACTGTCAGACCAGAATCTATTTATAAACTTGCTGTTAGCGTTCATTGAACGCTCGCCATATATCTGTAATCAGTTAATGAATAACGATAACATATCGTTTTGAAAGTGTAACAGCTGTCGTGCTATCGTCTACTCAATTGCTCTCCCCTACAGTTGTGGGTGCTCTGCAACTATAATAGGAACTGTAACTATCGATTGCAATTTTTGCATGCAATCGATTTATAGCTAAGCTTGCGGCTCATCTTTGATTTACATTTTTGAAATATGTGAATATATATGGAAATTTAAGATTTAATAACATTGCTCTTTAAAAATTAAACAACGATTTATTTAACGAAGTCTGTACAAAGCATACTCTATGCGTTAGCTGCATGAGGCTTAGCATAACTGGGAAAGTTAAGTTGTAAGCCTTCTTTTGCCTCGAAGAACGTGTAGGATAGTGTAATGGTGTCACAATACTCGAGTGCCGGATCTTGCGTGATTTCTGGATCAATGTAGAAGAACACAGGCATATCCACCTCCTCGTGAGGATTAAGCATTTGCTCTTCAAAGCAAAAGCATTGGATTTTATTAAAGTATGCACCCGCCTCGAATGGAATCACATTGTAGGTGCTGATGCCAACCACCGGTTTGTCTGTCGGATTTTTGGCTGTGTAGAAGGCGAGTGCTGTTTCGCCGGGTGCAACTTTTATTTCATACTGTTGCGGCTTAAAGTTCCAGCGCATGGAAGAGCCAATGTCGGCATTGAACCGTATCTTGAGCACTCGGTCGTTCACTTTCACCATGTGCTCCACCTTCTCGGCATCGTGGCCTTGCGAAGTAGTGCCACCATAACTGTATGCCTGGCAAAATATACTGTACAGTGGCACAGCCGCATAGCTGAAGCCCACAATCAGTACACCGCCAGCAGTTATGTAGTATAGTGTTGATTTAGAGCGTAATTTTCGCAGTGCATCTGGATCACTGCGGTTGCCTCCAAATGTTGACTGTTTGCGGCACGTTCGCGTCGATAGTTGTTGTTTGTTTGTGTGCCTCAGCAGCTGCTGGCAGTGCACGCGCAACGAGCCAAAGGTGCGTAGCATTTAAAACGTTTAATTTAAATTGTTATTAACAATTTACAATTCGATTCACAACATTAAAGTATCAACCGTTTGTATAATCTTCGTCTTATAAAACAGCTGTTAGCTTGTTGCCAGTGTGTGCACACAGTGCTTACACATGACGGAAAACTAATTAGAGATGCGCAAATCTAAAAAGTGATTATCCATTCACATTTATTCCATTGTACACACAACACACATGACACAAAAACAAATGCACTAAATTCACATACATTTACGATAATGCACTTTTAACAAATTTCGCTGAAGAATCATTTTGCAATTATTATACACTTGCAAATAGGCATACATTCAATAGTTTAAAGTAGTTACAAAAATTTGGCGGGAAAAATATATAAATACAAAATATTGTAATACTTACAGGCATTATTGTAGCCATGTCTAAAATTCATGTAGAGTATAATCAAAAGGCAACGCATTATATTGTCGCGTGGCTTCAGATGGTCCTTAAAGTGGACATAGCGAAAGACGAGTTTGAGATCATCGCAAATTGTTAGAAATAATATCCATATATTGTTAGCTCGCGCACTGGAATTGGCATAATTTTCCAGCAGTCGAAAGACTCGTAAGCAATGCTCGATGACACCCTCATCGAAGATGCCATAACTCTTGGCGCCTGGAATGGTGAGCGTTAGGAAATACGTGCTAACTGCATTAAGCGCCAGATGCACATTTACATTCTCATTTATAGGCTCGGGGGCAAAGTCGAGTAAATCTTGTGGCAATGTTGCTAGACTCGTTAATGCGTAAATATAGGTCAAATAATCCTTGGAGGCAATGTTCTCGATTTTAGCCCAATTATCGTTTACAATGTCAAATCTATTTTCGCCCTCAATATCACTAGATCGCATTGATCTGATGCATTGCGCCAGCTCCCGCAGTGCTTGCAATTGATTATCCTGGCGTTGCAAATTTTGCCTGCACATGGGCAGGGACCAAAATTGGTTGGCTTTTTGTGCTGTTACCTCGTCGTCGTCATCATCGCACAGCCAATCTTCCAGTTTGGTCCATTCCACGTTTTGTGCAAACTCCGACTTAAGTTCACAGAATATGCGATTGAGGTCTGACATTTTTGCATATTAGCTTTTCACAATATAAACAGTTGTTTTCAATAAACACAGTATTAACACATTTGTTTACAGTTAGCTTGCAAAAGTGATGAAAAATCTTAAGCGATGGAGGTGACTTATCGGTTACCTATCGATATTAGCAATATCAGACAGCTGTTTACGAGATAAAATTGGTATGCAGGTCAAATTAAATATATGCTAACTCAACAAAAATTCTATTTTAGTACTAATTAAATTATGATTTAATAACTTACATGATAATATTTATGTATATATTACTTAACACTTACATTGAATGGCAATTTGAGTGACTTTATACTGTGTGCGAACAGCATACCTGGCCCTATCAACATCTGGATAACTTCGAAAAACTACACCCAATTCTGATTTGGCAATTCTCGTAAACAATGGACGCTCTTAAAGAAGCGTCCCTGGACAACGAAGAAGTGCGCGAGATCCTAAAGAACACCACAGATTTGCGCCAATATTCGCGACAAATTGAAAAGGAGTTCAAAGATGTGGAAAATAAATCAATTGAGGATTACATTGCCGAATCGCAGAACATTGCCAATCTGCACAATCAAATCAACGACTGTGACGATGTGCTGGAACGCATGGAGAACATGCTGATGAGCTTCCAGAGCGTGCTCAATAACATCAGCACCGAGATAACACAGCTGCAACGCAAGTCCGTATCTATGTCGCTTCAGTTGACCAACAGGCAGTCGGTCAAGGCGCAGCTGTCGCAGTTCATCGAGGACATGGCCGTCTCCGAGGATATGATCAACATTATTATGGACACGGCTGTGACAGAGCGCGAATTCAGCAACCAACTGAATGTGCTGAACCACAAGCTGTCATTGGTCAAGGAGCTGAGCTTTAAGGAATCCAAGTCAACGAGCGATGTCAGCGATGTGCTGCACAAGCTGCGCCTCAAAGCGATGTCCAAGATACGCAGCTACCTGCTCGAACAGATATACAAGTTTCGCAAGCCCATGACCAACTATCAGATTCCGCAGAATGCGATGCTGAAGCACAAGTTCTTCTTCGAGTTCATATTGTCCAATGAGCGCCATGTAGCACAGGAGATATGCAGCGAGTACATCGATACCATGAGCAAAATCTACTATAGTTATTTTAAAGTAAGTGAAGGGAATAGAAATGGATTCAGTTAACTGTATTACTACTATACTATTTGCAGAGCTACTCGACACGCCTGACAAGCCTTAAATTTGAGGAATCCTGCACCAAGGATGATCTAATGGGCATCGAGGACAATGCGTCCAAGGGCCTGTTTGCCAAAACAACGAGTCTCAAGCATAAGAGCACAATCTTTACCATTGGAAAACGCGGTGATATACTTAATCAGCAGCTGGAGGCTCCAATTATAGTGCCCCATGCACAGCTCAAGAATCGAGTAAGCTTCGGGAAACCCTGTAAAAGATTTTACTTCTGATAAGCTTTACCTCTTACAGTACACGGCGGAGGCGCTGTTCCGCTCAGAGCAATATGCCCTGGTTGACAATGCATGCAGAGAATATTTATTTGTTACTGAATTCTTTATGGTGCGCAGCACCCAAGCGCAGGATCTGTTCAACCAAATTATGGGAAAAACGTTAACCTTGATGATTGTATGTGAAATCTAAGTCTCAGTTATGTATACTATTAATGTCTATCGTTTTCTTTAGAAAAATCTGGAAACATCTATACATGATTGCTATGATACTATAGCCATGTTCCTTTGTATACATTTGATCTTTCGCTACCAGCTTATGTGCCACAAGCGCTGTGTGCCAGCGCTGGATAAGTGAGTATAGATTAGATTATAATATAGGCATATATATTATAACCTGTGTCCTTTTAAGGTATTGGGACTCACTGCAATCGGTTATTTGGCCACGTTTGGAGTACGTTTTTCGTTTGAATATACAGAGCATTCACGACTGTGATCCCACCAAGTTCAATAAGGAAATGGGTCCACATTATGTACGAGTAACACTCTATAGCTAATGTCAGATAATCGAGATTCTATTTCTCTCAGATAACACGGCGCTATGCAGAATTCAGTGCCGCCATTGTTGGAATCTCGGAGCATTTTCCCAATGAGCTGGTTAGCCGGCTGTTACTGGAGCTACAAAACGAAGTGGAGTGCTTTATTTTGCGTATGGCCGCAATTTTCGCTACACGCAAGGATCAGCTTATTTATTTGATCAACAACTATGATCTAGTGCTTGGCGTGCTCATGGAGCATACGCGTGACAACTCCAAAGAGGCTGAGGCATTCCGTGAGCAGTTGAATGCACGCAGTGCAGAATATGTGGATGAAATTTTAGCCCCACACTTCGGAGGTATAATACAGTTTGTGAAGGAGGGCGAGCAATACGTGGAAAAGGATCAAGCAGATGAGCTACGTAAGCAGGAGAGACGTAGTCTCGGCCTTGTAGCTAGTTTCTCTGCGAATTGGAAGAAATCTCTAGAGGAGCTTAATCGTGAGGTACTTCTATCGTTCCCATCGCTGTTGACCGGCTCTCAGCTGTTGCAATTAGCTTTGGCCAGTCTTGTCCAATATTATCATCGTTTCCACAAGCTGCTGACGCCCAATGCGCGCGCCCAGCTAACGAATATCCATGTAGTCATGGTCGAGATCAAGAAGTACAAAAGCAACTATTGACGGGACAATTTAAAATGTTTTAATTATGATCAGTGCGCGCATTGCGAAACATTCCAAAAATAAAATATGAAAAAAGTTTTAAATATGTTCTGTGGAGGCTGCCAATAATTTGGATTAGCTTGCATAATTATTCCTCATCCTCGAACATCATCTCGACCAGGTCCTTGTTGGAGCAGCGCTCGCCGTCCAATCTCTGTGGTGACTTCCAGCGCATCAGCGTCGGCAAGAAAATTAGATGAGTATTTGGATCCTTACGAAATGGACAGTTCAAGTCTTTCCAACTGCAAATACCAATCATAATCTCATTTACTAATTATCTCGCATTCTTGCCAAATTCGTGATAAAAAGCAAAGCAAACGAAAGTTATTTAAACGATCAGCTTTGCTACATTTCATTTTTTATCACTAACAATGGGCGTGAAAACATGCAGTACATATGTGTACATATATGTGCATATACAAGTATATGTATATGTATATATTTTTATAGGTGCTGTAAAATGCTCTTGAGTTATCGTCGAATGCCCTAATAACTTAACAACAACAATATATAATTTTGTACGGTGGTCAACAGCTAAACATACTCTGTTCGAAGTGTTACGATATGTAACGCATTGCAGTTGACAAAATGCATAGTCTTTATAGCTTTGTCTTTAAGCTTGGTACCCTGCAGTAAAGTTTGGTTCAGATGTAGAACTATGCTTTCATACAGAAACGGACGCTAGATCACTATTTCATATAGTTTCTTAGATCAACAGAGTTCTTATACGAACATTATAACAAATTTATATACATTGCTCCACGTTCTAATACGAATAATGCCCTCAAAAGGCGAGTTAGTCATTGTACTTATACGTATATAAAACTATCATCGTAAGCTTTTAATAGGCGGCCCTGCGAAAATAACAGTTGTCAATTGGTTAATAATATATTACAACTTACTATGAACGCTCGCCAACATCGACATGCACAAAGTGGGAGTTTTCAGGGGCCTTCTTCAATGCATCATGTATCACCGGCTCGGCTATGGGAATAGAACACGTATAAAATAACCGTTTGGGAATTGAGTCATTTGTAATTAAATGCTCTTTGCGGTTAGCCACTAGAGATCATTGTATATTACCCCTGACACAATATGGACACCAGCTCTCGCCATTTTCGTCCTTGCCCCCGCTGAAGAGGACATGCACTTGGTTATTGCCGTCACCGGTTTCAAGTTCCTCCATTTTCTTGGAGAACTCATCGTAGCCTTTAACGTTGTGTGTTACGACCATAATTTTGCCTTGTTTGAATTGCTTAAGGCCGCCTGCGAGTGTACGCTTGACGATATGTTTGATGAGCGTTGGTGGCGACGTGATTGCGCACTTTTAAGTAACTGGTATTGAAAGGTTAAGCACTTATTGTTTTATTCGTGTTAATTTTGTTATCACAAGTGTGTAAGTCAACGATTGCTTATCGATAGCAGTTAGTATTTTAATTATCGATATGCTCTGTGAACCCAAAGCCTGTTAACCTGTTATTGTTATAAGCAAATGCCATCTCTTAGGGCATATCGATAGCTGAAATGCATTATGTAAAATCTATCGTTGAATAACTCATCACCAAAACATCAAAACAGATGTTCAACTTATATTTTGTTATTCGCACACAATAATTTACTGTATTGTTTTTAAATTATTATTTATTATTTAAAAATATGGCTCAGTCAATATTACTGCGCAATTTACTGTTGCACAGGAAAACGCTGTTGATGCCCGCAACCACACGACTTCGATCTCTTACATCGTTGCATTTAGGCAACCCCGCAGCACAGCAAGCGAAAGGCAGTTTATAATAAAAAAATTAAGAAAGTTCTACTGAGCTAATAAATTACTTTGCAGGTAGTGGGGCATTGCAGCAGTCGAGCGGAGGCGGCGGCGGCAGTAATGTGTCTACTGACGTCCGACCTATTGGCGAGAAGATTAAGGAGAATACTAAGACGGCCAGCTACACGGCCATAATTTTGGCCGGACTCGGTGTAACGGGCATTATGTTTTATGCTATTTTCCGTGAACTCTTTTCCAAGGAGAGCTCATGCAATATTTATTCCAAGGCATTGCAACGTGTCGTTGATGATCCTCGTGTGCAAGATGCTATTGGTGCACCCATTAAAGGCTTTGGCGAGACGTCGCGTCGTGGTCGTCGCCAGCATGTGGCTCATAGCAGTTTCGAGCGGAACGGAGTGCCCCATATGCGCATGCAGTTCTATGTGCAAGGACTGCGAAACAAGGCAACCGTACAGCTAGAATCAAGAAGGGTGCGTACGCTAGCTAAATCTATTTATATAATCTAATCTCATTTTATATTCAGGACTCGAAGGGAAAACTGGAATTCCGCTATTTATTTGTGCAATTAGATCATTACCCACGCACTACTATCGTCCTGGAGGATAACCGTGCATATGATCCAACGCCGGATCGTCCTCAGTCGGGCTTCAGCAATTTAGCTCTCATGTCCAATAGCCGCGACAAGTAGGAAACCCGCCGTAACATCCATTGTCCGACACAAGCACTTAAATTCATTGTATATTTTATTTTATTTACACAAATTGACTGAAATTATGAAAAAATGTATCTCATTCGCCTATGGAGAAATTGTCCATTTCAAGGATGGCGCCCGACTCGTGTCAGTATAGCTTCTTCCATGGTATTATCTCCCAGGATCGTACGATATGGCGTCCGAATAGAAAGTCCTTCAACTTATTCATAATGTAAAACGAAATACCAAAAAAAGACGCAAAATACAGCCAAAACTGACCGAGACGTTCCCAAATGCTCAAATGATAGCGTGCTGGCAATTGTGGCACATCTAGCTCCACGTCGATGGTAAGTCCGGGACTTAGGCGCGACGGTGTGGGCCTGTAGTAGGTCTCCTGCACGGCCATCTGGAAGTAGGCTGGATTTGCTTTCACCTGGCCCAACAGCGATTCCATTTTGTACTGTGAGATGTCCGCCAAACTGTTGCTCGTATCCAGTTGCACCTGGCGAAAGTTGGTTTGCAGGTTGCGTCCCGGAAATGGGCAGGTGAACTCCACAAATTGCTTCAGCTTTAACTCGCCTTTCAATTGAACGTGTCCATTCTGCAGGCGCACAGCCTGCGGCAGCTGTAGTTGATGTGCCAGCACCGCGGGTGGATTAAGGACGCATTTATGGCGCAGCTGCGCCTCGAAGAACAGCAGCAAATCAAAGCTTATCAAATGTGCGGGCAGCTGCTTTAGTTCCAGCTGAAAGTTCACGCGATCCGTAACCGTATCGTAGTCCAAGTCCTGTGTCCAATATTTGCTCGCCTCGCAAAGACTCGAATAGTTTTGTACGCGCGCATTGAAGTTGGCGAAGCTGCTGCAGGCTAGAAAGGACGATTCCAGCGGCTCATCGTCCTGCGTCGAGTCCATGTGGGCCACGAATATGTACTGATATTTAAACCTTAGGGCCGGCTGCTCATATAACACCCGCGACTCCGATATGCCGGAGTACGGACTCAACAGCGAGACCAACAAAACGGGCAGCATTACGGACAGAGCTATGAAGACGAGCACCAGCAGCGAGGCTAGCGAGCATAGCGAATTCTTGTACACAATGGCTGTGTTTGTGGTGTGCAGCGGTATGAATTTCATCCTGATTACTTAATTCTCCCAATCGATTTTCGAGTGTCAAAGCAAAATTTGCAATTGTCAAGTTCTGTTTTGATGTAATTCAAATGGTTGCCGGGCAACGGATATCAAGTAGCGGCATCTATTGTTCAAAACTATTGTCAACAATATCAAAGGTTTTCCAGCCGTTAGCTTGTGACAGACAGCATGCTTCGTTAGATTTGCTATAGCTTCCTTAGATGTTAGTGTCTCTTTTTGACATTTTCGGAGCTGCTTGCTTATGTACGTAAGCAACTATTCGTTAGGTTTGTTGCAGCTTCGTTAAGTGTGGAGTAATTCAAATTAAAGACGTTATTTTAAAAGTCGCTTTGAAGAAATCCATTAAAAGCAATTTGCCAAAAAGTTGAATTCCTTTTTTGTAACTATCTGACTGCATGTCATGCCTGCTGGCAATTTGATCGCTGCGCTTTCAACACTCTTTAAAGTAAGCGCATTAAATTTAAAGCTTCAACTTCCGATTTTTATGCGTTTCAGCCCGAAACCAGTTGCCACATTTAATTATGCGCAAATGTTGGTCAAGTTGTGAGCACGAAATTTTTTTTGATTATTTTGTATAGTTCACTTTTCACTTTTGGGTTTTGGATCGATGTGGGCCGCTGCTTCTGTTGGAACTGGGGCGACTCGCTGGGAGAATCCTATAATTATGTGCAATCAATACTTTTGCTGTATCGGCTTATGCTTAAGCTGTATATGGCCGGAACGGATGCATTTCGCTGAGGATCACTTGACGAACGGAGTCAGCTAAATAATTGACCAGAATCGCGTTGGCCCGTTCACTAATAAAGCGATTGGAAACGTCCGATTCGAAGCGATTCTTAAGGCGGATGCGTTCATTGTGCAGGTTTTCAGCTGCTATTGATTTCAATGAAGTGTAAGAAATACAGAGGCAACTCGTTATTTTGAATTGCGTATATATTAAACATTTCACTCAATTATGACTTGTTGACCATGATTTTTTAGCAAATTAGCTAATGGACTCTTTAAAACGAGATATAGGATTTTTTCTTAATAATAATAAACTATTGCAATTTTGAACTAAAATGAATTAATATGAGAAGCAGCTCCAACACTTTGAGCAAAAATTCAGATATATAAATTGCCAAAATATAATTTATTAGCTGGAACTAGTTCTTTAGGTTAATTATGAACTAGTTCTTTAAAGCAATTAACTTTTAAAGTACATTTACATAATGCTAGTAGAAACAAACGCAAAGCAAAGAGAAAATGACATTTGCTTTGACTTGAACCAGTTTTAATGAGCTATCAAAAAACTTGACTATTTGCTTAGCCACTCTGAGCTGTGAGAAGGCTTACGATATTATTATAATATTTATTTTTTCCTTTTCTACTTGTCAATTTATTGTTTTGACATTCAATTGTCAAGTTGTTGTGCAACTGAGTTCTATTTGCTTTGGCAACTTTGGCTTCTTCCTGGATTGTCGCCTGCGTGATATGTCAGTTAAATATCGCCTGCTTGGGCATATATATTCTTATATATATCTTTTTTTATTTGTGATATGTTGGACATGCTGTTGTCAAAGCTAAGAAAAAGCAGTTAAGAAATATGATGAATAAATAAATAAATAAAGGAGCCGCAGCACTGTTTGACAGTTACATGTGTTTGACAGTTGGACAGGGTTGCCAAGTGTGTGCATGAAATATGAAATATTATGTGATTGATTTAATGTAATACCCCCAGAACACAGATTGAAAGTGCGCTTAGAACTTGACTAAAGAAAAACCAGAGCGAAAATGGGATTTAAGAACAGAAAAATCAATATTTTTTACAATTGTTTTACGCACAAACGGCTGTACATGACTGCGCAATACTCTGCAGAGGTATAGTCATATAGTTATATAAAGAATTTTTGAAGCTTTTTTTTTAAGCGACGCTTATTGATTTAAGCTAAAAATTTATGATATATTTGTTCTTTTTGATTTGCTACGATTTCAGTATTTTATGTACTCTTTAAATTTCATTTAATATTGATATATACTACAATATATAGTAGTGTAAATATCAAAACTTTCAGATCTTTACTTTCAACTTTTTATATGGTTAAATTTAAAACAAAAGATGTCTATGTGAAGTCTTTCGCGCCTCTGTGGGGTATTATATTAGAAGAGGAAGCGCTTGTGGATACATATTCCAAAGTTGAAATCTCTAACTTTATAAGAAAGATAATAGTAAGGGTTAGAACAGATTAGTCTTGAATGAATGGACGGAAGGGCAAACGGATGGAGTCTTAGACGGACGAATGAATGGATGGATTCATGGATGAATTGCTAGATGGACAGACAAGTGAATAGAAGGAAAGACAGACAGATTGACAAAGCTTAAAAGTATGATAGATAAAGTGAATAGTAGACGCACGAAAAAGGACAACAAATAACTACAAAGCAAATATACTCCTTTGCCCCAATGAGCGAGTAAAAACAGCGTGTATAGCCAAGATGGCGAACATACACACACAACCTACACACACACACGCAGTCACACCTTGACGCACATTTGATATGCGAGGCACGCAGTCAGGACAACGCCAGCTCTGCGCCCATATATCCTTTTTCAACGAAAATTTCAGCTTTCACTTGGCTGCGCGTACGTGACGCCGTTTACCGCAAAGGAGCTGTTGAAGTGCCAAATTTGCACAGCCATGCCAGAGTGGGGGCGGGCACAGGTACAGGTGTGTGTGTGTGTTGGGCAAAAAGTAGCAGTTTATTAGGCGCACCAAATTAACATAGGACTACTAATGTCCTTTTTGGCCACCCAACCTAGCGCCGCTCAACTGAAAGCGTTTTAGCTGGCAAATTTCATTAGAGCGCAGAGAGTTCTGTTTTTTTTTTTCTAAAATTACAACGCCTGCGCGAATTTATTTGATTTCCCTTTTATTTTGGTTTTTTTTTCTCGTCTTTTCACCTAGTGCCTGCCAAGCCCCTTTCGGCTGGATGCTGGAAAACTGAAGGGGAAATTGTGCGTCCATTGTTGGCTTTTTCTTGCCTTTTTTCTGGTATATTTAGTAAGTATCCCCGAGGAAATCAAAGAAAAACGTATGAACGTATTTTAGCTGAGAAAGTTGCTTTAATATTTATATTATATATATGTCTTTCTACATATATATATGTATATATATCTATGTATGTGCGCATAATTCCCCTTACAACACTCAAGCGCTAAAGTGTTACACACTGACAATCATACAAATGAGAGGGGTAGTTGTCTAGAGAGAGTGAGCACGAGAGAGGGGGAGAGGCAGGAGTAGAGTGCTATGCACTAGTGTATATATATATACACTATATACATATATATATTTGACAATCAGGCCGCAAGCATATGTTACCCGATAATTTGCCGAAAGTTTTAATGAAAGACATGGGACTCATTTCTCGTGCTGTCTCCACTGCGGGCAATGCTCTATCTCACTCCAACACACACACACTTTCTCTCTCTCTCTCTCTATCACTCACTTTGTGCGCTTCTCAGCTTTTGTCGCCATTTTGTGTGCTTCGTGTTGAAGCAAAATTTTTGATGAGCTTCAGCAAAAGTTTATGCTCTGAGTGTGGGCGTGCGTGTGTGTGTAGAGGGCTGCCTTTTATATAATTTTCAGTTTTCATTTTTCATTTTATATAAATGACAATTGCTAGAGCTAAGCTGAGTTCTGCTCGTGCTGCTGCAGGCAACTGTAATCACACCATATCTGTTGAAAGTTTATTATAATGCGCTGCATATATTTTCCTGCAAACGCTAAACATAAAGTTACCACAATATGCCAACTTTCTTGGCTTGCTCTGTTGGCCAAGATGTGTTGATGCCAAAATATTAACTAACTTTCTGTGGGGGAACGTTTTACCTTCAAGAGTTGGATTTATTATAAAAGACTTTAAACTGAAGTAAATATTAGTGCCTTAAATACTATTGTATACTAATCTTCAATATGTACATCTTCATTAAATGTAAGTAAGCTATTAATTTTTTTATATTTTTTTTTAATTTTGTGATATTTTGAAGGTGACACAATTTCTTTTAACAATATTTTTTTAAAATTTTTTTCTGACTTTTATATTAATTTAAAAATGTAATCTTGTGCCTCTAAAATTGATATTTCCCTTTAATTATAATAAATGATTACGTTATATATGTTATACTATATTTATATAAATCATTTATTCAATGAAAATTTGTAATTTATTTTTTATTATATTTATTTTTTATTTATTATATATTTAATTATTTTTTTGTATTTATTCATTTTTAATTATTTTTATTATATGTTATAAATAATTTATTTTATTTTCTTAATATTTAATGAAATTTTAATCTAAAAGTTCAATATAATTATAAGCACACAAACAACTTAACAGCTTAACTTTACTATATACATATATACTATACATACCCTATAACAATATACATACCCTGTAACCATTGCTTTTTCAACTAAGCTTCAAAAAATATCTTAGCTGTCGCGCTCATAAATAATAACGCATTCCAAATACTTTCAACATTTTCAATGCATATCAAATGGAAAATCCAAAATAAAAATACAATTTTAACCGAATGACAACTGGCAGTCAGATGCGCTATGAAAAATCTGCGCAGTTGGCAGACAACTTCACATAAAAAAGGCAAACGTAGTTGGAAAAAATAAAACAACTAAAAAAGCTATAGAGAATCAAGTAAAAGTGCGCTAGGCTACATAGCTGAACGGACAGATACCCTACAGATGTGAATAGTTGGTAAAAGCTGAAGGTAATCTGTAATCTATCGAAAAAAGCCTTGGCTAAATCGATATTTATCGTTATAAATGAAAATAGTCAAATTTATATACATCTAATAGCCATATTTGAAACATGATTTAATTTTCGTTATACATCTGTAGCTCTACCTAGAAATGTATCCAAATTTGGATCATGCCAACTTCCCTTTTCTTTTTTATATGTCTCTATTTCAATTGCTAAATCTCTTTCTACCTCTGCCTAGATCTATCTCTCGGTATAGTTCCAAGTCTCTCTGTCTCTTTCTCTCTTTCTCTGCCTCTCTCTATGTATCTTTCCCGTCTATTTCTATCTATAAATTCCCTATCCCCTATCTCCTTCTTTCTCTTTATCTTCAGATAAACAGCTAAGACAATTATTTAGCCTCAATTGATTGTATCTCATGTATACCCTCTTGATCCGCGTGAGTTTGCAGGGTATATTAACTACGCGAACTGCACAAAGCGCCAACGCGTCCCGCTGGGCCCAGAGCACAGACGACAACTGTCCATGTTGTGTAGGGGATCGAATGGGCGAGCAGCTGTGGAGGGGCTGAGCAGTTGAGAAGCTGAGCAGTCCAGCACCGGACATCATGTCATGCAAATACAAATATGTACAAGTGCAGTTTCCAATTTTTTATTGCTCTGTTTTTTACGCTGTTTGGGTAATAAGCGCAAAACTTTGACAGTTTGTTATCCGCATTTGTTAGACATTTGTTTACGTTTTTTTATTCGCATACCCTGTAATTGCGGGAAATTTATAGATGTGGGTCTGATGAGCTTGTTGATATGAGATATATGGAACTAGGCTAATATCAAAAAGTGTATAATTATGCTAGATTAGTATGAACTTCCCAGTCAATCTAAACAACTTCGCCTAATGATCCATCCACTTAAAGCTTGATCTTAAAGATCTAAAGTATCTAAAGTCTACTTAAACAATCCCAACAATTTTACATCCATTTGCCGATAACTTGCTCTGTTTTCTGAATCATGCAAATCGATAAATTATCGATAACATTTATATAGCTAAACACTTTAAATTTATTATCTGGGATCTCGTATGGATGTATGTAGTATATGATCCTATCTCATAGCTCTTAAGATATAACGAATTTAAATTCGAAAACTTAGTTTGCTGTTACTTAATCGACAACTATCGATTATGCATAATGTGAAAAACATTTAGCTGAACATTTCTTCGAAAATAGCTCTACCTGCTCATAGGGTAACCCTCAGCCGAGCATTTCCTACTGTTGCACTTCTACTTGTT